ACAGCAGCACTATCAGATCTTTAAAGTTTATTCAAGCAAAACCAACACACACACACACACACACACACATGCAACTTTAATGTTCAGCTGCTGTGTGTGTGTGTGTGTGTGTGTAGGGGGGGGGGGTCAACAGCTGACCAATGTTTTTTCTCATTCATTATTAATATTCAGTTGTGCTGAATGGTGTGTGTGTGTGTGTGTATCATGTGGTGTGCCATGTGTGTTTTTGTGTTTATGTAAGTTTTGTTAGTGTTTGTGGTGTTGTGTTGACACACAAGCAGTTGTTGGTCTTGTGTGTGTTGTTGTGTTTAAGTGTGATGTGTTGTTGTGTTATAGTGTGTTGTTGTGTTCAAGTGTGTTGTTGCAATATAGTGTTGTGTTATAGTGTTGTTGTGTTATAGTGTGCTTTTGTTGTGTTAAAGTGTTGTTGTATTCTTTTGTGTTGGTGCATTATAGTGTTGTTGTGTTAAAGTGTTGTTGTGTTATAGTGTGTTGTTGTGTGATAGTGTGCTGTTGTTGTGTTATAGTGTGTTGTTGTTGTGTGGAAGTGATGTTGTGTTCTTGTGTGTTTTTGTATTTGTTGCTGCATTATAGTGCTGCTGTTGTTGTTGTTGTTGTGTTATAGTGTTGTGTCCTAGTGTGTTGTTGTCTGTGATTTGTTCGTCTCTTCTTCCTAACCTCACTTTGTCCTGTAATTCTGTGTCATGACTGTATATCAAACAGATTTAACAATGGAAGGTCAGCGAAGAACCAAACATCTACACTGAGGCACTGAGACACAGAGACTTTGGGACACTGAGACTCTGAGACACTGAGGAAACACTGATGAGACACTGAGACTCTAAGACACTGGGACTCTGAGACACTGAGGAAACACTGATGAGACACTGAGACTCTGAGACTCTAAGACACTAAGACTCTGAGACACTAAGACACTGGGACTCTGAGACACTGAGGAAACACTGATGAGACACTGAGGAAACACTGATGAGACACTGAGGAAACACTGATGAGACACTGAGACTCTGAGACACTAAGACACTGGGACTCTGAGACACTGAGGAAACACTGATGAGACACTGAGACACTGAGTAAACACTGATGAGACACTGAGACTCTGAGACTCTAAGACACTGGGACTCTGAGACACTGAGGAAACACTGATGAGACACTGAGACTCAGAGACTCTGAGACACTGAGACACTGAGGAAACACTGATGAGACACTGAGACTCTGAGACTCTAAGACACTGAGACTCCAAGACAATGAGACACTGAGACTCTGAGACTCTAAGACACTAGGACTCTGAGACACTAAGAAAACACTGATGAGACACTGAGATTCAAAGACCCTAAGACTCTGAGACCCTGAGACACTGAGGAAACACTGATGAGACACTGAGACACTGAGGAAACACTGATGAGACACTGAGACACTGAGGAAACACTGATGAGACACTGAGACTCTGAGACACTAAGACACTGGGACTCTGAGACACTGAGGAAACACTGATGAGACACTGAGACTCTGAGACTCTAATACATTGAGACTCTGAGACAATAAGACACTGAGACTCCAAGACAATGAGACACTGAGACTCTGAGACTCTAAGACACTGTGACTCCAAGACAATGAGACACTGAGACTCTGAGACTCTAAGACACTAAGACTCTGAGACACTAAGAAAACACTGATGAGACACTGAGATTCAGAGACCCTAAGACTCTGAGACCCTGAGACACTGAGGAAACACTGAGGAAACACTGATGAGACACTGAGACACTGAGGAAACACTGATGAGACACTGAGACTCAGAGACTCTGAGACACTGAGGAAACACTGATGAGACACTGAGACTCTGAGACTCTAAGACACTGAGACTCCAAGACAATGAGACACTGAGACTCTAAGACACTAAGACTCTGAGACACTAAGAAAACACTGATGAGACACTGAGATTCAGAGACCCTAAGACTCTGAGACCCTGAGACACTGAGGAAACACTGATGAGACACTGAGACACTGAGGAAACACTGATGAGACACTGAGACTCTGAGACACTAAGACACTGGGACTCTGAGACACTGAGGAAACACTGATGGGACACTGAGACTCTGAGACTCTAAGACATTGAGACTCTGAGACAATAAGACACTGAGACTCCAAGACAATGAGACACTGAGACAATGAGACTCTGAGATATTGAGACAATGAGACACTGAGATTCTGAGACAGTGAGACACTGAGGAGCAGGAGACCAGAGTGATTGTCTAGATATGAAGTCTCTGAAGTTTTGAAAAGTTTTTGAGTTTGTTACAGAAGAAGTAAACTTTGGGTCTTTCTGATAATGAAGCGGAAAACTCGTCAGGTTTAGATGTTTGTTTTTCCTGAAGTTCTCCTGTAGAAATAAAACATCTTGGAATCATCTTACAAAGTCACTTAAACTTGTGAACGCTGTTATCTGCTGTCAGCCGCCTGCTCTCCGGCCTCAGTTTACTTTTTTAATGATTCAGGATGCAGCTCAAGTGTCCACGTGTGTGTTTGTGTGTGTGTCTTTTGTCGAACTAAGTGCTGAAGCTGATTGTGTTTCCTGTTCGTCTCTAAAAGAACAAATGCAATTCAACCTTGGTAACGTCCCACAGCGCCACGCTCCCAGTTCACGCTCATTATGATGTAACTCTACAGGTCAAACCTTTGCTGTAACTGTCATTATGTAAACCAACCAATCAATCAATCAATCAATCAATCAATCAATCAATCAATCAATCAATCAATCAATCAATCAATCAATCAATCAATCAATCAATCAATCAATCAATCAATCAATCACAAAAACAACAACAGCATCAGCTTATCAAGTCAAAAACCAGGGGTTTGTTTTTCCACGAAGCTGGCTAAAGAAGGCTGGGCTATCGCTGGTAACCGTGGCTTGAATAAGCGGCCACTTTAATCTTAGCTGCAACTCGTTCCACTAACACGGCTCAGCTGTTTTTCATCAACGCTTATTCTAGCCAGGCTGATCCAAGCCGTGGCTATGCGTGCCTCCGTGGTACATAAAAAGCCCCGATGTATCGATTGTCGAAATGACGAGATAATGGAAAAAAATGGCAGAGCGGAACAAACACTCCTCATGGAGCTGTACGAAGAGTACAAGGGAAAAATTCAAAAGAAGGGCAACACAGTTGCCATTGTGAAAGCCAGGGAGATGGCGTGGTAAAGTATCGCGGACCGTTTAGATTCGTAAGTTATAGCCGACAAACATTTTACTACCGACACATGTCTCGATGCAGTCAGCCTGCTTGGCTGTCTAATTTTATTCCTCACTTCTGCGTATGTACTGTGAACACTTTTTTAAAAACTTTTCATCTCGTGTATGTGCAGCTCATTCATACAATCTGTCAGCCTCTGTGTGGCACCTTCGCAGCAAGCAGGGGCGCCTACAGCAGCTGGGGGCGCCAATTTGACAAGAAATTAGCCAAGCTAACGGCAATAAGCCAGGTTTGAGCTAAGCCAGCTTCGTGGAATACCCCCCAAGAAGAGAGCTGACAGAGAAACAATTTAAATTTTCCTTCTTTTATAAAAACGTCCTTTTTATTGTGAAAGTGGTTTCTAAATTATATAAATAATATGTTGAATATGTGCTGTAAATAAGACTTAAAATCACGTCAATGAGATTCAGAAAAATAAAAACATTACATTTTAAAGTTTTCCCCATAGAACGATGATAAAGTGACAAAACAGAAACACAGGAGTTTTTTTTCAGGACCAGGTTACAGATCATCAAATCATTTAGATACTTTAAGAATAAATAACAGGAAGTCCTTTTAAATAAAAAAAATGCTTTTAGAGAAATCCTGTAAAGTTTAGTTTTTATTGAATTAAATTTTTGTCTTAAAAGTATTTTATTAAATTTCTTTCTGAAAGTAGTTTGTAAAAAATGTAAATAATCAATAAGTTGAATATGTGCGAAAAAAAGACTTAAATTTATGTTAATGAGATTCAGAAAAATAAAAACACTAAAGCATTAAATATTAAAGTTTTTCCCACAAAATAACGATAAACTGTCAGAAACTGAAACACAGATCAGTATTTCTGGACCAGGTTTCAGATTATTTAATCATGTAGATGCTTCAAGAAAAAATAACAGGAAGTCCTGTTTAATAAAAAGTGTTTTTATGGAAATCCTGTTCAGTTTTTAATTGAATTTAATTTTCATGACATTCCTTTATTAAAGTATTTTATTAAACTTACTTTTTTTCTGAAAGTGGTTAGTAAGAAATGTAAATAATAAGTTGAGTATGTGCAATGAAAAGACTCAAGATCATGTTAATGAGATTTAGAAAATAAAAACACTAAAACATTAAATATCAAAGATATTCTGACAGAACTGAAACCCAGATAAGTTTTTCTGGACCAGGTTTCAGATCATTAACCCTTTAATTTCTTTTGTATCATATTTGATACTTTTATCTTCAGTGTATAAATATATTAAATAAATAATAAATAAAAATAAATAAATAAAAAATAAAAAAGTGTTTTTATCGAAATCCTCTAATGTTCAGTTTTTATTTCTTCAGTCTGACTGTTTGTAAAGTTTTTCAAGTTTTTCAAGTTTAAATGTGAGTTTGTGTTTTTTTTAATCGTTTCCTCTTTCTGCTCTTTCTGTCTGAAAACTTTGTTACATCATCCACCTCCATCTCTCTCTCACTTCAGTCTGTTCAGTCTGTGGAGCAGTGTGTGTGTGTGTGTGTGTGTGTGTGTGTGTGTGTGTGTGTGTGGGAATGTGAGCGCTGGGAGAAAAGCGAGGGACACGAGGGAGAGAGAAAGGAGAGAGTGAGAAATGACAACGAAGAGAAAGAGAGAGAGAGTGAGAAAAGGGAGATGGAGGGGAGGGTCGAGCAAGCAAATGGGAGGTGGAGCCAGAGAGAGAGAGAGAGAGAGAGGGAGTGAGGGAGGGAGTGAGAGAGAAAGTGTGTGTGTGTGAGAGAGAGAGAGGAGGGATGACAGGAGATGTGGTTGTTGCCGCGGCAGCACAGCAGGACAGATCTGAGACAGTCAAACACTCTTCCTCCTCCACCTCCTCCTCTTCCTCCTCCACCTTCTTCTTTTTTATGATTACTCCTCCGTCCTCCTGCAGCCGTGCGTCTGCTCCTCTCCTCACACCTGGACTGAACCTGCCTCCAGCTTCTCCACCACTCCTCCTCTTCTTCATCATCATCATCATCATCTGTGGTAAGTAGGATGAAAACTGCTCCAGATAGCAGCGCTCACACGGCTGAGAATAGAAAAAGGAGGGAAGCCGAGAGGAGGACAGGAGAGGAGTGGGACGAGGGGGGGCAGTTTGTGTGTGTGTGGGGGGGTTTAATAGAAGTAAAGTCGGAAAGTTTGAAAGAAAAAAAGAGGAGAAGAAGAAAGAAGGGAAAAAGTAGAAAAAAGGAAAGAGATGAAGTTTGGAGTTTGGAAAAAACTGCTGCAGAGAAAGAGAAAAAAACGTGTGTGTGTATGTGCGTGCGTGTGTGTGTGTGCATGGTCTGTATGTCTGTTTGTGTATGTTCTGTGTGTGTGTGTGTGTGTGTGTGTTGAGGTTGACGTAATCCATCTGTATGAATAAGTGATGTAGTTCTGTGTGTTTGCTATTAACAGTGGTTAGCATTCACACACACACACACACACACACACACACACCTGCACGCACACACAGACCTTCCCATGCATGCACGCACACACACACACACACACACACACACACACACACACACACACACACACACACACACACACACACACACACACACACACACTCAGCTCATGAATATTCACACACCTTCCTCCTGTAATAACACTGTTTTAGTTTGGGCTCTAAAATCCTGATTCAGAGTTTAATCTAAACTTTGGTGAGAATGAGAGAAAAGAGGAGGAGGAGGAGGAGGAGGAGGAGTGGAGGGAGTCGTGACAGCTGTGGCACACCTGCTGTGATGTCTCTTTGCATGTCTGTGGTCTCTAAATCCCCCCTCCCCACTCTTTGAAAATCCTCCCACAGATTGGAGGTTTGATGTGAAATTAACTTAGAGGAGGACGCTGCCGCCGCTGTCATCTCCACAAACAGAGCAGAGAGCGCATGTGTTAGGGACTATTTTCAGAGGCGGATGGATCCACGTGTTTGCTGCTGTAGTAGATATTTGTGGCTGCAGGATGTTGTGTGTGGGCTGGAGTCAAAATAATGGAGCGGGTATGTGTGTGTTCAGGGTGAAACAGGGAGGACATGACTGTGTGTCAGAAATAAAGAGGTTTGAGAGGATCTGTTCTTTGGTTCATTTGATGTTTCTTCACGTTCATGCAGAAGACCTCTTCTTCTTCCTTCTCTAAGATCTTCCTGTGCTGCAGATGTCCGAGCTCTATGCTGATGTAAACATTATTTTCCCAATATTAAAAAAAAAAAAAATCTGCGTTTTAATCTTGGACATCGACACAAATAGTTGTCAAAGTGTGAGACTGTGTGGTGAAAGTGTGGTGGACTGATCCCAGGCTGTTCTGAAGGACCTCAAAGAGATCCAGACCAGATTTACTGAGACCAGGACAGAGCTGATTTCACTATATGGTCTGAATGCAGAGTTCTAGAATACTAGGTTCTTGGGGGCTCGGTCCAAGAGTGTTTCAGAGTGAAAAGTCAGAGAATGTTTTAAAATTAAATTTTTATCAGGCAGAAACATTCAAAATGAGTCAAATCACAATTATAATTTGTGGCAAAGCAAACAAACATATTCTCCAGTCTATTACCCTCCCTTTCATTTTATAATATGTAAAGTAAGAACATTTGAACAATGGATGTCACATTTTCTCATTTTCCACAAGATCTGCCAATATCAGTTTTCAGTTGTCCAAGTACTTTAATAGTCTGGTACTTTATGTATCAGAGTTATTTAGAGCAGTTCAGCTCTCAGTGCTCTTATGTATCTGATCCACCAACGTCTCTTAAATGTCTTAAATGTAAATTTCCTGAACAGTTCCTCGTCAGAATTCCAGTGTCGATGAGTTGGGTTGTAACCACTTCCTTGTTATTGTCTTCTTTGGCAAAGTCTGCGAAGTTTTAAAGTGATGGGTTTTCAGCTGAAGGGTTTTAGACTTTCAGGTTTTAGACTTTCTGGTTTTAGGATCCTGGGTTTTCGAATACGGCTGTAGGGGTTGCTCTTATGCTGCGTCCCAGTTACCTCAAAAGTCGGGATTTCTGAAGTCAGAGTTGAAAATTCATCTGAAACGCCCCCCTGAAGTCGGATTTATGGCTCGGAAAGACGGACGATCCTCGCCAACCCCGACTTAACAATGTCATATTCCAAGATGGCAACGCCGTGCATCAACAGTAAAGAGTAACAGTGAAAGCTCTCATAATGTATTATTTATTATCACCTCTGTTTTGTTTTTGTGAAATTAAATAAGTGGTTTATGTTGTACTGCCCAACGTCTAACTGTGAACAACAACTAACAACAACTGAGAAAAACTGACAATGGCTAACGACAGCTGACAATTGTAAACAACAGCTAACAATGAGTAACCGTAGGCATCCATCTTAGTTTTCTGACTTGTTAACTGGAACACCGTCAACTCGGGTGTAACATCATTCCCAGCTCTGACGTCCGAGGTAACTGGGATGCAGTATAATATTTCAAAAACTGATGAACAACCTTTAATTTACGTCAATAATTGAGCTTTCTGCACTGAAACCAAGGGAACTCTGTAGACCTCCACACAGACAGCCTGTAGTCACAGAGTCACTCATATTAAAAATCAGAGTGCCCCCTACAGGTGGAGTGAACACAAAAAAACAGACGATCGGTGACCTCAGATGAGCTCATGCAGACTGATGAGAACTCTGTGACTTTGTTATCCATTAAATTTCCTGTCCTGGACTAAAGTTAGACCATAGACTGTATCTAGAATGGATGCCGTCTGCCTCCTCTCTTGGTTAAGCCTCTCTGAGAACAGCACCCTCTGGTGACGGGTGGCAGTATAGGTCATAAATCCCGCCTCCTTATGGAGTTGTGAACAAACTTTATAAACTAATGACACAGAATATAAATGTTTCTCCCCCCTGGTTGTGATGTTGACATGTAGTTACTAAGGGTGTGGAAAATAATCGATATCAATCGATGCATCGATGCGCATGTGCGCGATGCGACTGCGTCGGCTCATTCACTGGGTATCGATGCAATTGACGGGTTAAATCTAGATTCATCTAGATGCGTTGGTGGGTATCGGTAAAATCCGATGCAAGCGCCGTTTTATTCATGTTAAACTTCACCCCATCTGCTGTTCCCCAGGCGCATTGAATGCACCATCATTTTTTCACGTTTTGTATTGAATACGGACGGAAGCCTTGAGGGACATACAATGCACTACTACTAAAACAGCATGGACCACATTCAAGTGAGCAGCAGCGAGAAAGAGTTTATATGTAATGCACCCGCTACGTTTAAATCATATGTTTGGAAACACTACGGATTTGCAAAGAAAGACGGAAAGCTCGACAAAACGTCCGTCATTTGCAAAGAATGCCGCGTTAAGAAGCCGTACAACGGCAGCACGACAAACATGCAGACCCACTTAAAAAGAGAACACCACATCACCGACAAGTCTAACGCCACCTCCCCTCCATTAACATTGATTGCACTGTTGAAAGTGTCCCTTTAGGTTACTCATTGAGAGTGTTTTGTTGTTGCTGTTCACTGTTCTTTTTACAGAAGTAATTATTGTGTAATTGTTTTACTCTTTTATTATTGCAGAACTCACTCAAATCACTGATTTTGTGGCCAGTTAGAAAGTCAACTCTAGCACATTGGTTTGGCAGACAGTAGTATGGCCATTGAATGGTTTATTTGCACCATGTTAGGCAGTGCATTAGTTGTTTAATAATGTGTACTGTAATATTAGCCAACAAGTATAGAGCACTTGTGTGATGTAGGGTTGGGATTGGAATCCTTTTTTTTTTTTTTTGATTTTATTGATTCAGATTCCTTAACAGTTGCAGGAGGTCTGTCTAATCTGTGTAACTGTACAAAATGAAGGAGCATAGAAAAAAGACAAAAAGCACTTTTGTTGAATTAACTGCTAAGTGCCTTTAAGGAATAAAGCCAAATCCTTTTTGTAGTACCATACTGAATTCCATCTTTTATTTTTATTTCTTTTTTTTTCTTTGCTTATTTGCATCATGTTGAATTGCATCATATCGCAACAAATTGCATCATATCGTATCGGTTCGCATTGATTTGAACTAAATGATAATTGTATCGTATCGCATCGTGAAGAGGGTGAATCGTATCGCATCGTATCGCCAGAAAATTCCATGTATCGTTAAAGTATCGTATCGCTGGCAGTGCATCGAGATGCGTATCGAATCGTCCTCAGTGCTGAGATTCACATCCCTAGTAGTTACTGTCAGACTGGTTTGTGCTCAAGTCCTCTTTTTTCTGTACAGCTCCATTTTTAAAAGTTATTAGGGGTTCATGTTTTCTATGATTGACACTTGCTACAGCCTATGGGCGTACAAAGGTTGCGTAGCTCACCTAGGGGATACGCTGTTTGAGCTGAGCGTCATCACAGCGACTCTCTGTGACTCTCCCGCTGAATGCGTACAACGCTAATGCGCAATGTTGGTTTCAGGAAGTGGAGAAAAAAATGCAGAATTACCGAGAACTTTTCGGCTTCAAATCCGTAAACTGGAGGAAGGAAGAACCAAGTTGTCCAGAGGAGATACAGGCTACGGGTAAGACTCAGAGGTGATTCCTGAAGCTACTGTGGCTTTAAATAATGGACATTTCCCCAAAATTGATTTTAAACTGATCAATCAAAGTTCATTATTGGTTTGATCAGGAAGAAGAAAAAAAACACTTTAATAAAAGTGATGGAATGAGGTGAAGCTCTGCAGACACACCTTAATCCAAGATTCAGACTCTTCAGTCTGACTGTTTCCTGTTTGTTTCTACTAGACTGTGTGTGTGTGTGTGTGTGTGTGTGTGTGTGTGTGTGTGTGTGTGTGTGTGTGTGTGTGTGTCTGTGTCTGCTGCAGTGAAGTGCTGCTCACTGATGGTCGTCTAATGGTTTCACACAAACACTCAGACTGACCAGCCATGTGCTGCTCCTCATCACTGTGTGTGTGTGTGTGTGTGTGTGTGTGTGCGTGCGTGCGTGCGTGCGTGCGTGTGTGTGTGTGTGTGTGTGTTTCCACTCTCCTCTGTTCTTGAGCAGCTGGGTTTTTCTTTCAGAGGAGAGAACTTCTCCTCAGTCTGGTCTTCCTCGTGTTTCAGACTTTTTTTATTGAGTAAAACCATCATGAAGGTTTTCAGGTGCGCCCCCTAGTGGTCTGAGAAACTGTGACTCAAAGTCAGACTGGTCTTCAGAATCTTTGGTGGAGCTGCAGACATGAGGAGGGACCACGACGGATCCCCTCTCTCCCTGAAACCACATTAAAGGTGGGGTAGTCAGGATCTGAGTTAGTTCCAGTTTTTAGAAGAAATCTTGACCATAAACTCTTCCCCCCCAACCAGTTTTCCCCTCAGCTCCTCCTCTCCTCTCCCCTCCCTCCCAAACAGACACTCCTGCTTGTTGGTATCGTTCCAATTAAATTCAGATATAATGCAGATAAATACTTCAGATCATTACAAATGGGGCCCAGTCAAGGTGAAAGTCAAAAGCACTGGTGCTACTGTAGATGCCAACAGACTACCAGCAAACACAATGTTTGCAGGACTTCTACAACTAGGATAAAGTGACATAGACCAGGACCCGAGGTCAACAGTTTCGCGGCGCTACAACACGCTACAGCAGGTCCGTTTGACAAGAAACACTTCTGTTACAGACACTTGTCTTACTTTGTTAAAGCGGTTTACCTGTCCAGCAGAAAGGTTACAGGGTCACCAAGATCCCCAAGCGTCCCCCATCGTTTATGTTGACCCGGCTTTTTAGCTCCTGTCCGGTCTACCTCCGTTTTAAGCGCCCGTTATTCCTCCAGAGTCTCCAGTATTTACTTTGTTTTCTTGCTTGTGTCGGCAGTCGTGGTCAAAGGAGGATTCAGACAATTTTCCGAACTTTCTGTTTGGTTTCTACTGTCCGATATTGTAGCACGCTAACTTTGTTTGGGCTCCTGATCGACACCGGGGGAGCAGCGTTTTCTTGTTGACTGTTTTCTTGCTGACTGTTTTCTTGTTGACTGTTTTCTTGTTGACTGTTTTGGTTTTGACTGTTTTCTTGCTGACTGTTTTCTTGTTGACTGTTTTGGTTTTGAGTGTTTTCTTGTTGACTGTTTTCTTGTTGACTGTTTTGGTTTTGACTGTTTTCTTGCTGACTGTTTTCTTGTTGACTGTTTTGGTTTTGACTGTTTTCTTGTTGACTGTTTTGGTTTTGACTGTTTTCTTGTTGACTGTTTTGGTTTTGACTGTTTTCTTGTTGACTGTTTTCTTGTTGACTGTTTTCTTGCCGACTGTTTTCTTGTTGACTGTTTTGGTTTTGACTGTTTTCTTGTTGACTGTTTTGGTTTTGACTGTTTTCTTGCTGACTGTTTTCTTGTTGACTGTTTTGGTTTTGAGTGTTTTCTTGTTGACTGTTTTCTTGCCGACTGTTTTCTTGTAGACTGTTTTGGTTTTGACTGTTTTCTTGCTGAATGTTTTCTTGTTGACTGTTTTGGTTTTGACTGTTTTCTTGTTGACTGTTTTCTTGCTGACTGTTTTCTTGTAGACTGTTTTGGTTTTGACTGTTTTCTTGCTGACTGTTTTCTTGTTGACTCTTTTGGTGTTGACTGTTTCTTGTTGACTGTTTTCTTGTTGACTGTTTTGGTTTTGACTGTTTTCTTGCTGACTGTTTTCTTGTTGACTGTTTTGGTTTTGACTGTTTTCTTGTTGACTGTTTTCTTGCCGACTGTTTTCTTGTTGACTGTTTTGGTTTTGACTGTTTTCTTGTTGACTGTTTTCTTGCTGACTGTTTTCTTGTAGACTGTTTTGGTGTTGACTGTTTTCTTGCTGACTGTTTATGTTTGAGTCTTTTCTTGCTTGTGTCGGCAGTCGTGGTCAAAGGAGGATTCAGACAATTTTCCGAACTTTCTGGTTGGTTTCTACTGTCCGATATTGTAGCACGCTAACTTTGTTTGGGCTTGTGAACGACACGGGGGACTAGCGTCTGCCTCACAACCAATCAGCACTAATGCTGCGTTCGAGTTTCCTCCGAAGTAAGACGTCAGAGCTGAAAATGACGTCACACCTGGGTTCCCAGTGATTCAGTTACGAAGTCGGAAAAAAGCTAAAACAAGGTGGTTATATCTACGATAATTATTTAAGCGATAATTGGGCCAGTTAGCTTAGTTATTTTAGCTCTTGCCTTATATTCGGACAAGGCAAGCACTAAGATATCTTTCGTAGATGTAGCCATCTTGTTTCCACCTCCGATTTTACTTTTCCGACTTCATAACTGAAAAGCTGGTAACTCGAATGTGACGTCATTTTCAGCTCCGACTTTTGATTTCCGGGGTAACAAGAACGCTTTTTAGCTCCTGTCCGGTCTACCTCCGTTTTAAGCGCCCGTTATTCCTCCAGAGTCTCCGGTATTTACTTTGTTTTCTAACTTGTGTTGGCAGTCGTGGCCAAAGGAGGATTCAGACAATTTTCTGAACTTTCTGGTTTGTTCCTACTGTCCGATATTGTAGCACGCTAACTTTGTTTGGGCTCGTGAACGACACGGGGGAGCAGCATCTGCCTCACAAACAATCAGGTTAGAGGAGGTGGAGAACGGCTTCGTTTACAGTCAGAAAGAGTGGGCCGCTCAAAAATGTTAAAATATTGACTATACAGACATAAGCGAACACAGAGATATTGTTATATTCCCAAATGTCATCAATAACTAATAACTATTGACTGATATTAAAAGATTTTTTGTATATACACCACAAAAAAAGATGCTTCTTTCACGGATTCCTGACTACCCCACCTTTAACTAAGTCCTGCCTTTTTACTGTCAGCTGATGTTTACACGGACATTACGCGGCTAAAACCAGCAGCTGGAGCACCTGTCCTGTTTCTGGGTGGATGTGAAGCGGGTCTACAGATCTGGATCTCTGGGATGAGGACTTTACAGAGCCACTGACAGAAGCTCAGTTTATCAGACTCTGACTCCAGATCCCCTCTCTCCCTGAAACCACATTAAGTCTCCTGCTCTCTGCTCCGAGGACGCGGTCTACAGAAAATCCACTGACTCAGGTCCAGTTCTCTCACTGTCATCATAACCATAAAAACCAGCAGCAGACCCATTACCAGAAGCTTCCAGGGTCAGCAGCTCGGCCTGAGGGAAACGCTGATCTTAGACCTGTGGATCCAGGATAAAAAGCTTCATGTGGATCCAGTTAAATCTAAGTGAGCTCAGAAAGACTCAAGGTCAGCAGGGATAGACTAAAAGAGGGCGGAGTCAGAGTCACCTGAGACCTAACTGTCATGATGATCCTCACGGACCCGCAGACCCACTCACAATCTGATCTGGATCCAAGACTGACCCGGAGACTTTAAAGACAGTCGGTGTTTGGATTTCCTGGCTTCCCTGAATGCATCAGAGATGATGGACCTGACCTCCATCACATATAGACCCGGTTCTGTAAATCCAGATTTTCTAGTTTCTAGTGACTGGCACTTGATCCTGGTTTGACTGATAGAACCAGAACTTTACTCAGAGAACTTCTCTGCTTTTATTTTGAAGGGACGGAGGGACGGCTGACAGGAAACAGCTGATTTTAGTATCAGGATGTATTTATAGTCCTCAGCTCCTCAGAGTTTAAATACAAGGATCATTTATGAATTCACAGAATAAAAACAAAGATTTAAAATCAAACTTAAACTGTTTAAATTTAAACGTCTTTTAAGAGAATAAAAACGTCATCTTTGAGGTTAAAATCATCGTCCTTCTGTTTGATTCAAGGATTCAAGGACCTTTATTTGTCATACCCCACACTTTTGACAGTCTGTAGTACGAAATTAGTACCCAGGTCTGTTTCCAAGCCAAGAATGAAAATACAATACAATAAATAAGATATAATACAATAGCTAAGATGCAATACAATGAAGAGCAAAATGTAAAAAACAGGAAAATTAAAGTAGGCTGAAAAAAATGAAATGAAACCACCGAGTTGATTTGTAGATACCACCCGAACTGAGACGAGATGATTCTGAAAACTGTCAGTGGACAAACATCTGAGATCAGATTTTCTCAGGTTTATCTTTTTGAACGTTTGGACGTTTAAAGGACACGTCTCACTTGAACTAAAACCTCGATTTGTTTCCTTTGAGTTTTTTCTACAGGTTTGAGTTCAGTGCAGCAACTCAGTTAATCTTTAATCTGGATTGAGCAGCTCTGAAATCTTGGACAGTGTTTGTGTGTGTCTGCAGCAGAGTTTGGTTTCTTCTCTTTGGTTGAATATTTGTGAAGTTTCCCTCGTCGTCGTCCTCCTCCGTCTGTACTGATATGTTGTGGCAGCAGACAGCACCGGCTCTGAAAACGTGTGCTTATGTAATGAGTCTTTGAGCTGAACATTTCTAACTCTGAAGCTTTCATGTGATGACCAGGTCTGTAAAAGTTTCATCTTCATCATCATCTTCATCAGAGAGTCCTCAAGTCACTCAATTTGATCCTGCAGCTCATCAGACTTTACAGGATTTCTTCATTCTCTCAAACACGAGCATGAAAAAAACCCAAAAAACTGATCTTTAAAACTGAGGTGTTGATGCTTTTATTTCCTCTTGTTTAGATTATTGTAACGCCCTGCTCTCTGGCCAAAAAAATTATTACAAAATTCAGCTGTAAGAGTTCTGACGAGGGCCAGAGGGCAAGAGAATATAACCCCAGTTTTAGCATTGCTGCATTGGCTCCCCGTCTGTTTCAGGATTGATTTTCAGGTTCTTCTTTTATCAGTTTTTAGATGTATTCATGGTCCTATTTATCTGACTTACTTTTACCATATCAACCCCCTCCGGCACATGCCTTTTAACCTTTAAACCCAAAGTCAAAACAAAAACACACAGGGAGGCGGCGCTCAGTTTCTATGGTCCCCGGTTGTGGAACAGCCTGCCGGAGAGCCTCAGGGCCGCAGAGACTGTTGATATTTTTAAGAAGAGGCTCAAGACTCGCCTTTTTAACCAGGCTTTTCACTAACTGCCTTTTTAAATTTCTCTTATTGCAAATATTCATTTTAATCTAAGTCCTTAATGTTTATTTCATGTCATTTAATTTATTATCTCTGTTCTTAGTCTTTTTCTTTATTCCCGTCATAGAGGTTTTTAACTTCTTTTACCCCTTTTATATGGTAAAGAGCTCTTACTTATTTGTTCATTTAAGATTATTTTATTGTTTTAGTCCATCAGGTTTTACTCTTTCTTTTGACCATTTTTTATTTAATTTACTTTATTTAATTTAATTTAATTTCTTTGTTTTAGTCCATCAGGTTTTATTCTGTCTTATTACCTTTTTTTTTTTTATTATACTATATTTTATTTTATTTTATTTTATTGTTTTAGTCCATCAGGTTTTAGTCTTTCTTTTAACCATTATTTATTTATTTTATTTGATTTTATATTATTTTATTGTTTTGTTTTAGTCCATCAGGTTTTACTCTTTCTTTTGACCATTTTTTTATTTATTTTACTTTATTTTATTTTATTTCTTTGTTTTAGTCCATCAGGTTTTATTCTGTCTTATTACCTTTTTTTTTATTATACTATATTTTATTTTATTTTATTTTATTGTTTTAGTCCATCAGATTTTATTCTGTCTTATTACCTTTTTTTTTATTATACTATATTTTATTTTATTTTATTTTATTGTTTTAGTCCATCAGGTTTTAGTCTTTCTTTTAACCATTATTTATTTATTTTATTTGATTTTATATTATTTTATTGTTTTGTTTTAGTCCATCAGGTTTTACTCTTTCTTTTGACAATTTTTTTATTTATTTTACTTTATTTTATTTTATTTCTTTGTTTTAGTCCATCAGATTTTAGTCTTTCTTTTAACCACTTTTTATTTATTTATTTTATTTTTATTATCTTTTATTTTATTGTTTTAATCCATCAGGATTTAGTCTCATCCTTCTACCTTTTATCTCAAGTGTTTCCTAAAGGTAGCTCTTACCTCACGTAATATCTCAGTGTCAGGTCATATCTCTTTAACAATATAGAGTGCCTTGAAAAAGTCTTTATACCCCTTGAACTTGTTCACATTTTGTCACTCTACAGCTACAAACTCAAAAGTATTTTATTGGGATTTTTTTTGTCATAGACCAACACAAAGTAGAACATAATTGTGAAGTGGAACGAAAATCATACATGGTTCTCAAAAATTAAACAAATAAAAATCTGGAAAGTGTGGTGTGCATTTGCATTCAGCCCCCTGTACTCTGAAACCCTTAAATAAAATGCCTAATTAGAAGTCACCTAATTAGTTAATAGAGTCCAACTGTGTGTAATTTAGTATCAGCATAAATACAACTGTTGTGTGAAGGTCTCTGTGCTTTGTTACAGAACATGTGTCAACAAAGAGCTTCATGAAGACCAAGGAACTCAGCAGACAGGTCAAGGAAAAAGGTGTGGAGAAGTTTAAAGTCTCACTTAGTGTTCACTTGTGTGTGTCTGTGTGGGTTTTATTGTTGTTTATTTGTTGTTTTTAGCCTCTGTGGGGAACTTTGAACAATGTTTTTTGTCTGAAAAGTTCCATAAAAATAAAGTTGAAATTGAATTTAAAATATCAAACTGAAGAGGAAGAACATTCCTGTGGATCAGTCTGATATGAGCGGTCTGAGTCTTTCTGCATGAACAGGAAACACGGGGACGAGGTTTAAGATGGACCAAGAGCAGGAGTTTAAAGGTCTCAGTACCAGGACCGGATCAATCTGGATCCTGATAATCCGACAGACTTGCTGTGATTCAAGCCCAAACTTTTATAGCTCCCACTGCGGACGTTCCGCAATAAAACAATAAAGCTGCGACAATAACTTTTCATCTGAGGAGGAGCAGCTTCACTTTATTGAATGGGGGTGGAGCAGCTGTGTTTTTCCTCATCTTTAATAACCTTCCGTTTTTATTTCTTTCTTTAAAACACATGAAGACGGTTTGTGTTTCAGCTGCACAACAGAGGATGGTCAAAGATTCATCAGGTCATGTTTTTGAAAAGTTCCTCTAAGTTCTCTTCAGTCTGAGGATCAAAATCCGAATCATGATGACCGAAGTTCACGTCAGGATTATTGATAAAGATTATCTTTGACTTCAGATCTGCTACCAATCTATTCAAACAACCTTAGACCTCTTCTCTCCTCTCCTCTCTCTCCTCTTTGTTTTTCTTCCTCTGTTAAGTCCCCTCGTCTTTTCTCTTCTTCTTTTTCTTCAGTCTTTTTCTTCTTTTCCTCTCCTCCATCATTTCTTCCTTTCCTCTTTCTCCTCCCTTTGCTCCTCTTCTTCTATTCTTCTCCTCTTCCTGGTTTGTCTCTCACTTTCTGTCTCTCTTTTCTGTTTGTGTGTTTCCTGACAGGTCTGCCTTACATGGACATGGAGTGAAGAGGCCTCCTCCTCCTCCTCCTCCTCATCAGTGCCGCCCCCCCCGACCTGAACCAAAGAGGAAGAAAGAGAGGAAGAGATAAAGAAAATTAGGGAGCAGAATAAAAACAGCAAGCAAAAGCAGAAAGATAGATAGAGAGAGAGAGAGAGAGAGAGAGAGGGAGAGGGAGAGGGAGGGAGGTGGCTCATCCATAATCTCCACAGCCGAGAAACACTCAGAGCGGCGAGGGTGGTGAGGGCGTCCACGCTGGCGATTCTGTCGATCTTGCAACTTCAGGAACCATCATCACAATTTAATAAGAATCTGAAAGGCTGCGGCGCTGCAACAAATCAGTCATCATCAGGGAGCGAGGGTGGGCGAGAGAGCTCCAGACTAACAGAGAGAGAGAGAGAAAGAGAGAGAGAGGGGAGGACACACAACAGAGTTTAACCCCTTCACTCCTGGATTGATATCAGCAGGTCCCAGCAGAAATAAACGTCTGCGTCTGTAATATCTGAGATTATTCTTCTTCTTTGACTCAGCTCCTCGGCCTCAGCACAGACTTCTCTAAATTATGTTCCTCCTGCGGGACAGTCTGGGTTTTCTGCTGGAACAGGTTCTGATCTGAGACGAGCAGAAACTTTTTTATCAAGAGTCCAAAACCAGGTCCAGAAACAGGAATAATCCAGAGCGCGGGGACTTTTATTTTAGAAAAAAACAGGAAGTGTTGTCTCTGCAGGTTCAGAGACAGGCAGATGCATCAGCTTTCCTCTTCCTTTGCGGTGGTTTTTCATGGCTTGACAGCCAGCTGACCTCTGACCCCTCCCTCCCCCTGTCCTCCCTGTCAACATGTCTGGCCACGTCTGCTTTTGCTGCACCACCTACCTGATGCAGGACAGGAAGTAAGTGAGGATTTAGATAAAGCTCTTGCATCACATCTGTTGACTCCACCCCCTCTCTGCGGGGACAGTACCAACTCTCCACAGGTGTTGGACGAGCTGATGCAAGATGGCGGCCGGTGTGGCGACGTGGCTGCCGTTTGCACGGGCAGCGGCGGTAGGATGGCTGCCGCTGGCCAAGAAGACGATGCCCAAACCTCCTGTTGACAACACGTCCAGATCTGACGAGATCCTGTACGTCAACGTCAGTGGCGTCAGGTTTCAGGTGGGTGTGGCCTTCTACTGAGCATGCCCCAAAACAGGAAGTCCTGCAGTCACAGTCGGGTTACCTGAAGTTCAAAGTTCAGATGAACATGTCTAACAGGGAGTTACAGAGTCATTAAGGATAGGATTTCTATCTGGTTTGAAAGAAATCTTGAGTTTGTGTTCTAAAGAAACTCTGTTGGAACATGGAACTCCGAGTTTATACAGAGTCCGGGAGGCTAACCCCCAATTTTTACCACATCCAGAAAGGCAGCAATTTTCACCGTCCGCTAATTCCTGCCGGATCCATTTGTGATGCGAATTTCGTGGTGGATTACAGACAGCAGGAATCGCGAGAACTCACCAGAACCCGCGGATTCATGGTCAATCGCGCGATAACAAGTTGTCTCTATAAAGACAGCCACATAGACATATAAGCAGTAGATTGTGTCCTTCCAGAGGAGGAAATCTACTTCTAGACTTCTAGAATCAGCATCTCCTCATCCATGGTGTCATCGGGGTAAAATGACGTGTTTTATTTTGAAAAGAAGTCGGATGTATTATTTTGTGTCTGTGTCCAACTTCCTTTCCAGCACGGGTTAATCTGTGCTGAATTTGTCCGGCATGCTCTGGCGTCCGGAAAAAATAGAACTGTTTCGATCAGCTGTGGAGTCCAGTGATCCGCAGAGGAATGGAAAGAAGTTGGTGGAAATATACACGTTAACTTGAACGGTTATGATCAGCTACGATCGGCGGATACGACCTTTTCGTAGATGTTCCAGATGCGGGGGAAATTGGGGGTCAGCAGTGAGTCATCAGAGTGACTGATGGTGATTAAGTCTTATTAGTTTGTATGTTTATCTCATCAATCATCTATAAAATGGTGTCTTCACATCAGCTGCTGCTGCTGTTGTTGTTGTCGTCAGAATGTGGTTTGTCGTTGTCTTACCTGTTCCGCTGAAACTTCTCTTCTTCTGTTCTTTAACTCCTGCAGACATGGAAGAACACTTTGGACCGTTATCCAGACACGCTGCTGGGCTCCTCGGAGAAGGAGTTTTTCTACAACGAGGACACACAGGAGTACTTCTTCGATCGAGACCCAGAAATGTTCCGGCACATCCTGAACTTTTACCGCACTGGGAAGCTGCACTACCCGCGACACGAGTGCATCCAGGCCTTCGACGAAGAGCTGGCCTTCTACGGCATCGTGCCGGAGATCATCGGAGACTGCTGCATGGAGGTAAACACTGAGTTATTTCTCTGTTTTGAAAAGTGCTTCTATCTGGACACCAGGTTGAACCTCCTGAAGTCACTGGTTCTCCTCGAGGTTCCTCTCTTGGGGTCAGAAAGAGTCAGTGATACCTGAGTGAGTGTCTGAAGGGCCTTACTTATCCACCAGACAGCTTTATAATGACACAGTGAAAAGTCTTGTTAGACTCTGGGCTTCAGGAGCTCAACAAAGACCTGAGTCAGGGATCAGCAGAGTTCATCATGTTTGACATGCACAGGAGACAGGATGAGACCTGAGGAGCAGTCTGGGTGTCTTCATGGTAGAATCAGTCCAGATTAAAAACAGGGTCTTGACCAAATCAGAGGAGAGGAGCCCCAGGCGCCATGACGAACAGAGTCCAGAACGCAGCATGTGACCCAGCAGCAAAGGTCAGTCATTAACAGCCCACCTGGTCCTCAATACAAATGGACTTGCTTGAAGTTCTTCAATTGCAGATCTTCACCTCAGGTCTTCAAGACCTTCAAGCAAGTCCAGATTCCCTTTCCACGAAGAGCTGGATAACCATGACCTGGGACCTTCACAGACAGTATGGAGCTCTTCCTGGACCAGGAGGAGTTTGTAGTGGATTTAGAATCCACACGTACACGCTGGAAACACCCAGGCTGTCGGACCGGAGGAAGGATGCAGGTCTCAGCTGAAACCATGGGGACCCACGGTGGCAGTCCTCGATCCCTCTGCTGGATTAGAGTCACACACTGCCGTCTGCAGCAGAAAAGACCCGCTTCTAGTTTGATCAAATTCCTGCAGCATTAGAGTACAGGACACATTTCATTAGTGTTCAGATGTTCTGGGGCCTCATTTATAAAGCTTTCTTACGCACAAAACCTGTCTAGAAAGTGCTTACGCCACTTCTTACGCAAGAGTTGGGATTCATAAAAGAAAAACTACTGTAGGAATGTGCGCAACTTTAAGCAAACTCCACACCTTGCTTACGCACTTTTTGGAGACAATCGGAGCAAGGTGAGAACAGTCCGGGTGATGCGTTCAGCACAACGGATGACTCGATGCAGGGCCTCTCTGTCCTGAGAGCTGCAGCTGCTGTAACAGGCAGTGATGCCCGCAGAAAGCACAGACCCCACTGTGGCGGTGAAGAAAGTTTGCCAATTTGAATTTACAAATGTGCAAAAAAACAAATTCCATTTACATGTTTTTGTTTTAAGATTAATATGACTAAATCTTTTTGGTTTACGAACTTTCACCACATAAGCAGCGGTGGATAACGGAACATTTTCTTTTTGGAACACATGCATGAGTGTCACACATGCTTGTTTTTTCTGATCCTCACCTGTCGCCGCCAAGCTCTGACGGTGCAAAGCCACTTTTTTCTTTGCCTCCACCTTTAGATCAGACCACTTCTTCTTGATATTGGCACAGTGTTGTTTTCGTCAACGCCATCGTCAACGAAAACAAAACTCCACGCGTCCTATATGTTTAGCGTTTAACTGACTGAGTTTTGCAACTCTGTTCGTCATTTTCGTCTCGTCCCATCAACGTAAACGCACTTTCGTCTCGTCACATTTTAGTCATCTCCGACTTATGTTTAGCTCGTCAACGTTACGTCTTCGTCGTGGAAGAAAAGGGAAATATTTTCGTCAACGAAAACAACCAGTGTTGTTCTCGTTGACGAAAATATTTCCCTTTTTTGACGCTGGCGTTGACGAAAATATTTGACGAAATATGACGAAAACAACACTGTTTCGGCAACGATGCACTCAGTGCCAGCCGCAATTACCGCCACGGCAACGGCGTTTTTATTGGTAATGCCACTCGAATGGCCGCCGAATAAGGTCTCCCGTCTCGCCGCCACCTCAATTACAAGAACCTCCACCTCGATCTCTGAAAAGTGTCTTTTTCTACGACTTGCTGATGCCATGGTTAAGCGTGAAATGCCGTGGATCCATCAGGCTTATTTATACGCAAATCACATTCATGAGGTAATTTGCATGACCATACATGGTGAATTTTGGGTGTGGAGAGGGCGGGGCATGAATCAAATCCCTGCTGCACAACTTTCCGGCTGGTCTGTGATTTATAAAGTGAAAGTGCGTGCAGGTGTGCGTAGGCAGGGTTTTATAAATCAGATTTTTTTTTTGCCTACGCACTTTTCAGCTTTTCAACTTACATACACTTTTAGTTTGGATCCTACGCCAGGTTTTATAAATGAGGCCCCAGGTCTTTATCATGTGACCTATCTTATTTTATCATATTCAATCATGTGTATGATCGTCCTCCTCAGATCATGTCATATATCACTTCAGTCTAGGGCTGAAACGATTACTCGAGTAACTCGATTAATAAAATTCCTCGAGGCAAATTATATGCCTCGAGGAATCGTTTAAATCCGGAACCATGTGCAGCGCACGGTGTTTGACACGGACGGTTATTTCTGTTGCGCAGCAGCGTGCTCTTTCCGCTCCTTCCGCTGCCGCGCGTTTCATAGACATAATAAAAGGGTAGACCCCGCTGGGGGTGCTGCGCAGCGAGAAATGCGGCCGCCATCTTGGTCAGGTCAAGTTTCCCATACGCTCCGGTCAATCATATTCATTCATTCAGCGATGCCGGAGCACTGTGCGGCGTATTCCTGTGCCAACAGGCGGACAGCAGAGAACAGGGCTCAAGAAATAACTTTTCAAAGTTATGATTAAACGTTTTTTAAACATTACACTTGACTGTAGAGTCATTTGTAGGCCAAAGAGGAAGACTATCGGTCAACTCCAAAAAGGAAACAGCATTTGCGAACAGCTAGCTTATTCACAATAATAGCAACTTTGGTCGATTATCAACAGATTTGCATTAGATTGAAAAACTTTTGTTTGAGAGAGGTTCTAAGAAACGTTAAGAAATAAAATAGAAAGAAAAAGGAAGAAAGTGAGCTTTTTTTATTATCTGTTTTATTAAAGATTTCTTTGTGGTGATCTCCTGTTTCATTTTGAAGATTTCCTAAGGACAAAAACTTGAGGAAGAAGTGGGAGATTGCTGTTAGAGGGAGAAATTCGCAGCAAGTGATTCCTCTGTGCTGTGTAGCCAACAAGCAAATTGATATGTAGTTTAGATGCTGTCCTGTCATGCTGTTCTTGTGTTTAAATCTTTTTGATATGTAGGCTATATATTTGTGTGTATTTTCCAGTTATTAAAATAGTGCTTCTATATGACATTATTTGTGTGTGTCTACAAATGGATAAATAAAATTAAACTATATAAAAAATTATAATCAAATCAATATATATTGAATTGGCCTATTAATACCGCCAGTTATTAATAATTATTGAGACATAGCAGGAACCTAGCTCTAAACCTAAATATATCCTTGATTAATTGTTATACTATAATACAGCCACTGCTGCCATGTTCTAAAATATCATTTTATTCATTCTGAGTATTTGAAAACGCCAAAAAAAAATATGGCCTCTATCATGCCTCTTTGAATGGCGTTTGCAGAGAAGAAAATTACGTAGCATTGAGCGAACTATGATTCATTAATGCGCTCAGACTTCATTCCGCCGGTTAAACAGCGGTGCAGAGTGAGGCGGATGACCGGACCAAGATGGCGGCCGCATTTATCGACAGCGCCCATTCGTGGTAGCGGCCGATGCGGGGTCTATCTTTTATTATGTCTATGGCGCGTTTGGTTCAATCATGGAGGGAAACGAGGACAGACAGAGAGAGGAAGAAAGAGATGACACGCAGAGGAAACGGCAGAAAGTGTCTAAAGTGTGGGACCATTACACACTGAAAAGGAAAGAAAACGCCGTGCAGTGCGTTCACTGTAAGGCGGAGTTGGCGTTTCACAACAGCACGTCGTCAATGCTGCAGCACCTTAAAAGAAAACACCCGGTCCATGCATTAAGTCCGCTCTGAGGCAAACGTGATTCAATGCAAAGTATTACAGTGAGAGCAAAACATTTCTTATCCGATTACTCGATTAATCGACAGATTAATCGATAGAGTACTCGATTACTAAAATAATCGATAGCTGCAGCCCTACTTCAGTCATATTGTATCTCATACTGGGCGGCTGTGGTTAGTCTCTGGAAGAGTCTAGTCCATCAGCTGGAAGGTCAGGGGTTCAATCCACTTTCTGCTTAAGTGTCTTTGGGTGGGTAATAATATCCTATTATTACATATTATCGTATCATATATTGTATCGCATCATATTGTATCATATCATATTGTATTTTATGTTAGATTTTTCTTATATCTTATCATAACATATTATTGTATCGTATCATATCATATCATTTTATATCGTATCATATTGTATTGCATTGTATCATATCGTATCGTATCATATTATTTTGTATCTTATCGTAGATATTTTCTCATATCCTATCAACACATATAAACGTATTGTACCGTGTCATATATTGTAACATTTAACTCATGGTATCATATATTAACATAGATCTTTGTATTTTTTAATATAATGTCCTCACAGTCGTATAAAATTCTGTTTTATTCTTTGGTTTCTCTCAGTTTGGATTTTTTTGCTTCAGGTTCGTGATTTTCCGAACCTCCGCTCTGACGGATGAGAGTATCAGCAGTTTCTTTAATACTTGACTGTACTGTTGGTTTTCTCTCTGCTGCTCTCAGTGAACAACATCAGCAGCTAAATGACTGAAACTCCTGATGGATCTGAGGAGACACTAAGCAGCGCTGCTCTCAGACTCCATTATCAACCCCAGCTCATTAAACCGTTGGTGATGAGCGCTCTGAAACTCCAGCAGATTTGGCTCTTTAGTGCCGCTGCTGTTTTTGGCTCCATCAGTGATTCTTTAACGAGTCACAAACACAAATGATCACCTGCAGAGGCTTTCCTTTCTAATATCCTCGTTTTATCATCAACCTGTCCTCTGACTCATGAATGGGTAATTGTTCTCCATCTCCTCACTTTTGGCCGGCTTGCTTTTCTTCACAAATGTTGGTTGAAGTGTGAAAGCTTCTAATTTCTGTTTTTCACTTCCCCCACAGTTCCCCACGAGTAAAAGTCCACATGATCTTAATTTTTTACTTGAGTAATTTTGCAACTTCTGCAGATTTCTCCTCTTCTTTGGCTTCTCGGATAAGATTTGAGAAATGTCTGAAGGGGCTCGAGGTCTTCCTGGCCCGGTTTGTTGTCTTGTTAACAGCCAACAGGGGAGGCAGCGGACATCGCTGGCGCTCATCTTGTTTATTCAAATAAAAACTAAGTGAGGTTATTAGTATCAAAACTGGATCAGAACTGGGTCTGCCACGGCAGGAAAGACCTTTTAGTGTGTTTAAGTTTCATTTGGTGTCACCTGTGGCAAACTCAACCTGACTTTTGGTTTTTCAAACAAGAGGCAAAGATGGACTTTTCAGACTCGGTGTGTATGTGGTTTTTAGGTTTTTGGATTGACCCTCTAGTGGACAGGTGTGGAACTGCAGTCTACATTTCTGAAAGGGATATTCTGGCGTAAAATTAATTTCGGGTCAAACACCCAAAATTAATTTTACGCCAGAATATCCCTTTACAACCGGGATAATGCTTCAGCTCAGTATGTGTAGAGTATTATAAGTACAAACGTAACTTACTGACAGATTTCTGAGTTCCTCCTAAGAACGGTTTGATGAACTGGGTTTGGTATTTCTGCTGATGGTCGTCTCTCTTTGTCTTTTAAGGAATACCGAGACAAGAAAAAGGAGAATCAGGAGCGTCTGGCCGAGGATACCGAGGCCAACGAGGCGATGGACGCCCCCCTCCCTCCACACAGCACCTCCAGGGAGCGGCTGTGGCGAGCCTTCGAGAACCCCCACACCTCTACCATGGCGCTGGTCTTCTACTACGTCACCGGCTTCTTCATCGCCGTCTCTGTCATTGCCAATGTGGTGGAGACAGTCCCCTGCCGACCGCCTAAAGGCAGTGTGAAGGACCTTCCCTGCGGGGAGAAGTACCAGCTGGCCTTCTTCTGCATGGACACGGCCTGCGTGCTCATCTTCACCTTTGAGTACCTGATGCGTCTGTTCGCTGCACCGAGCCGCTGCAAGTTCATGCGCTCGGTGATGTCAGTGATCGACGTGGTGGCCATCATGCCATACTACATCGGTCTGGTGATGCCGGAGAATGAGGACGTCAGCGGTGCCTTCGTCACTCTGCGAGTTTTCCGCGTCTTCAGGATCTTCAAGTTCTCGCGTCACTCACAGGGTTTGAGGATTTTGGGCTACACCCTGAAGAGCTGTGCCTCCGAACTCGGCTTCCTGCTCTTCTCCCTCACCATGGCCATCATCATCTTCGCCACCGTCATGTTCTACGCCGAGAAGGGCACCAAGGGCTCCACCTTCACCTCCATCCCGGCCTCCTTCTGGTACACCATTGTCACCATGACAACACTGGGGTGAGTTTGTGCGTTAAACTATTCGTTGCCCCCCGACATCTGACCGCAAGGCAGATTTGATTTCGCTTTGCAGCTCCTCGTTGATCTGGGCAGAAGATGGCCGTGTTGTTGTGTGTTGGTATTATTGGCTGAACAGGAGAGTTTTACAGTCTGTTTCCACCATAAAAAGAGATGAGTGTGAAAATCCAAACTCTGAGTGAGTGTGTGTGTGTGTGTGTGTGTGTGTGTATGCGCACGCTCATCCACCTCCCACTCGTTGCTTCTCGAGTACGGTGGTGTATCTTCACCCTGCTGCCTTCGCCCACACACACTCACTGCTGCTGCTGCCATGTGGTTAGTGTGTGTTTGTGTGTGCGCACGTGTGTGTGTGTGTGTGTTATGATGATGATGATGATGATGATGATGATGATGATGATGGTGGTGTCTTCACCCTGCAGATCATCTTTTATCTGTTTTTCAAAGAGCTGCAGGAAACACAAGAAATCCAGAGTGAGTCAGAAACATGAGCTCCATCTGAACCCCCATACTGCAAAACACACACACACACACACACACACACACACACACACACACACACACACACACACACACACACCTCTATATGACTGTGAATGAGTTAAAGAGATCAGAGGTTGTGAATGGGAGAGTCTGAATGAGACAGACCAGATCTCAGATGGTCCTTATTTGGATTTTCTTCATTAGTCAGGGTTCGAGTTTTTACTGCTCCATCAGTCCTGTTAGGGATATTTTTTTTTTCATAGGATGGTAGGGAAAAGTCCCGCCTCCTTCGCCTCTGATTGGCTGTGAAACATCATCACACGCTCAAGCCAAGCGTGGGCTGTCGGCTCTGTACATCGAACAGAACATTATCGAAATTCTAAATCTCCTAACCCTATTGCAAAAAAAAATATTGCATCCTGTTAGCATGCTAGCTACAGCTCCATCCTCTGCTGCAGTCATGCTGCCCGAGAACAGCGCCCTCTGGTGACGGGCTGCAGTATAGGTCATAAATCCCGCCTCCTTATGGAGCTGTGGACAAACTTTATAAACTAATGACACAGAATATAAATGTTTCTCCCTCCTGGTTGTGATGTTGACATGTAGTTACTGTCAGACTGGTTTGTGCTCAAGTCCTCTTTTTCCTGTACAGCTCCATTTTTAAAAGTTATTAGGGGGTTCACGTTGTCTATGATTGACACTTGATACAGCCTTTGGGCGTACAGAGATTGCGTAGCTCACCGCCCGGGGGATAAGCGGTTTGAGCCGTGCGTCATCACAGCGACTCTCTGTGACTCTCCTGCCAAATGCGTTTAACGCTATTACGCAATGTTGGTTTCAAGAAGTGGAGAAAAAACACGGAATTACCGAGAACTTTTCAGCTTCAAATCCGTATACTGGAGGAAGGAGAAACCAAGTTGTCCAAAGTAAATACAGGCTATGGTCTTTCTAGATAAGCAGCTCCAGGTTTCAGGACCAGCTGGTTTGATGGTACCTGGTATTACAGATGAGGCTCATGAATACTTGAGGAATTAAAATATATTTGTATTAAATCAGTTTTAAAAACCCTCTGTTAACTAAAGGTTCATTCCTCTCAACATGTAGAAACTAGTTTGAAAGTTTAGAGCAGCAGTTTTTTTGTTTTTTTTTATCTTCATGACAGAGTTTGAACTTGATGACTGATTCTCAGAGACAGTTATTGATCAGACTCTTCCTCCTCCTCCGGTCTTCTTCTGGACTCTTTGTCCTCTCCGTCCTCTCTGTCCTCGCTGCGGTCCAATCAGCTCGTGCTCTCTTTTTTTTTATGTGTTTCGGTTTGCTATCTTTGTTTTTCATCATGCTGCTTTTATTGCCTTGCTCCTGTGTTTTATCTCTGTACAAATAAAGCAGGAGTGAAATCATAAACCTATTACAGCCTCTCCAGAAGCAATATATATGAGAGGGGAACACAATCTGAAAAACAACAACATGTTTGTGTCTGGACGACTGCAGATAATCCACACCTTCCTCTCCTCCAGGTTCTCTGATTAAAAAAACTTTCAATAGAACAATTAATAGTTCCTTTCTCCGGGGAAATCTGTGAATTCATTCACTAACAAGCTCTTATTATCCCACGGGGAGTTACTGCTGATGAGTAGGAGGAACCGAGGAGATAAACCTGATCACAAACAAACAAAAACTTTTTCTCTGAGTGATAAAAGAGGATCTTCAGCTGGAATGCAGATGTGAGGCAGCCTGGACCTGATCTAAACCAGAGTGAAGCCTCAGTAGTAAGAGGGAAACAGTCATTATAATCTGTTTTGGTCTGTCTAGGAAAACTTAAAGTTGCTTGTTTTTAAAAAAATAATCTCATAAAAACATATTTAAAACCTTTCTTCTTCTGGTTCTGATTGTTCTATTTCGGTTCTTCTTCTTCTTTTTAACTTCCACCTCAAACGTAGGAGATGCAGCCAGAGTAGCTCCACCAGCCTGGATGTGCACTTTGGTTGCAGAGAGTTAGTGAGTCTGCAGAGCACTTTAGCATCAACATTATTTATAAGAACAAGAAGGGAAGCAGCCATTTCCTCTAAAGAACAGGATGTATATGAGCCTGAGAGCCAGGGCAGCGAGCGGCGGCCTTCTAACACAGCCGGGATGGAATTATAGACCATCTCCACGCATGGCATACGCTGTTAATGTTTTAATAGACGGGGGGTGGAAAAGAGGAGGTGCAAACAGAGAAACAGAAAATCTAATTAGAAAGAAGAAGAAAAGATTCTCACCAACTTCACACAGTCCGTTTCCATGACACTCGAGAAACCGAATTCTCGCCTTACTCTGATAAAGACCGGACAACTGAAGTGCATGTAAACACCTTAGTTTGACTATGACACCCAGATACTGCGATTGGAATTCGATTGTCTTTAACATGTAACCAGCGTAATCGGAGTATGATCGGACTATGCATGTGCATGAGCGCCACGCCTACGTAACCACGGAACAAAAACACCAGAGAAGAGGAGTAGTGTGCATCTCATCTGCAGAAAAAGTAGTGCGTCCATCATGTAGAACAAAAACGCTGTACGATGCTCCATCTTCTTGTTTCTCCAAAATGCCCAGCAGCAGTTGTAGACACTTCTGACGTCTGGCACGGACCTGCTGTTGTTGTTGACGGTTGTATGGGGTCGGAAACAGCACCACTGAAAACACCCATATCGCCCCCCAGTGTAGGTGAGGAGGACAAGTTTACGTCAATAATTTGATTTTCTCAGCTGCATGTATATGCGGACAAGGAGAGAAGTCTAATTCGGCAAAAAAAACAAAAAAAAAAACAATTATGAGCTTAGTCTGATTAAACTGTGCATGTAAACACACTGAGGGTCTGAGTTTTCCTCCAGCTGTAGATGTAGGTCTGTAGATGAAGGTCTGTAGATGTTGGCCTGTAGATGTTGGTCTGGAGATGTTCCCTGATTTTAAACCTCTCTCCTCACCAACCATCATGAGGAGGGTCTGGGTTTTCCTCCAGCTGTAGATGTAGGTCTGTAAATGAAGGTCTGTAGATGAAGGTCTGTAGATGTTGGTCTGGAGATGTTGGTCTGGAGATGTTGGCTTGTAGATGTTGGTCTGTAGATGCAGGTCTGTAGATGTTAGTCTGTAGATGTTCCCTGATTTTAAACCTCTCTCCTCACCAACCATCATGACCTTCGTTCCCCTGAGCATGGTGCAGATCATCAGACACATCTACCTGTCAACTGAAACTGCTGATGTCATTATTATAGACCTTCGAGAAACGCCCTCAAATTCAGACTAACCCCCAATTTCCATTGTATCCGGAATGGCTTCGATCCAGAACGGCTGTGATTTTTGCCAGCCGCTAGTTCCTATTTCGTTATAATTTTCATTGATGAGAGCAACACTGTTGTTGACTTTGTTGTCACATTTTAGAGCAGGGATGAATTTGTCATTTGGTCCCTAAATAATGCTAGCAGTCCCCCAAGGATCCTTCCTCTGCTCTTTTAAACTTCGTACAAACACAGTAGTTCGGGACTTGGTGTGTGCATGACGACAGCTGCCGATTCTCTGTCACATGATGATGTCACATGATTATCTGTGTGTGTGTGTGTGTGTGTGTGCGTGCGTGCGTGCGTGTGTGTGGTTAGATGGTAAACCGGTACGTGAATCCTGTCCGAATCTCAGACAGTATTGGCCTGTTAACCCTGTCCATCTCCAGGAATTTCTTCCAGTCTCTCATTCTTTGTGCTCACTCTGTCCCACTGCTTCACTAACACACACACACACACACACACACACACACACACACACACACCTGCTCCTCCTTTCACTTCTCAGCTGCAGAAATATTTACCCAGGATTTCTACTGTATCCGGAATGGCTCCACGCATGGCTAACACAGTGATTTTTGTCGTCCGCTAATTCCTACCGTATCCTTTTGTGAGGCGAATTCCGTGGCGGATTACGGACAGCAGGAATCGCGAGAACTCACCAGAATCCGCGGCTTCACGTTCAATTGCGTGATAACGAGTTGTCACTATAAAGACAGCCACATAGACATATAAGCAGTAGATCGTGTCCTTCCAGAGGAGGAAATCTACTTCTAGACTTCTAGAATCAGCATCTCTTCATCCATGGTGTCATAGGGGTGAAATGACGTCTAGCCAAATGTTTTATTTTGTGTTTGTGCCCGACGTCCTTTCCAGCACGGGTTAATCTGTGCTGAATTTGTCCGGCATGCTCCGGCGTCCAAAACAAATAGAACTCTTGCGATCAGCTGTGGAGTCCGGCGATCCGCAGAGGAATGTAAAGAAGCTGGTGGAAATTGACACGTTAACTTGAATGGTTACGATCAGCTACGATCAGGGGATATGGGCTTTTTGTAGACGTTCAGGATGAGGTGGAAATTGAGGGTTAGGCCTTTTTTACATGAAGGTCTATGGAGACAGACTTACTTCTGGAGACACCCCCAAGTGGTCCTTCAGGGAATTGCAGTTTTGGGGACTTCTTTGTTTTTACTCACTTTCTTTTGCTCAGCGTTTGTTAGATTTGGATCAGTCAGCACTTCGATGTAAGTCATCCTGGTCTGTGTGGTTCTGGTTCTGGAGACCAGTTTGTCTATTTCAGCAGGTTAGCGCTCACCTGACACAGAACTGCACTTCTAGATATGCTGCTCACACTCCCAGCATAGATCTGCAGCAGCATAGATCAGCCGCTCATTATTACAAGGCTGCTGCTGCCAAGGTGTAATCGATCGCAGGTTATTGATCAGTTTCTCAGCAGACTGGCCCTGAGAGGACAGCAGCTGGTTCCTCCTGTTATGGATCTGTGGTCTCAACCCAGCAGGACAGGATAGCTGTACGGTATATAGGACCTGCTGATTTCCTGAACCCCCCCATTCTCATCTAGGTCATCAGGTTTTCACTGTAGCTGAAGTTCTGGTTTCATACTTTAGGCCTGGACTTCTTTTACCCTGAGGCATGATGGGAATGTGAGTCCACACATTTGCTGTTGTGTGGTTTAGGTAACAGGTCAAACTTGTATAATGTAAAGTTACACACAGAGACATGACATTCAGCAGGGCCAGGTCATTATGTAATCTGGTTATTATCAGAGCATGATAATATGAGAAAAGATGATAAATTATTCATGTCTGTGGAAACTGCAGCTTCATGATGATGTTGGAGACACACTTGAAAATAACGACTTTCTTATTATCAGACCGCTCTCATTTTCTTTATAGTGAAAATCAAAAGTACTTTCATCACTCCCACTCCCTCCTTTTGTTTTTTTTCTCACAGACTCCATCACTCACAGCTTCTCTGTTTTCCTCATGTGAAACTATGCTAACCCTTCACCAACAGACTCTCATGGTGGTGGTCTCAGAGAGAGTCCTCTGAGACTTTAACCTGATCTTACAGAGACAGACATTTGGAAATATTGAATATGTAAATATGTTGGACTAATTTGTGTTTTTGGTGTCTTGTTGACTAGTGTTGTTTTTGTCGGCCTGGTTTAATTTTTGTTTTAGTCCTTGGCTATGTTCACACTGCAGGTCAATTCCGATTTTTTTAACCATATGTAACACATATCTGATTTTTATTATGTAAGTGTGAACAGTGCAATTCTGATTTTTTCAAATCCGACCCAGGCCTCTTTTGTATGTGGATATGAATCGGATAGGTATCCAATGTGACTGCAGTGTGGACGCTCAGGTCGCGTTCATCTGATGTATACATCATCAATATGTGACACATGTCACCATTGTTCAACAAACCAAACTGGTGCGGAAAGCAATTTGTGCTTTGTGCACATGTGAGTCACTTCACTGATGCATTCCATTCACTTTAGATGCCACATTAGTTGTTTTAATGTGAATGACCACACAAAAAGATTGGATATAACAAAAATCTGAATTGTGCATCATAACCTGCAGTGTGAACGTAGCCTTTGTGTCAAACTGTCATTTTAGTTTTTATAGTTTTAGTCACGTTCAAAGTCACGTTCATTTTAGTTTTAGTCAGAATAACCTATGACTATTTCAGTCTAGTTTTAGTCAATGATTTTAATCTCTATTTAGTAATATACTTCTGTTTAACCCAGTTAATATAGTATAATTACCTGGTATAGTATAAAATAGATAAAACCATTTTTTTCTTTTAGTCAAACCCATTCTACAAATCAAACATGGTTATCTTTTTATTATATTATCACCTTATAGACTCAAGAAAAAACATCCATTCCAGACGTGGAAGATGCTCTGAGCAGACTGCTCACACACAAGCTAGACACGCACACACACACACACACACACACACACACACACACACACACACACACACACACACACACACACACACACACACACTAGGCTGGACAGTGCAAAATAGAAAGTGTCCTTACATCAGTGTCTTAACTTACCTCGAATTCAGCATGGAAGATTGCATTTCTCCCTTTTTCTTTTTCAACGACACATTCCGTTTTGTTTTCCACTTGTTTGTAATTAAAGTGTCTCCAAATATCATTTTTCATTCTTTTTCCCCAACAACTTGGCCATGACTCCAATACACCCAAAATCATCTTTACCTCACCGCTTCTAAAAATACGGCGAGTTAGGGGATTGAGGATCTGACGTCGCTGAGGAAACAGAAAACAGTAACAAGGCAACTAAACGATTTCATCTCGTTTTAGTCAACAAAAATGAAGAGACACTTTAGCAGAGTTTAAATTTTGTAAACCACGTTTAGTCTCATTTTTATTCAACAACAATATTGCATTATAGATTTCGTTATAGTTATCGTCACAAGACCACCATATATATTTCCTCTTGAAGACTCCAAAATCAGGCAACTGGATTGTTGCCTGATTTTCAAGAAAACCATAACCTGGATGAATGAGAATCTACATGGACATATACATTTCTTCTCGTCTCGTCTACTTTTCAAGTGATAAAAGTTTGTTGATGATGTTATTTCATCAAAATTTTCATTGATGAGAGCAACACAGTTGTTGACTTTTACACAGTTGTTGTCACATTTTAGAGCAGGGATGAATTTGTCATTTGGTCCCTAAATAATGCTAGGAGTCCCCCAAGGATCCTTCCTCTGCTCTTTTAAACTTCGTACAAACACAGCAGTTCAGGACTTGGTGTGTGCATGACGACAGCTGCCGATTCTCAAGCACATGATGATGTCACATGATTATCTGGATTATCTGTGTGTGTATGTGTGTGTGTGTGTGTGTGTGCGTGCGTGCGTGTGGTCATGTGGTGAACCGGTACGTGAATCCTGTCCGAATCTCAGACAGTATTGGCCTGTTAACCCTGTCCATCTCCAGGAATTTCTTTCAGTCTCTCATTCTTTGTGCTCACTCTGTCCCACTGCTTCACTAACACACACACACAGAGGAACACAAAGAAGCCGGTGGAAATTGGATGGATAGATAGATAGATAGATAGATAGATAGATAGATAGATAGATAGATAGATAGATAGATAGATAGATAGATAGATAGATAGATAGATAGATAGATAGATAGATAGATAGATAGATAGATAGACCTTCATTGTCCCCAGGGGCAAATTCATTTTCACAGACACTGGCATAGACCTTGACATTGTGCTCTCTCTGTCCCTCTGCTTCACTAACACACTCACACACACACACACACACACACACACACACACCTGATACTCCTGTCACTCCTCAGATGCCTAGGCCCGCCCTCCTCCAGGTGAGCTTGCTGTTTGAAGGTCGAACACGCTACTCTCTGGATCTGCTTCCAGAGAGTCTGACATCCGACATGCCTACATGACACACACACACACACACACACACACACACACACACACACACACACACACACACACACACACACACACACACACACACCACACATAACACATAACACAGACAGATGTACACACACACTCATACCTGATGAATAAGTCTGTTATCGTGGTTACCCCTGAATTTGTTCTTTAAGGCGGTTTTGTTGGTCGGGGATATTAATCCAATTAAAGTCTGATTTCATGTGTGTGTGTTTTGGAGACAGATGGTCTGTAATACTGTCACACACTCATATATACAGCATATATACTGTGTGTGTGTGTGTGTCTCCGCTCAGACCAGTTGAAATCTCTCTCCCTTTATGTTTCAGTTTTTCATTGAAGTTTGTGAAGTTTTTTGTCCCTTTTTTCTCTCCGTACTTTGATCCCCTCTGGATTAAAGGGCGTCATGTTGAGACGGCGTCGGCGTTCAGATTAAAGATGTCACTCCACCTGAAACGTTTTAATATCAAACTGTCTCCTCCTGGGATTTAAACTTTAAAAATGTTTGTACTTTCTTTACTTCCCCTCTAATCTCAAACACAGACGTGCTGACAGATATGAAAGTGACGCCGCTCCACTCCCCGCAGGACTCAGACTAATACGGGTTTATGATGCACCCGCACCTGAGCTGACCCGGCCCGGTCTCAGGTGGTCTTTAGAGCAGACAGAAGGTCATATCAGGGCTTTGAAACCTGGACCTCAAAGGTCTGAACCTACCTGCTGACCTCCTTTTATCCCTCAGTCTCGTCTGTCAGGCACTGAAAAAGAGTCAAAGTGGGCGGGGTGTCCCAGCATCAAAGATCGGCGCCAGAACCTGGACTGAGAGGGACAGATGTCAGGAGGAGGTCCAAAGACAGAGGAGCCGTGGTTCTGATCAGCTGAGAGTCACAGGTTCTGGACAGGATCAGACTTTCCCTCCTGACTCAGACCGACCTCAGAGAAATGACCAGGATTTATTTCTGGAGATTTATAAACGTAAGAAAAACCTGCTGACCAATCAGAGAGCAGGAGGAGTACAATGACTTTGTGTGTGTGTGTGTGTGTGTGTGTGTGTGTGTGTGTGTGTGTGTGTGTGACCTACTTTTCCAGATGACTGGACGTTCCTCAGAGACTATCTATCTGTCCACACCTTGGCCTCTTTCTCTCCTTCCTTTCCTTTCCTCCTTCCATCCTTCCTTTCCTTTCTCTCTCTATCCTTCCTCTCCCTCCTCCCTTTATCCTTCCTTTCCTTTCTCCCTCTATCCTCCCCTCCTCCATCTCTCCATCCTTCCTTTCTTTTCCTTTTCTTACTCTATCCTTCCTTTCCGTTACTCCCTGTATCCTTCCTTTCCTTTCCTCCCTTAATCCTTCCATTCTTCCTTTCTTCTTCTCCCTTTCTTCTCCCTTTCCTCTTCCATCCCTCCTTTCCTTTTCTCTCTCTATCCTTCCTTTCCTCTCTTTATCCTTCCTTTCCTTTCCTCCCTCTATTTCTTCCTTTTCTTTTATCCCTCCATCCTTTCTTTCCTTTTCTCCCTCCATTCTTCATTTACTTTACTCCCTGTGTCCTTCCTTTCCTTTACTCCCTGTGTCCTTCCTTTCCTTTACTCCCTGTATCCTTCCTTTTTCTTTACTCTCTATATCCTTCCTTTTCTTTTCTCTCTTCATCCTTCCTTTCCTTTCTCCCTGCTATCATTCCTTTTCTTTCTTCTCTCAATCCTTCCTTTCCTTTCTCCTGCTATCCTTCCTTTCCTCTTCTCCCTCAATCCTTCCATTACTTTCCTTTTCTTTCTCCTTCCATCCTTCCTTTTCTTTCTCCCTTCTTCATTCCTTTCCTGTTTCCTTTCATCCTTCCTTGCTTATCTCCCACTATTCTTCTTTTCATTTCCTTCCCCATCCTTATTTTCCCTCTATCATTCCTCTCCTCTTCTCTATCTATCCTTCCTTTCCTTTTTTCCATCCATTCTTTCTTTCTTTTTCTCCCTCTATCCTTAATCTCCTTTCCCCACTCTATCCTTCCTTTCTCTCCCATCCTTCCTCCATCCTTCCTTTTCTTTCCTCGTTCCATCCTTCCTTTTCTTTTCCCCTTGCTCCTTTAATATTTCTTTCCTCCCTCCTTCCTTCCTTCCTTTGCCTCCATCCATCCTTCCTTTTCTTTCCTTTTCTCCCTCCATTTTTCCTTTCTTTTCTTCCTCCATCCTGTCTTTCCTTTCTCCCTTCATCCTATCTTTCCTTCACCATCCTTCCTTCCCTCCCTTCAGCTTTCCTTTCCTCTCTTCCTCCATCATTCCTTTCCTTTCTCCCTCCATTCTTCCTTTCCTTTCTCACTCCATTATTCCTTTCCTGTCCTCCCTCTATCCTTCCTTTCCTTTTCTCCCTCCCTCCTTTCTTTTCATTCTCTTCTCCTCCCTCTTTTTTCCTTCCTCTCCTTCATCCCTCTCTTCTCTTTTGTTGTCTTTTCCCGCCCTGAGGATCTCCGATGATGGTTCTCCGGGTCTCGGGAGACCAGCCTTTTAGTTGTGATAAAAACTCAGTTCTCATTGGTACCTAAATTGAAATAATCAGTTCAAAGTTCATTAGTCCCTGGAGGAGGAGACGTCTGTTAAGATAAATTATTTTAATTTTATATTCTGGTTCTGCTCAGAGTCAAACGATTAAACCATGGCACCAGAACTGAGCTGAAGACATAAAACAATCCGTGCATCAAGTCAGAGACCCAGTTCTGATGAAACCAGAAAACATCCTGAGTGGTACAGTAGAGTTTTTATATCAGGGTTTACTAGATATTTATTCTTATTATTATTTATTAACCAGGTAAAAAATAAAAACCAATTTAGATCCAGATCTGTTACAAGATCTCGTTACAACAAAAATAATCATAATATAATTTATACTTTATGTACTTAATGGATACTGCAGTAACAGGTTGTACTGTGAATACCTGAGGATCCTGTTGGACACATGAAGGAGAAGTAACCCTCCCTCAAGTCCCCCCAGTCCTCCCTTCTCCCCCGTCCTCCCCCATCCCCCCTGGTCTGCCCCCGTCCTCCCCCTCTCTCCTGACCCGAATTGCTGCAGCTGCAGTCTGAGGGAGCGAGGTTTAGATAAACAGATAAAATGAAAGAGAGAGAGGCAGGGAACGTTTCCTCTCATCAATTATTACCTCTCAGCGTCTCAGTCTTTCCTCCTCCTCCGTCTCCTTCTTATTTTCTCCTTCCTCATTTTCTTTATTTATTTCATTTTTTTCTTTATATTTTCCCTGAATTCTCTTTTTATTTATTTCTGTTTTCTTTTTCATTTTTCTCCCTTTTGTTTTTCCTTTTTCCCCCTTTTTTTCCATTCCTTTAATTTTCCTTTTTTCATCCTTTACATTGGATCTGTATCTCTATTTGTAATTTACTTTTCTTTTACCCTTTCTTTCTTTTTACGCTCAATCACTTTTCTTTTTTCTTTCTTTCACCCCCCTCCTTACCCTTGATCCGTATCTCCATTTATAGTTGACTTTTTCTTTTAACCTTCTTTTCTATTTTTTTACTTTTCTTTTTTCTCTTGTTTTTATTTATTTCTCTCTCTTTTTTCTTTTCTGTTTCACCTTCTCTTTCCTCTCATTTTCTCATTTTAATCTTTTGTTTTTATATCTTCCTTTTTACACCTTTTTCCTTTTCTCTTCCCTTACTTTTATTTCCTTTTCTCCCTCCTTTCCTCATCCCTTCTCAACCTCTCTCTTTAACTCTTGTTTTTTGAATTTATTTCTTCTTGACCTTTTCCTTCTTCCTTTTCTCTTGTTTATTTCTCTTTCTTTTTTCTCTCATTCCTCAGCTTCCATTTTTCCTTCCCTTTTCCCGATTTTTGTCTCTTGCACGCTTCTTTACCCTTCTTTTTTCATTCTCTCTCCATCTTCTTGTGATACAAAATAAAACATTTAACACACATCATGTGATATTTAAACACACTCACACAGAGGAGGATTGTTTCTGTCGTGTGTGTGTGTGTGTGTGTGTGTGTGTGCGTGTGTGTGTGTGTAGTAAAAATAAACTCAGAAAAATGTGGATTATGGGAAACGAACAAATGAAGGAATAAAGAACATCAGAAAAATCCTGAAAGAATGTGAGATGGAGTAAAAAATGAGAGAATAGACAAAAGAGGGAGAAAACAAGCGCTCCCTCTGGTCAAGGGATAGTGTGTGTGTGTGTGTGTGTGTGTGTGTGTGTGTGTGTGTGTGTGTGTGTGTGTGTGTGTCTGTGTGTGTCTGTGTGTGCCTGGAGTGTACTTGGTCTGGACCCGTTTGTTCTGAAACGGGTTTATAAGGAACTGGAACTGGAACTTTATGGTCCATGTAGATGCAGGAACTGGTGTCCTGGATGACCTGCAGTGGGTTCTAACGTCACAGTCTGAGGACTTGTTACTGTGCCACAGTTAAATTAGAGTGCAGATGAACATGCAGCAGCGTCATGGTGGCGTACACCGATGACACTGCACTGACAGTCTAAGAGGAGTCAGCACACAGACAGACGGGAGTGTTCAGAGACGGACTGTGAATAAAACATTATAGATGATAATGGATTTGAAGTCCTGACCACACTTTACTTTGCTCTGCTCAGATCACACACGTGAGCGAGGGCGTGAGCGAGGGCGTTTCCTGCATGTAAAATACACAGGCGCCTGATAAACAAAGAGAGACAGGAAGAAGGGAAAACAGATTCCATCAGACATGTGAGCAGGGAGCTAGGAGAGGCTAAAATTAGAGGCTCTGAAAATAAAACTCAGCAGATCAGTCCTGAAATTACACACACACACACACACACTGGGCTGATGTGAGTGTGTCCTGAGCAGGTCCGTCCATCCATTTTTCTTTATCTCAGACATCTCATCTTTTTCACGTACCAGAAACTTCTGCCTTCCTCAGAAGTGTCACTCAGTGGTCAGTGTGACACGTCATGTCAGCTGGTGTTACAGAGGCGTGACTCGCTGCGGTTTTACAGAAGTATCTCGTAGAGTCGATAGTCCCCTGGTTTTTTTCTCCTAACTGGTGTTTAATCTTCTGTTTGGACCGGGTCTGGATCCATTCTGCTGACTGTACCTTTAAAACTCTTTGACAGAACCGTGGACCGATGATCCTGTCTTAGTTTAGCCGAGAAGAACTTGGACTGAACTTCACAGATGTTGATCACGGCCTCCATCACTGACCGCAAACTGAGCTGGAAGACTAAAACCAAGTCGCTGGATGTCGACAAATCTTGATTTTGAATGAATGTCGGAGTTTGTTTTAAACTCGGAGATAACCCCACAGATCAGAGCACTCAGTTTGGGGGATAAGGGATCCGTTAGTCTGTTCTCAGAGTAAAGTTCTGGATGTTTGTGTGTGAGGCTGAAAGTCTTCTCAGGACAGTTTTCTGTTCTTTCAGGAGCAGAATATTTTTATCTTAGCGGTTTGAGCTTCTCTGGTCTGCAGGATTTTTTGATTTCAGTCATGAAGATTTTGATCGGAGCGTCTGAACCTGAGCAGCTGTAAATAACCACTCCAACTCTGAAAATAGACCTAGAGTGACTCAGACTTTTATTTTCTCTCTATTTATTGTCCTCTATCATTTCATCCTGCCTTTTTTCTTTACCTTTGTTTAATTTTGGTCCCTTCCTTTTTTTTTTTTTATATCTGTGCTCATTTTCTCTTTTCATTTCAAATCCCTTCAGTTTAATGTAATAAAACTCTTCATTAGACGTTTTTCTGTCTGCGACTCTCTTCTTCTTCTTCTGTGAGATCATCTATAAAAACACTTTCTGTCTTCGGACCCTATGTCAACTCTGGTACAGAAAAGTTAACTCTTCCTGAACAGATCTCCTCACGCTGCTTTAGTCACAGGGTCAACATGAAGTTAGTGAAAACAGTGAGAAAGCAGGAGGAACAGAGTCCACCAAAAATCCCTTCATTAACGCAAAGAACCATCAGCTTCTGTTTCAGGATCAAACCCCTGAGAGGAACCAAAAAGAAGGACTATTTACAGAGAAACTGAGACTCTGTATAGACAACAGGAAACCAGAGAAACTATTTACAGAGAAACCGAGACTGTATAGACAACAGGAAACCAGGGAGATTATTAACAGAAAAACTGAGACTGTATAGACAACAAGAAACCAGAGACTATTTACAGAGAAACTGAGACTCTGTATAGACAACAGGAAACCAGAGAAACTATTTATGGAAAAACTGAGAATCTGTAAAGACAACAGGCAACCAGAGAGACTATTCACAGAGAGACTGAGACTCTGTATAGACAACAGGAAACCAGAGACTATTTACAGAGAGACTGAGACTCTGTATAGACAACAGGAAACCAGAGACTATTTACAGAGAGACTGAGACTCTGTATAGACAACAGGAAACCAGAGACTATTTACAGAGAGACTGAGACTCTGTATAGACAACAGGAAACCAGAGACTATTTACAGAGAGACTGAGACTCTGTATAGACAACAGGAAACCAGAGAGACTATTCACAGAGAGACTGAGACTCTGTATAGACAACAGGAAACCAGAGAAACTGTGTAGACAACAGGAAACCAGAGAGACTATAAACAGAGAAACTGGGACTCTGTTTAGACAGCTGGAAACCAGAGAGATGATAAACAGAGAAACTCAGGGCTCTATTTTCATGTATGCCGGTGAGGCGGCGGAGGGTGGCGGACCCCGCGCAGTTGTATTTTCGTCTGGCGGAGCCTGGCGTACAGCCAGTTTGGTATTTTCGTGGACTGAGGCGCACGGAGGCAAACCAAGATCCGCCAAGCTGGGCGTGGTGGTGTGGCAGGGGCAGGTGTCGACAGAATCAGCGGGCGCAGTGACATTTTCGTGCTCGCCAGTGGTGTGTAAAGTGCGCTGAAAGCTCGCCGATTCAAACCTCGTCAGCTTTCAGCGCAGGCGGAGCGCAGCTGGTCTAGTAGTATTTTGGTAGACCGGCAGCGATCGTCACTGATGCCTCACCGGCAGGTTTCCACAGTGTCAGGCACATTTCAGTGCAATAAATAATCATCAACAACTATTGATCTGAGTCAGCACATACATTTGGATCTATATAGATATATTCTGATCTATATCTGATCTGGCACGCGTTTGTACACACAACCTGACCGAATCAACACAGCTGAAACCGCATTAAATTAAATTAAATATCTAGTAAATAGACACACATGATGAAGTCAACAAGATATTTAATTCGTCTCCCTCCTTTTCTTTCTTCCTCTTCTCTTTTTTCTCGCGCAGCTCAACCTGGACACGTCTCCGTGTCCTCTCTCCGTCCTGCTGCAGCGGCTGCACAGATGATTTGTTTCAGTGCTCAGATGAGTTATCTAATTTAAGCCGACATACAGATATTATAATATTCAGTTTTGACTCTGTAGACTCTGTATAGACAACAGGAAATCAGAAAGACTATTAACTGAGAAACTGGGACTCTGTTTAGACAACTGGAAACCAGAGAGATTATAAACAGAGAAACTGAGACTTAGTAAACACCACAGGAAACCAGAGAAACTTTTAGCTGAGAAACTGAGACTCTGTATAGACAACAAGAAACCAGAGAGACTATTCACAGAGAAACTGAGACTCTGTATAGACAACAGGAAACTAGAAAGACTATTAACAGAGACACTGAAATTCTCCACGGACAGACAGATGACTTAGTTTCTTTTTTAATGAACTTAGACAGTTGTGTTTGTTTGTTTGTTTGTTTGTTTTTTTTGCTTTTTTGGGGGGTTCTGATTTCTAAACGGGTCAATTTCTCTCCCCTCTCCATACGGACTCATGGTCTTCTTTCAGGGTTTTTTGTTGAGTCCTAAACCAAACAGTGAAGCTGACAGGAAGTCTGAACTTGAATCCCAAAATACAGGTGTGACCATCTCTGTTGGGGGAAGTCCTAAAATCTGTCTCTGGACTTTCTAGCTCTTCTGGGTCTTAAGATTTTTTATCCACCCATATAAAAAAGGATTATTAAAGGGATGACAGGGAAATCAGAGCTGCTGCTTTTGGAGGTGATCCTGGTCAAACCATGGGTCTTTACTCTTTAGGAACATAAAACAACAAAAAAAAAAGAGGAAAGAAAATGAGAAAAAACAAGAGAGAAAAAGGATAGAAGAGTCAGATCGCCTTCACCAGAGGAGGAGAAAACATGGAACAACCATCCCTCCTCCTGCAACTTTCATCATCCCTCCATCAATTAAACATGGAGACCAGGATCACACTGGAGGAGGAGGAGGAGGAAAAGGAGGTGGAGGAGGGGGAGGAAAAGAGGAGAGCAGAGGGAGAAGAAAGGAGGAGAGGCCATGGAAAACAGGGAGGAGGAAAGACGAGGAGGAGGAGGAGGAGGAAGGTGGGGAGGCTCTTAGCAGGCGGCTGTGACCCAGAATAGAAGTTTTCAAAGAGGAAAAACGAACCGGATCAAAGTGGACCGGTCGATACTGCTGTCCTTGTAAGGAGAAGAGAGGAGGGGAGCAGAGGAGCAGAAAGGAGAAGAGGAGGAGAAGAAAGGGGCAGGGAGGTGAAAAGAGGAGAAGAGAAGAGAGGAGCAGATCAGAGTTTTACAGTTGGGTCAGAACAGTCCATTCAGAGACCTCAGATTGTTCTGAATATGGACATACAATTCTGACTGAAGTTCTAAAGACCCTGACCCTCAAAGGGACCTTTGACCGTCTACAGAACCACGTCTTTGTTTTGGAGGAGCGTTAGGGTCTCAGGATGTTGGGCTTTGGACTGCTGGAATCTAGACTGCTTGGTTCTAGAATGAGATGGACTGCTGTCTCATAGAGTGCCAGGTTCTCTGATGATTAGACCTCTATAGTGTTGGGTTCTGGACTGCTGGATTTTGGGTAGCTGTGTTCTGGATATTTGGTGACTGAATCCTTAGTCCCTTTCCCCCCTTGATGTAAAAGGATCAGTTCTGAGTCAGGAGAAATTGAACCAGCAGTCCAACCAGCAGAACCTTTTGGACTCCTGAGTTGACTTAGACCAAGTCCTCTGGTCCCCTGAAACTATTGGGCCTGAGATCCATCAGCCTGCACACACTCAGTATGTTTACATGCACAGTTTAATCGGACTAAGCTCATAATTGGTTTTTTTCTCTGAATTGGACTTCTCTCCTTGTCGGTGTATACATGCAGCTAGGAAAATTAAATTATAGACCTGAACGTGTCCGCCCCAAAACTAGGGGGCGATTTGGATCTTTTCAGCGGCGCTGTTTCCGACCCCATGCAACTGTCAACAACAACGGCAGGTCCGTGCCAGATGTCAGAAGTGTCTACAACCGCTACTGGGCATTTTGGAGCAAGAAGATGGAGCATCGTACAGCGTTGTTTTTGTCCTACATGATGGACGCGCGACTTTTTCTGCAGATGAGTGTTTTTGTTCCAGGGTTACGGGGGCATGGTGCACGCGCAAATGCATTGTCTGATCATACTCCGAATACGCTGGTTACATGGTAGAGAAAATTGAATTCCAATCGCATTATCTGGGTGTCATAATCAGAGTTCTCAAACTCCGATTATAGTCGGACTAAGGTGTTTACATGCACTTCAGTTGTCTGGTCTTAATCGGAATGAGGCGATAATTCGGTTTTCTCGAGTGTCATGGAAACATACTGACTGATCTCTGCTGACCCGTTAACATGCTCATGTTAACATAGCCTCCTGCTGTGACTGTGGTTCCCCCTTTGGTCCTGATGATGTCTTTGTTTGGAGCTGAACCTTTAGATTCTCCGAAGTTAGCTTAAGTAAAGAACCGAACCAGGAGCTCAGTTTCTCTGCTGGATCCTCCACAGAGTCTTATCAACTCAGCTGATGTGTCTCAGATCTCTTCTTCTTTTCTTCTTCTTCTCCTTCTCTGATCTCAGATGAATCGTCCTTCTGACTCTTGTCTAATTAAACTAATTACCTGTCCCTCAATTAGATTCTGATTGGCTGGTTGGTCCATTACAGGTGGGAGATAAGGATCGGTCTGCGTATTCGATTGGCCGACTCGGCACTAATGGATTCCTCTCTTTCTCTCTCTCCGTAATGTTTTTCTGAGATCCGTCTGTAAACTCTCTCTTTCTTTCTCTTCCTCTCTCTCCCTCCTGCCCGCTTGCTCGCTCGCTGCAGGATGACATAATCGTGACCATGAAATATTCAAAGTACTGAGAGAACCGCTCAGGAGAAGCGGGCCGACCCGGTACTCAGGAGACCACCCCTCTTTTGTTAGACCTTTATTTATTACGACGGTTGAGTCCAGCCCCTCAGAGAGGTCCAGGCTTCGCTCAGTCGGCAGTCTAAGGACGTTAACTGACCCTGGTCAGCCATGTTTGTTGACGGTCTCCTCTGTCTGTGGGCATGTGGCCAGACCGAAGATCTCCTCACTGTGGGATCTGAGCTCCTCCTCTCGAGGTCCAGGATAAGACTGGTCTTCTGCAGAGCCTCTTATATGATTAGATGATGATTATTGATGATATTGATTATTATTCACCTCTGCTAAACTCACCTGCACTCACACCCAAGTCCACAGAGATGTCAAAAGCACAAACTTGTTTTTTTATCTTCATTTATTATCGTATTTTATTTCTCATTAAAACCTTTGAACACTTTTGTTCTGTTTGACTTTAAATCTGGACTTTTATCAGTTTCTGTTCTGATCCATATTTCAGATTACGCTCTGAGAGATGAGGGCGGAGTTTAAATTTGAAAAAAGGAAAAAATGACGATTTCTGAGGAACTGTTTTTATCCTTTCTTTCTTTCTTCTTTATTTTTCTCAAACTTTAGGAACAGAAAAAAAATAGAAACAAAAACACTAAACAAAATTATACATCTGTACACCAAACAACTGTACATGTCAAAGATAAATTTACACTAACTAGTTTGTCAAAATGAAACAGTTTGCGAAGGAACAGAATGCAGCAAAGAGATGATCTAGTCCTGACCCTTCCTTGCAAATTAGAGATTATTATTATATATATACATATATATATATATACATATATATATATATATATATATATATATATATATATATGTATTTGTATAAATGACAAAGATTTGTATAAATACCTACATATTATACACAAAGATATCTGCTCAACACTACATAGATTACTTATTTGCCCATTATAATAATAATCAGTGTTATAATATTCAGAAATAATATTACTAATATTCCTTTTATACTTTTCTATAGTTTGATTGAAATATTTTGATGTTATTGGACGTGATCTGAGGTTAAAGTCGGCTGACGCAGGAGGACCTCTGTTTATCTCTCTGACCTCTGATCCTCTCCTCAGATACACGTCCAGATCTTCCCTCTCCCTCCTCCTCCTGACCTCTTTGTTCATCTCTCCTTCTCCTCTTTCCTCTCATCTGTCCTCGCTCAACCTCCTCCTTCTCCTCCTCCTCCTGGCTCCATGTCAAACCACCACTCCATGTTGTCCTACTGCAGGACGAAGACTTGGCTTGGGTGCCTGCAGATAATGACCCCGGAGAAGGAGGGAGGGGGGGTAAAGGAAATGAACAGAGGAGGAGAGAGAGTATGGAGGGATGAAGAGGGGAAGAAAATAAAACCCCCTCCTCCTCCTCCCTCCACTAACCAGCTACAAGCTCTCTAATGCTGCCATCCATTATTTAACATTAGCAGCTCCCAGCTCACACACACACACACACACACACACACACACACATACACACACACACACACACACACACAGCTGGTTTAATCGCCCTTCTGCAGTCACTAACTCTGACATTTTAAGGTCTAACTTAAATCCAGCTCTGGTGTACTGCCCCCTGCTGGTCAGAAGATTTCTAAACAGGAGGAGTCACGCTGGTTCTGAAGGACGTTCATGTTCCAAAATGTTGGGTTTCTTTGATAGAGTACTGGTTCTGGAATGTTTGGATCTAAGGCTATGTTCACACTACAGGTCAATTCCAATTTTTTAACCATATGTGACACATATCTGATTTTAAGTGTGAACGGTGCAATTCTGATTTTTTTATATTTATATATAAATAAAATTTGATTTGATTGATTGATAGGTCACCCGGGGGATATGCTGTTTTAGCCGAGCGTCATCACAGTGACTCACCCACCGATTGCGTACAACGCTACTGCGCAATGTTAGTTTCAGGAAGTGGAGAAAAAACACGGAATTACCAAGAACTTTTCAGCTTCAAATCTGTATACTGCAGGAAGGAGGAACCAAGTTGTTCAGAGTAAATACAGGATATGGTTCAAGAAGGAGTTATCGTTCTTCTTCACACTCAGCTCTGTCAGGAGAGAAGAACAAGTTTAAAACCAGAGGAATCCAAGTTTAACACACACACACACACACACACACACACACACACACACACACACACACACACACGTGCAGCATCAAAATTAATTTATGTTCCATTAAAGGTGCATTACGTATAATGCAGGCTGTAAACTCAAGGTTGCTGCGGATTTACTGCTGCTCACTGACAGTAAACACACACACACACACACACACACACACACACACACACACACACACACACACACACACACACACACAGTGGTAACCAAATGCTTTATAGCTGCAGGGAGGTGTGTCTATGTGTGTCTTTTTTTCAACACGTTTTTTTCTTATCTTTTTTTTTTTTTTTAGAACAAACATCTACTGTCACACACGTGATTCAGGGAACAGATAAAGTAACCTTTGACCTTTGACACACACGTCCTCAGTTTCTCTCCAGTTTTATAAAGTGTTTTTGGTTTTGTTGGTACGAGCACAGCTCTGGTTTCTGCTGTTTCTCCTCCACCTTAGATGTCTAAAAGTGTCAGTCACAGTGAACAGAGATCAGCCGTGAGAGCTGAGAGTCCTGAGATGAATAACTGAGATGATGAAGAGGGGGAGATGATGATGGTTTTTAAATTCTCTCTGTTTCCTCACACCTCTGCTGCCCTGTAGGTCTGATACTGCGGGTGTCCCTCAGGTGCTGTAACCTGGTGAATTTTGCTGCAGCTGTGTGTGTGTGTGTGTGTGTGTGTGTGTGTACGCTGCAGTCAGCAGCTGTCTGACGATCTGCTCGGCTGTTGGTTCTCACAGTTTCATCCATCTGCAGTTTTCTCTTCATTTCCAACCAGAACCTCCTGAGAAGAAGTTGTTAATTGTAGATCATTTCAAACAGAAACACACATTCACTCAGTACGTTTCCATGACACTCGGGAAAACCAAATTATCGCATAATTTCGATTAAAGGTCCTTACACACAGGGGCCGACGCAAATATAGAACGCGAAATTACAAAATATTCGGAGGCGAATTTTGATGTGCCTGACTATACACATCAAGCTCAAGGCGATTTTGCGACTTTCCGGGGGGGAAAAGACAGGTCCTGGGTGGAAGTGAGAAGACTGACCCAACAGCAGACTGAGGGCTCTATTTTCGTGCCTCGCCAGAGACGTGGCGCAGGTGCGGCATAAGTCAGGTCTGCCGCGCCAACAAGGCGTTCCCAAGCACAATTTGGTATTTTGGAAAGCGGCGCAGCCCAGCGTAAGTATCCCCTCTCCCTAACTCAGCTCCTCCGAGTGGCGTAAGTCGTAGCGAGGGAGGAGAGAGGGCGTGTAGTGGGTTTAACACAGCCGAGACCTGTATTGACCAACAACATCAGCTCCTCTCCTCGCCTTTAAATCCGCCACCGGCGAGGCGTATTACTATTTTCGTGAAGTAGTCAAAGAGATGTCTGAAGACAGTAATGCCACACGATGGCGACAGAAGGCAGCCCCTCAACAAGTGACGCTGTAAGTGCTGCAGAGGGCGTCCTTCACACTGAGCACAGACGGATTTCGTGTGTGTAATGTTGGACCCACTAGTAAGACAAACACCCTTTCCACAAATAAAAACACTCACATAAAGTTGCACATATTCAAACCTCACGTGAAAAAGGTGGGTTGTGCGCAGAGATCACATCATAAATTCCAATTATGGCATTAAAATCGAAACCATCTGTGCGTAAAGGACGCATTGCGCACCTTTCTTTCATAGATGTTGGCATATAAAATAAATTTGGCTCACAAAACTGAATATTATAATATTCACATGTAGGCTTAAAATAAATAACTCACCTGGGGCCTCATGTATCAACACTTGGGACTCATACCAGAAACGAACGCACGCAAGGTCCGTCACGCTGAAAAAAATCCGTATGTATCAAGGTGTGCGGGCGCTGAAAGCCACGTGTGTTTCCTCGATAAATCTCAATCAGCTTGGAATTGAGCGCAGATGTCGGAGTGACCGGGCCCGCCCCCGTTACGCCCACCTATAAATATGCAGATTTATTTAAATAGGGTCTCCCTGTCCTCGCACGCAGACAAAATGACAAGAAAAACTAAATTTACGGCGTGCGAGGTGGAGGTGCTGGTGGTGGAGGTGGAGGAGTGACAGCGTGTTTTGTTTGGCAGCCTGTCCAGTGACGTCAGTGCAAAACGAAAACGCTTGGAGTGGGAGAAAGTTTGCGAGAGGGTTAATGCGGTGGGTTCCGAGACACGCACCCCCGCAGAGATTTTAAAAAAGTGGTCGGACCTCAAGGTGGAGGTCAAGCGGCATACACCTGCCCTCCGGAGGAGTACCGGCCAGACAGGTGGGGTTCCGGGGGAGGAGACCCTCACACCGTTTGAGCAGCGGGTGGTGGCGATTATTATTATAGGGTAAGTGGCGTGTCACACAAATGTCCACATGCTTTGCCATCCCACTGAGCAAAAGACGTATATTAGACGTCTAGTCTAAGTTTATACTTCATTTCAACGTCGGGATTCAGTCTATTTTTAGACGTGATTTATACTTTGCCCTTAACTTCATTTTTCGATAAGTTTTTATGCAATAAACAACTGTAATGTGCATAACTGACCTCGAAATACTGGATTACATTACCTATGATACCGTGGAGAGAGATGTAAACGCAACAGATACACAGAAGCAGGAATTGAAATGAACAAATATTTTTATTGTGTCACAGAAATCAATGTGTCGGCCGTGTCGCCGGCTTGCGGAACCCCGGCCCGCGGCAGCCCGTCCGCCGGCTCGGAGTCGTCGGCCAGGACCAGCGGCATTTGGGCCACCCCGGCCCCCGGCCCCAGCCCCAGCACCAGCACCAGCACCAGCACCAGCACCAGCGCGCCGACAAGCGGTGGAGCGTCCACCAGCCGCGGCGCTTCCGCGACCACCCGGACGCAGTGGAAGGGTCCTCACGGAGGCGGTCCTGCAATCGCAGGAAGGCTCGTAAATGTCCTCGAGCGTCTGGTGGCGAAAATAAATTAATTTGGCTCATTGAACTGTGTATTCACTTCTTACCCATTCACGCTGTGGCAATGAGATTCTCCCGTGCGAGGACGGCGGCCCGGCAGGGATCAGCTCGCATCCCTCCGTCTGCAGCTGGTTCGTCATGTGGGGCGACGTGCTGCTCGGCCACGGGAATGTGGTGCACGCTTGTCACATAGTGAGTCACCAAACACCGCCACACAGCGTCGCCAAAGTGCCGTCAACGCAAGTATCGGCTCAACGCAAACTTCTACACCACCTACTCACTTTGCGTTGATTAGCGTGGAACCGACGCTCGTGTCGCGATGATAAATCTGGACGTGTGAGGTGAAGGTTTTCTGGCGCCGCCAGCGTTGATACATGAGGCCCCTGATCACTGAAACAAATCATCTGTTCAGCCGCTGCAGCAGCAGCAGCAGCTGCAGCAGCACGGGGAGACGACACGGAGACATGTCCAGGTCGAGCTGCGCGAGAAATAAGAGGAGGAGGAAGACAGAAAAGGAGGGAGACGAATTAAATATCTTGTTAACTTCATCATGTGTGTATATTTACTAGATATTTAATTTAAATTAATGTGGTTTCAGCTGTGTTGATTCGGTCAGGTTGTGTGTCCAAACGCGTGCCAAACGCGCTCATCGGATCAGATATAGATCAGAATATATTAAAATAAATCTAAATGTATGTGCTGACTTAGATTATTAGTTGTTGATTATTTATTGCACTGAAATGTGCCTGACACTGTGGAAACCTGCCGGTGAGGCATCTGTGACGTATGCCGATATGCCGTCAGTCTACCAAGATACCACTAGACCAGCTGCGCTCTGCCTGCACTGAAAGCTGACCAGGTTTGAACCGCGAGCTTTTAGCACACTTTATGTGCCACCGGTGAGCACAAAAATGTCACTGCGGCAGCTGATTCTGTTGACACCTCCTTCTGCCACGCCACCACGCCCAGCTTGGCGGACCTTGGTGCGCCTCAGTCTACGAAAATACCAAACTGGCTGTATGCCGGGCTCCGCCAGACAAAAATACTAATGCGTGGGGGCTGCCACCCTCCACCGCCTCACCGGCGGACACGAAAATAGAGCCCTGAGTGTTTTTCAGGTCTGATTAGACACTAGTGTTGAGATGGCTGTCTGTCATGATAGCATGTACTGAGTCTGGGCCAGTACCAGATAAGCACATTAAACTATGATCCATAATGACCGAGACCTAATGGTGCTGTGACAGCAACGCTGTGATTGAGTTTGAGACAGTGAAAATACATATGGTATGTTGTATCTGAACAGGATAGCTTACGAGCTAAAGTTACTTACTTACGTTAGCACAGATGAAAGTTAAAACAAAGACGTTTAGCAAACTGATAAAGCTCACAAACCATCATCATATGACAAATCCGACGCTATGACTCTCCACAAGTTGTCCGTTAGGTTGTTATCTTTGTAATGTTTGTGTTTTCATCAAAAAGCACTCTGTTCTCCGACACGTAAACAATCAGCCGGTCGGCCATGTTGGATATACCAGTGAATCAGATGTTGCAACAACACGCAATATGATTGGTCAGAAGTGTACACACAGTATGCAAAACTTTAGGAAAAAAAAAATGCTGCAATATCACAGGACAGGAAAACGTCGCTGATGTGAACGCTTGTATTGACAGGATACGGGTTCGAAAAAAGATATTGACATCCAAAATAATTGCACGTAAGAAACGGTCCCGGCGTGAAAGGACCTTAAAACCGGACAACTGAAGTGCATGTAAACACTTTAGTCCTACTATATTCAGAGTTTGAGAACTCTGATTAAATTCGGAGAACTCTGATCAAGACAGATAATGCGATTGGAATTCGATTTTCTCTACCATGTAACCAGCGTAGTTGGAGTATGATCGGACAATGCATGTGTGCGTGTGTGCCACGCCCCCGTAACCCCGGAACAAAAACATCATAGAAGAGGAGTAGAGTGTGTCTCATCTGCAGAAAAAGTAACACGTCCATCATGTCGGACAAAAACAACGCTGTACGATGCTCCATCTGCTTGCTCCAAAATGCCCAGCAGCAGTTGTAGACAATTCTGACGTCTGACACCGACCTGTTGTTGTTGTTGACGGCTGTATGGGGTCGGAAACAGTGCTGCTGAAAAGACACATATCTCCCCCTAGTTTTGGGGAGGAGGACACGTTCACGTCAATAATTTAATTTTCTCAGCTGCATGTATTCGCCGACAAGTCCGATTCAGCGGGAAAAAAAACAAATTATGAGCTTAGTCCGAAAATAACTGTGCATGTAAACATACTGAGTGTGTTTCCTGTTTCATGATTGAGTTTCTAAACTGAACATTAGTTTTAACTACTTTACTCTCTTTATTGATGTCAGCTCCGACAGAAGAATATAAAGCTTTTCTCTCTGACTGTATGAACTAAATGTTTTTATACTTTGTCTGTCCGAATCAAATGTTGTAGGATGGTGGAGCTCGCTCTGCTGACTGTAGACCCTCACTCTGTGAACCAGCAGACTCCTTGGTCCTGTTAAAGTGCTCATTTATGTCTGTTTTCTAAAGGGTCTTCTCAGCTGGAGACCAGTCTGGGTTTGAGTCTGAGAACAGAGGAATAACAGATTAAAACTCACTTTCACACAGATTAACGTGTGCAGAAAAGACCAGCTCTCATGTTTCTCTTTGGAGGTTCAGAGAGCAGTAATAAAAGTAAATTATGAAAGAAGAGTGCGGGTCTGGATCCAAGTCCAGTATTTGGTCCAGCACAGAATCATTCTTGCTTCTTGGCCACAGTCTGACATCTCCTTCGATTCCTCTGAGCGCCAACAATCACAGATGAGTCCAGCTCTGCTCGGCCCGCTCTCTTATCTCCATTGATTCGCTCACAGCTGCCAATATGGCTGCCTGAGGACGCCTGAGGTCCAGATAAACTGACCCGAGTGCTGTCAGGACTCCAGGACTGAGTCACTACAGACCCAAACACCCCCATTAAACCTGGATACCCCCCCCTTTGAAAGGCTGAATGTGAATTTGTGTGTCAGCAGCTTCATGTTCAGATTCTAAGTCCTGGTTGACGATCTGATCTTCAGTTAAAAAAACTGAGCCGTCGAGGCAGATTTGAAAAAAGTGTTGCACCCCCCCACACACAAACCCCTCCCCTCTGTTCTCCACCATAACTTCCCCCTGAACCTGTATCGCCCTCCCCACGACACACCCCCTCTGGCAGAGCAAGAAGCCAGCTGGCAGAAGATCCTACGCTCGCTTCAAATAGGATTCACCATGTCGGATTTTTAGTGACTAGCGGCAGTAAACGCCAGCTCTGCTAGTGAACGCCATCTGCAGCTGCCTGGAAAGCTACCGTGTTGACATTACAGAGACTAATAAGAGATATTTCTGTAACATGTGCCACGATAAAAGGCGATAAAAATGACCTGTTCAACAAAAACTCAGGCCCAAATCTTGGCGGAGCTTTCTCCACCGCTATAAAGATGACCTGATGTTTATTCCAGTTAGATTCCTCGCTTGGTCACATGTCCTCTTCGTCTCTGCTCTTTCCTCTGTCAGCTTGCATTTTCTTCCCACTTTTGGCGGTGGGGCAAGCAGAAGTGATTTTTTTTGCGTCCTTCTCCATCACAGCTCCTGTAGCTAAGCTGCTACGCTACTTTTAGCCGCTCAGAGCTCCGAAGAGGGCCGGAAGCGTGGGAGTGGACAAGACTACGGGAGAGGGGTGTATCGAATACAGCGAGGTGATTGCATGGAGAGGCGGAGCAGGAGATTAGCCAATAGGTGCAGTCCGGGACGGATGGCTCCCATTGGTCAATGTTTTTGCAGCCCTGCACCGGCTAGGATAAACAGATTTTTTCCATTCTTTTTTCTCTTCACTTTGTGGAGATCGTACTATAGGACCATGATCGCCATAGAAACGAGGGTCATAATATTTACCAATCTCTACAATCCAGGTCCACCAACAGAGAGCAGCTCTTCATGACCTGAAGATCTGATTCTAAGTCTGATTATCATACTGAAATATAAAGAGTTTAATTCCACTCAGAGATTTTCTTCAGGCGTTTCTAATCACTGGAGGATTTAAAAACATACACACACACACAGAGTCAGATTTCACTGAGACTTTAAGAACTCAGACAGAGGTTTCTGAGGTTAGGACTCTTTTCTTCAACAGACTGAACACCTGAAAACCTACAAACTATGACCACGAAGTCTGAAGATGGATCCCCGCTTTAGTCCTGGAGACCTGATGGTTGGACGAAAGGCAGCTGAGTGGATCAACCTGTGGACCTGCAGAGTCACAGACCCACATGGTGTAAACATTTTGCCTGCCCCCATCATGAAAATCCTGTTTCAGTCCTGCAGGATGAAGTCCAACATCAGACTCCTCTGTTGGTCACGTTGAGGACGGGTTAATCTGTGCTGAATTTATCTGGAATGCTCCGGCGTCCAGAAAAAATGGAACTCATGCGTACAGCTGAGGAGTCTGGCGATCCCCAGAGGAACGAAAAGAAGTCAGTGGAAATTGACACGTTAACTTGAATAGTTACGATCAGTTACGATCGGAGGATACAACCTTTTAGTAGACGTTCAGGATGAGGTGGAAATTGGGTATTAAAGGTCAGGAGCAGGTCCAGCAATAAAAAATTGAATTATTGACCTGAACGTGTCCTCCTCCCCAAAACTAGGGGGCGATATGTGTCTTTTCAGCAGCACTGTTTCCGACCCCATACAACTGTCAACAACAACAGCAGGTCCGTGTCAGACGTCAGAAGTGTTTACAACTGCTGCTGGGCATTTTGGAGCAAGAAGATGGAGCATCGTACAGCGTTGTTTTTGTCCGACATGATGGACGGGCTACTTTTTCTGCAGATGAGACGCACGCTACTCCTCTTCTCAGGTGTTTTTGTTCTAGGGTTACGGGGGCGTGGCGCACGTGCACATGCATTGTCTGATCATACTCCGACTACGCTGGTTACATGGTAGAGAAAATCGAATTCCAATCGCATTATCTGGGTGTCTTAATCGGAGTTCTCCGACTCCGATCAGAGTTCTCAAACTCCGACTGTAGTCGGACTAAGGTGTTAACATGCACTTCAGTTGTCCGGTCTTAATCGGAGTAAGGCGATAATTTGGTTTTCTCGAGTGTCATTTCTCTGAGTGTCTGAGCAGAATCACACAAACTCTGCTGGCCTCCTGCCCACTGTCTCCTCCTCCTCCTCCTCCTCTCTCTCTCTACCTGTGATTTATAGCTTTGTACAATGAAAGGTGAAAGCCTCTAGAGCCAAAATCCAGCAACCTGTGTGTGTGTGTGTGTCTGCTGAAGTATCTTGTACAGCATTTACAGCTTCTCAGAGATCAGCACTTCTGTCCGTCTGTCTGCTTTTTCATGTTCACGCTGGTTTATTAAAGGTGTCGTCTCCAACAGCTCTGGTTCTGGAAGGTTCTGGAAACAGTCCCACATATTGAGTGTTTGTCCGATCTCTTTATGGACCTGTGGTGCTGCTCAGTTATCTAAAGGATCAGAACCATCCTGCAGTTTAATGGAAGTTTGATATCAGTCTGCAGAAAGCTCGGCTGGGATTTTCCTCTATCTATCTATCTATCTATCTATCTGCGCTGTCACTCGTCTAGTTAATTAGATTAATTTGGGATTAGGTGTCCTTGTTCAGGTTAGTCTGAATTTATGGTTAATAGTTAATTTGTAGTCTGAGCTCAGTGTGCAAAAATCTGGATTTAAAAAAAGGTATTATTTCAGCCCTGACTGATATGTATCCTGGAGTTTATCCTGCTCTGCCTGTTTGCTGATTTCCTCATGTAGAGACACCATGGACGTTAAATAATAGAAGTTTCTAGAGTTTATCCTGCTCTGCCTGTTTGCTGATGATGTGAATGTTTCCTCATGTAGAGATACCATAGACTTTAAATAATAGAGGTTTCTGGAAGTTCTGTTCCGCCTTTTTGCTGATGATGTCACTGCGTTTCCTGCAGATACGGTGACATGGTTCCCAACACCATCGCAGGAAAGATCTTTGGTTCTATCTGCTCACTGAGCGGCGTGCTGGTGATCGCCCTCCCTGTGCCCGTCATCGTGTCCAACTTCAGCCGGATCTACCACCAGAACCAAAGAGCGGACAAGATGAGAGCACAGCAGGTTTGATTCCCATATTTTCAAATAACCGTCATCCACGTTATCTCTGCTGGCTGTAGCACAGAGTTTATCAGGTGAGAGCTGTTGGCCTCACAGACTGAGTGGATATTACATTAAGTCAGAATGTTAACTCGGGCTGGGCGATAAAATGATAATGACATATATCGAAAATAAATTTCCCTCAATATCAATATAAAACATGGTCAATATGCTTTTTGACAGTCGGCATTCTGCCATGTTTTGGTAGACTATACGAATAGCCTATGAAAAGGGGAGTTTCTGCTTTGGGCTGAACCAATCATGTGCTGAATTAGAACCAAGTGTCAAACAACTGTGTTGTAGCAGACAGCTGCTACACCCAACCATAGCACTTTAACAGGTGAAGCCAAGAGTGGTTGGTGAGAAAAAATGTAAATGAGTGCTACCCCCGACAGAAATGACGACGAAGGCTCAACAGATGACCACATCGTCGACAACACTGACACAAAAACGTCAATGGTGTGGAGGTATTTTGTTTTTTTGAGGTCGAACATGAAGCAGAGTAATGTGGACTGATTCACCACTATGCCGCAGAGCACGCGCAACACAAAAGGTTACAACGGTAACCTTTTGCCCATGGCACCGGTGCAGCCGAAACAGACGAATATTCAGTCCACTTTCTCCAGAGCAACGCCTTAAGACAAAATGTCAAAGAGACACAAAGACCTCACAGATGCAGGAGATTATTGTATTGGAAAAGACATGCGACCAATAAACACTGTTAAATTTTATTTTTTATATCGTGATATATACAGATACCGACTGACATAAAAAAAATATTGTGATAAACTTTTTCCTATATCGCCCAGCCCTAATGTTAAACCAACAGCGTCACTTAACCCGTAACAGCGCGATTGCACCTTTTACAGACGAAGTTTAGGAAAGAAAAAGTCAGTCAGTTATCCGGTCCAGACAGTCAATTTCAGATTTGACCTTCCCATCATGCATGACGATCATCATCAGCAATCCCATCAAGATTTCAGGACTTCAGCCGCAGGCCGCCATCATCTGCAGGCTAACCACGACTAAACACACCCGTTAGCTCCCACCCCTTTCTGCTCAGATGATGCTGATTGGTCCTGTCATGAATAGAGCTCTGAGGGCTTCAGGTGTGTGTGTGTGTGTGTGCTGACGGCGCTGTTTCCTGTGTTTCTGTCCAATAGAAAGTGCGTTTGGCTCGGATCCGCATGGCCAAGAAGGGAACAGCCAATGCCTTCCTCCAGTACAAAGAAGACCGATCAGTCGGGGTGAGACACACACACGTAAACACTCACACTAACACACACTAACACACACACTGGCAGTCAAGAGCTTCTCCCCCTCCAGCAGAGGGTTTGGGTTTCTGTTATCAGTGATGGAGAGAGAGAAAAACACAAATCCAGACCTGAACGTGGACCGCTGTTTGGAGGATTATGAAGACGTTAAAGAAAAAAGGAGACCTGTTCAGAGGATTAAAAGTGTCAAACCAGATCCAAGAGTGTGAGGTACTAAAGGCAGAGACTCACACCTCCAGACGATGGATGGACGTGGAGCTGCTGGCTCAGCAGTTTGGAGCTCCACCAAAAAAAAAAAAAAAACAACAACTCCATCAGCGAGAGTTTTCCCATCAGACAGCTGGCAACCAGAGAAGAGAGAGCTGGAGCAGATCTTCATCGGAGGACAGGATGGTGGGTTTACAGATGGACAGGGAGGGAGGGACAGGTGAGTTCAGGGAAGTCCGAGTCGAGGGGCCTCATTCATCAATCGTGCATTCGTACAGATGTGTTTTTATAATGAGTGCGTACGAACATTTCCATGCAAAGTCTGGGATTTATCAACCTGTACTTGTTCTTAGAAACGTGAATAAATTGAAGACCAACTCTGACCATGTGTACACACAAACTCTAGTGGTAGAACAGTAAAACAGTTCAGCAATCTCAAATCTCAAACTTCACACATGTTCTCTGTTCCCTCTGTACAAAATTGATCAATTAGTTATTGATCAGACATTTTGAATGATTGGAGTGACAAGCTATAAAATCAGCTGTGACAGGACAACCTCAGAAGACTGACAAGTACAAATACAAGTATCATGGTTCTTTTATGGACTTTTGGAGGACTTGGAGAAGCGTCTGCTCCTCCTCAGGGAGCGTGCTGATCTGTTCAGTGAGAACACAGAGTGGATTCTCAGCAGGTACCGCTTCCCCAAAAACATTTGTATGGATTTATGATCCATGATTTACAACCCGTGTTGGAGCGAGAGACAAAACGCACCAAAGCCATCCCAGTGACCATCCAGCTCCTGTCCACCCTAACCCGAACATTTCAGCCTGAGGTTGGAGACATATACGGCATTTCACAGCCAACACTAAACAGGATCATGTCGGCAGAATTGGATGCAATAATTTCTCTGGACTCAACTTACATTCAATTCCCAAACATACATCAGCAACAAGCCGAAATAAAATGAGGATTTCACGCCATCGCCGGATTCCCAAACATAATTGGAGCCATAGAGTTCACCCACATTGGAATAAAAGCACCTTCGCACACTAAATTCAGTTTAGTCAACAGGAAAGGATTTCATTCAATCAATGATCAATAATCTGTGATGCACATATGGATCTGTTAAACGTTGTTGGAGGAATGCACGACTCCATTCTGTAAAACAGCTCTGTGAGTGTGCACCTCCATGATTTCAGCGAGGGGGAAAAATCATAGACTGTATATACTATGGACAACTTGGTTCCGCCTACCGCCTGTATACGGATTTGAAGCCAAATAGCTCTCGGTATTTCCGGGATTTTTCTTCATTTCCTGAAACCAGCGCTGCGCAGTAGCGATGTGCGCATTCGGCCGCGCAGTCGCAGAGAGTCGCTGTGATGACACTCGGCTTAAACAGCGTATCCCCCGGGAGAGCTACACAATCCCTGAACGCCCATAGGCTGTATCAGGTGTCAATCATAGAAAACACGAACCCTCTTATAACTTTTAAAAAAGGAGCTTCACAGAAAAAAGAGGACTTGAGCACAAAGCACTCTTACAATAACTACATGTCAACATCACAAGCGGGGGGGAGAAAAAATTATGTTCTGTGTAATAAATTTCTAAAGTTTGTCCACAGCCCCATAAGCTTTGCTGACGGAGGCAGGATTTATGGCCTATACTGCAGCCCATCAACAGAGGGTGCTGTTCTCGGAGTGGCTTCACCCAGCGAGGAGGCAGACTCTGTCCATTCTATATACAGTCTATGGGAAAAATCCATTCAGGCATTTTTAGAGGGGTTGTTGATACCATATATGGTCAATTGGAGGCGTTTCTGAATGTAAATGACCCTAACCATGAATGAGCACGCTAGAAAAGAACAGGTGGGATTTATCATCACAGATTACTTAATAGTGTGCGTACAACCGGTTTTTGCGTGTTTGAGAAATACAGATTTTTTTTTGGTCTTATGCACATTTGAAATTGCATTCCTACAACAGAATTTAGAACCTTTTCTACGTACAGTTGATAAATGAGGACCCTGGGGTCCATCAAACCAGCTGAGAGACTTCAGTCTTAGTGGTTTTCAGAGGACAACACACTAACTCAGTGTTTTATCAGACACACACAGATATATTGTTGAAGCCTAATCCCTCTCTAGTGCTGAGCAGAAAGAAGGACGACTGCTGGATTTAAAAAGAGCATAATAGGTGTAACGAAGAGGAGGAGGAGGAGGAGAAAGGAAGGGGGGAGAGCAGGAAATACGTCATCAAGATGGCGCCCGGATTAGGCGCCCTGGTGTTCTGGTGCTCGTTGTTTTGTCTGTTTTTGTGCGTTGTGCGTGTCATCATGCTCCTACACCCGTGAGGAGCTTCTAAACATCAGATCAACAACACCCACGGACATTACACCAGTTTTTTTGGCATCTGCTGCTGAACTGGTTCACTTTTTGGCCAAAAGAGTTAGACGTGGGCGAAGGGGAAAGCGAGCTGGGGTGCCTCTCCAATGTCCACTCACTCAGCAACAAGATGGATGAGCTGGCACTGCTGATGAAGAAGAATAGAGACTTCCCCTCTTGTGTTCTGTGCTTCATGGAGACGTGGCTAAACGCACAGACACTGGACTGCGCCATCTAACTGGAGGGTTTTCAGCTCCTCTGCGCAGACAGAGATCGTGTACTCTCCGGTGGGAAAACAAAAGGTGGAGGAGTCCAGTGTTGTTTTCGTCAGGCAGGACGAAAACTTAAATGACGACGTCAGACCCCTTTTTTCCTTGCCGAAAATGAGACTAAGACGAACGTCACCAAAGCTCTGTAAAGACTAAAATGTGACGAAAATTGTTTTCATTTTCGTCAGACGAGAACGAGACGAGACTAAATTGTTATTAGGTGGACGAACAAAGTTTCAAAACATGCTTTTTTTTGTCCTAACAGTCACGCCCCCATCACAAACGCACCAAAAGCCTCGCTCGCGCACAGCTGCGCGCACACACTCATACACATACACAGAGCGGCAGGTGGACGAGGCGCGCACACACACACAACGTGGCGGCAGGCACAGCAGCGGTGCCCGGTGGCCGAAAAAAGAGGGATGCTTTATGGTCCTACTTCAGATACAGTCCAAGTGACAATAAAACACAATGTCTTGTACGGGGACGGGGAGACGAGACAGACGACAGTTGTGGAGCCACAGCTTCCTCATGCTGCGGCTTCAAACTGTCGGGAAAGAACACAACGAACCTCAAAAGGCACCTTTTCGAGAGACTAAAACTAGACTAAAACCTATTGAGTTTTCTTCGGACTAAAACTAGACGAAAACTATCAAGGATAGAAATGACTAAAATGGGACTAAAACTAAGAAGCATTTCGTCAAAATGACTAAGACTAAAACTAAATCTAAAATGCCTGCCAAAAACAACACTGGAGGAGTCTGCTTCTACATCAACAATGCCTGGTGCTCCGACGTGACAGTGATCTCCCAACACATTTCACAAATGTGCCAAGTACAGTTTTAGTAAGGAGGTGGCAAAGGCTAAAGCCAGATACAACACATGTCTGGAGCAAAGATTCTCTGCCAACGACCCTGCCTCAGTGTGGAGGAGGTTGAAAGAGATCACCAACTACAAGCCCAAAGCACCTTTTTAAATGAAGACCTAAAACTAGCCAACGACCTGAACGACTTCTAGTCACGCTTCGAAGTCATGGACTCACATCCCCTCACCCCCCACTGAACTGGAAATTCAACCACTCTGGTCCTCCCCCCTCCCCCCGCTGCCCTCTCAGTCCATGAAGAGGAAGTAAACAGACAGTTTAAGTGGCTGAGTCCACACAAGGCTGCTGGACCGGACTGTGTCTCTCCTGCCACTCTGAGACACTGCGCTGATGAGCTAGCTCCAGTCTTCACGGGGATCTTCAACACCTCCCTGGAGTCATGCCATGTTCCAGCCTGTTTCAAGTCCTCCATCATTGTTCCCGTCCCCAAAAAACCTCACGTAACTGGACTTAATGACTATAGGCCAGTGGCTCTCACGTCTGTAGTCATGAAGACCTTTAAACGCCTGGTTTTATCCCACCTGAAGTCCATCATCGACCCCCTCCTGGACCCTCTGCAGTTTGCCTACAGAGCCAACTGGTCTGTAGATGATGCCATAAACCTGGCTCTGCACTTCATCCTGCAGCACCTGGACTCCCCAGGATCCTACGCTAGGATCCTGTTTGTGGACTTCAGCTCTGCATTCAATACCATCCTTCCGGCTTTGCTCCAGAACAAGCTTTCCCTGCTCCATGTGCCTGACTCCACCTGCAGGTGGATCACAGACTTCCTGACGGACCGTAGTCAGTGTGTGCAGCTGGGGAGGAATGTTTTGGACACTTGGGCTCTCAGCACAGGATCTTCACAGGGCTGTGTACTTTCCCCTCTGCTTTTCTCCCTGTACACCAACTGCTTCACCTCCAGCCATGATTCCGTTAAGCTCATGAAGTTTGCGGATGACACCACCCTCATCGGACTCATTTCGGATGGAGATGAGTCTGCCTACAGGTTGAAGGTGGACCGGCTGGTGACCTGGTGCAGCAGCAACAACCTAGAGCTCAACACCCAGAAGACAGTGGAGATGATCGTGGACTTCAGGAAAGCCACAGCCCCCCTGCCCTCCCTCGACCTCACCGACTCCCCCATCACCACTGTGGACTGCTACCGCTTCCTTGGCACCACCATCACCCAGGACCTCAAGTGGGAGCCAACCATCAGCTCCCTCATCAAGAAGGCCCAGCAGAGGATGTACTTCCTACTGCAGCTGAGGAAAGCCAAGCTGCAGGTCCAGCTGATGGTGCAGTTCTACACGGCCATCATCGAGTCCATCCTCAGTTCCTCCATCACGGTGTGGTACGCCAGGGCCACTGCCAGGGACAGACACAGACTGCAGCGCATTGTGGGCTCTGCTGAGAAGGTGATCGGCTGTAGCCTTCCATCTCTCCATGACCTGTACGTCTCCAGGACTCGGGGCCAAGCAGGTCGGATAGCAGCTGACCCTTCTCACCACGGACTATTTGAGACACTCCCCTCAGGCAGGAGGCTACGGTCCATTCAGACCAGAACCTCCCGCCATAAGAACAGTTTCTTCCCCTCTGCCGTTGGACTCATGAACACTTTATAACTCAGTCACTTTAACTCAGTCACTTTATCACTGGTCACTTTAGTTTAATGCACCTTGGTTTTTTAATTGCACTCCTCCCACTGCACTGTTGTTCTGTATTGTGTAGTTGTACATAGCCTGTTATACTTACTGTACATAGCATTGTACATAGCTTTTTATACTTTTATACTTTATATATGTCCTGCATGCGCTTATTATTTTCTATTCTAGTATTTTATATATTATTTTCTTTTTTAATGTTGCACCATCACGCCATAAAAAATTCCTGTTCATTGACAATGGCATTAAAACCCCTTCTGATTCTGAGGAGAAGGGAAAGGAGAACATTAAACGATGAGGAAAAGGAGGGGAGCAGAAATGGAGGAAAGAAAGAGGACGCACAAGAGGAGGCTTTGTGTGAGGAGAAGGATGGAGGAAGAAGAGAAGGAGAAGAAGAAGAGAGATTAGCCTGGTGAAGAAAAGAGAGGAAGGTGGAGGGATAATGAAGAAGAGGAAGACCTGAGGATTATTTCAGGAGGACCGGCCGTCAGCTAAGCCGTCTGAAAATAAATCGGAGCTTTGTTGAACTGAAGGAGGATTTCTCAGACAGAACCAGCTCAGATATTCACCCCTCAGTACTGACCCGGATCACAGACACACATCCGGGTCCAGGGGCCAAACTCAGGTCCAGACTCAGGGGCCCAGGGAGATTAACGCTCACCAATTCAAACCTGGTCAGCCTTCAGTGCAGGCCACAGCTGGTCTAGTGGTATTTTGGTAGACCGTCGGTGTATCGGCATACGTCACCGATGCCTCACCGGCAGGTTTCCACAGTGTCAGGCACATTTCAGTGCAATAAATAATCATCAACAACTAATAATCTGTGTCAGCACATACATTTAGATCTATATAGATATATTCTGATCTATATCTGATCTTATGATCATGTTTGGCACACATTTTGACACACAACCTGACCGAATCAACACAGCTGAAACCGCATTAAATTAAATTAAATATCTAGTAAAAAAACACACATGATGAAGTGAACAAGATATTTAATTCGTCTCCCTCCTTTTCTATCTTCCTCTTCCTCTTGTTTCTCGCGCAGCGCAACCTGGACATGTCTCCGTGTCCTCTCTCTGTCCTGCTGCAGCTGCTGCTGCGGCGGCTGAACAGATGATTTGTTTCAGTGATCAGATGAGCTTTTTACTTTAAGCCTACATACGAATATTATAATATTCAGTTGCGTGAGCCAAATTTATTTTATATGCCAACATCTATGAAAGAAAGAGCCAGGCCATGGAGCGCAATGCGTCATTTACGCACAGATGGTTCCGATTTTAATGCCATAATTGGAATCTATGATGTGATCTCTGAGCACAACCCACCTTTGTCACATGAGGTTTATTTATGCAACTTTATGTGAGTGTCTTTATTTGTGGAAAAGGGTGTTTGTCTTACTAGTGGATCCAACATTACACACACCAAATCCATCTGTGCTTATATGAGAGAGTGTGAAGGACGCCCTCTGCAGCGTTTACAGCGACACTTGTTGAGGAGCTGTCTTTTGTCGCCATCGTGTGGCATTTCTGTCTTCAGACATCTCTTGATCTCTTTGACTACTTCACGAAAATAGTAATACGCCTCGCTGGTGGTGGATTTAAATGCAAGGAGAGGAGCGGATGTTGTTGGTCAATACAGGTCTCGGCTGTGTTAAACCCACTCCACGCCCTCTCTCCTCACTCGCTACGACTTACGCCACTGGGAGGAGCTGAGTTAGGGAGGGGGGATACTCACACTGGGCTGCGCCGCTCACCAAAATACCAAATTGTGCTTGGGAATGCCTTGTTGGCGCGGCGGACCTGACTTACGCCGCGCCTGTGCCACGTCTCCGGCAAAGCACGAAAATAGAGCCCAAGATGTTCCTTTAATAGTCCCACAATGGGAATTTCCAATCTTTCAGCAGCATAGTATAGATACAAAAAGACAATGGATTTATCAAAAATAAAAGCGTCACTTTCATCTAATGGATTAGTTTAAACTTTTCTGAGTTTGATTGGTCGTTACTTTCCGAATAAAGAAGTTCAGTTTGATCTGAATTTGTGTGTGTGTGTGTGTGTGTGTGTGTGTGTGTGTGTCTGTGTGTCTATGTGTCTATGTGTCTAGGACCGGCAGAGCAACAGCACGGCTCTGTGTGTGAAGAACAGATCAGCGTTTGAGCACCAACATCATCACCTGCTGCACTGTCTGGAGAAAACGACGGTGAGAAACACAGAAACAGATCATATGGAAAGAGTCTACTGATCATGGAGGAACTATAGATATATGTAGATATATATGTAGATATAGAAGTTTAGCTCACATGGGAAACAGTATAACCAAACTTCATTCTAAAAACAAGTATTTTTAATGTTTTTATGAGGTTAATTTATGATGAAGTGAGGAGGTGTTTTTTGGGCAGTAGAGAGACCAATTTTCACCATCCACCAATTCCTACCGGAATACGATCCTCCTGAAACACGCAGTGTTTTACTTTGAAAAGAAGCTGGATGTTTTATTTTGTGTCTGTGCCCGCATCCTTTCCAGCACAAGTTAATCTGTGCTGAATTTATCCGGCATGCTCCTGTGTCTGGAAAAAAGAGAACTCTTGCGATCAGTTGTGGAGTCTGGCGATCTGCAGAGGAACTCAAAGAAGCCAGTGGAAATTGACACGTTAACTTGGAATGATTACGATCAGCTACGATCAGAGGATACAACCTTTTTGTAGACGTTCAGGATGTGGTGGAAATTGAGGGTTGGAGTCTAAATACAAAGTTACAGTGAATCTGAGACTCAGGCTCTCTGCTGCTGAAAGAGGTCATCAAACCGGGACCTGGTCAGCCCCTGAGAGCTGGAACCAGCAGGAAAGGTCTCAGTTTGGTCAGATAGTGGTTTTCTTTTTGTCCTGAACACATTTATTTGACCTTGTTTTAGTGTCTTCATCCTCGTTTAACCTCCTCCGACTCTCCCTCACAGTGATTCAGTCTCTCTTGCAGAGTAAATATGGATGCTTACGGTTTAGGATGTCCGAGTTTGTAGGCGTCTGTCTGACTTTTCTCTTTCTTCACAGAATCACGAGTTTACAAACGAGGTGAACTACAGCGAGCTGTGTATGACCGAGTCAGTCGGCTTCAGGACTAGCCGCAGCACCTCCCTGTCCAGCCAGCAGGGGGCGCAGAACAACTCCACCGGCTGCTGCCCTCGTCGGGCCAGAAGAAGAGCAGCCATGAGACTGGCTAACTCCACGGTGTCTGTCAGCCGGGGGAGCGTCCAGGAGCTGGACACCCTGCATGTCAAAACCACCTGTATACCACCACAAACGTAAAGAGGACCTTTAATTTTACAACATGAGCAAAAAAAAAAAAAGAAACACAGCATGACCTTTAAATGACATTCAAATGACCTTTTATATAAAAACTGAGTTTTACTGAAAAGAAAGAGAGAGAGGGACAAATGTAGAAAACTGAGGAACACCAGTAGGACATGAAGGGGAAGGGGTCTGTGAACAGGTCTACAGGCCACGCTCCCTCAGACCTTAAATGGTCAGGTGTGTGACCAGCCTAAATAGCGATAATTGATCAGATGATTGATCATTGTAGATAAAGAGGATTAAAAATGTCAAATATCTGCTTTAGACAGAGACTGATCTTTATTTCAGGGGATGGTGGTGGTGCTCATGGGAAATGTAGTCTTCACTGGAAAAACCCTTAAGACTTAATCCTAAAGGTTCTACCAGAATCCACTTTACATGGAGAAACACTTTAAAGGGACGTTAACCCTCGGTTCCTGTTAATTTGAAACTTCATCCAGCCTACTCTGTCCTCAAAACAGACATGAAGATAAGTGTTGATAAAATTATCATTTTTTAAACTTTTTAAAAAACTTTTTTGACTCAAATCTCTTGAACAACTTCAGCCCTGACTATTAAAAAAAGTAATAAATGCAAAATTCGATGTTACACCCTTTTTATTCCAGTTTTTGTGCGCCATGTCATATTTATTGATTAAGTTTTCGTTCTAAACAGCTGAGTCTGTTGGAGCAGAAAAACATGTCAATTTCATCTCCTTTTCACAAGCCTTGTCCTCTACCAAATTAAATGTGATCAAATTCATTTGTTCATGTTAAATTAATTTTATATATAGGTATGTACAATCAGAAGATATACAGAAATTATTCATACCCCTGGCAAATTTTGACTTAAAGTTACTTTTATTCAACCAGCAAGTTTTTTATTAACTGGTAATGACACAGGCATCTCCCAGAAGATAATAAGATGATGTACAATAGGAATCATTGTGGAAAGAAATATTCCAAAGCTTTTATTTACATTTGAACGAAAAGTGGCATGTCCAAAATTATTCATACCCTTCTCAATAATCAATGGAAAAGCCTTTATTGGCTATTACAGCAACAAGCACTTCTTATATTTCCTGACCAGCTTTTTGCATGTCTCCACTGGTATTTTCGCTCATTCATCTTTAGCGAGGAGCTCCAACTCTTTCAGGTTGGAGGGCCTCCTTGCCATCACCCTGATCTTAAGCTCCCTCCACAGATTCTCTATTGGATTCAAGTCAGGACTCTGGCTGGGTCACTGCAAAACGTTCATGTTTTTGTCTGCTAACCACTTCTTTACTACTTTTGCTGCTGTGTGTTTTGGGTCGTTGTCATGCTGAAATGTCCACTGGAGCCCAAGGCCAAGTTTCTCTGCAGACTGCTTGATGTTGTTGTTGAGAATCTTGATGTATTGTTTCTTTTTTCAGGGTGCCATTTACTGTGATTAGGTTCCCTGGTCCATTGGCTGAAAAACACCCCCAAAGCATTAGGTTCCCACCACCATGTTTGACAGTGGGGATTGTGTTCTTAGGGTTGAAGGCTTCTCCTTTTTTACGCCAAATGAAGGCTACATCATTGTGGCCAAACAAGTCCATTTTTGTTTCATCTGACCACAAAACAGAAGACCAGAAGTCTTCTTCTTTGTCCAGATGAGCTTTTGCAAAGGCCAAGTGGGCTTTTGTGTGCGTCCTCCTCAGTCTGCGTCCGTAGAACCCAGCAGTGTGCAGTGTCCGTTGGACTGTACACCTTGAGATGTTGCCACAGCAGAGCCCAGATTCACCAGGATGGCCTTGGCGGTGATCCTTGGATTCTTTTTCACCTCTCTCACTATCCTCCTGGCCAGCACAGGTGTCACTTTAGGCTTCCGACCACGTCCTCTGAGATTTTTCACAGTGCAGAATGTCTTGCATTTTTTAATAACACTTTGCACTGTAGCCACTGGAACTTGAAAACATTTAGATATGGCCTTATAGCCCTTTCCTGACTTGTGAACAGCCACAATGTGCAGCCGCGGGTCCTCAGTGAGCTCCTTTGTCTTAGTCATGACTGTCCAAAACCCAACTGCAGAGAGCTGTTTTTCACCTGTTGAGTTGATTAAAACAGCTGTTCCCAATGAATCAGGGTAATTAGGATGCTTTAGAACAGCTTGGACTATTTGGAATGGTATAGAACTTTGGATTCTCCCATAGACTGTGACAGTTTGCAAAGGGTATGAATAATTCTGGACATGCCACTTTTCGTTCAAATGTACATAAAGCTTTGAAATATTTCTTTTCACAATGATGCCTCTTTTACATCATCTTATTATCTTCTGGGAGATGCCTGTGTCATTTCCAGTTAATAAAAAACTTGCTGGTTGAATAAAAGTAACTTTAAGTCAAAATTTGCCAGGGGTATGAAAAATTTTGGGCTTGACTGTATGTAAGATAGGAATCATTTACAAGTGGTTATCCACCTCTAACAGAAATATGACCATGATAACACTGATTACACGCATATAGAAAATAACTGCATATTTGAGAAGTGATATCTTCTCACCTAATGATCTGAAGGACCTGTTCATCCTCATGCATGTCCATCCACTTGCTCTGAAGTGAGGGCAAAGTTAAAATTGTCCAAATGGCCCCCTCTCTTTGTCTCACACTGCAGAACTTGGACGTCGGATTTTCGACTGTAAAAACTCCGCTCACAGAATGCTTGGTAATAAACATGGACGCAGATTCGCACCTGTGCACACACAAATTTAGAGCCCTGTTGATCGACTGACTGCAAAAAAAAGGTTGTAATATGTTGCTATGGTGCCATAAACACACGGTCAAAAAAACATATTTTTTTTAATGGAAGTCTATTGTCCGATTTGTGGACAAAGGAAGGTGGATGGAGCATAAAATTTGGCAACGGAGAACTACAGGTGGCACAGAGTTTGTTTGTTTTTTAATATAAAGAAAAATAAGGAACTCTCACCAAATTCGATGCCCCAATCTTTAAAAATGTGACTGTCAGCTCGAAATAAAGAGGAAAAAAATGACAAGGGTTAAAGGACCTCAACAGGACACGAACCTGGGACTCAAATTTTAAATTCAAGGACTTTTTTCTTTTTAAGGTAGACCGACGCTTCCTGTCTGCTCTGGTTCTCTGTAACCCTAAATCTGGTTTCTCGTGTCCCCTCTCTCCTCAGCCGGTCCAGTCTGAATGCCCAAGCGGGGGACCTGAAGCTGAACTGCGGGGAACAGGACTTCACCGCCGCCATCATCAGCATCCCCACGCCGCCCGCCAACACCCCCGATGAGAGCCTCCCCCCTTCGCCCGCCCCCATCCCCGGCATCCTCCGCAACACCCGGGCCACCGCCTACACCTCGGACACCGTCAAAATCTCCTCCTTATAACCTCCGACCTCACCCACCGCTTCCTCCTTCCCCCCCACCACCCCACCAGCCGCCACCCCCCCATGAACCTGGAACCTGATCCAGATCCCAGGGCACCGCTAGCTGAGATTACAGGGACAGATTCTGCAGACAGATACCTCAAGTACCAAAGGTCGCTTTGACTTCCTCTGACCATATTTGGGATTACGTAGAATGACAGGAAATGGACAAAAATGGCGCCTTGGGTTTGGAAATCCAGAACCGGATTCAGGAGTGAAAGCAGAACTGTTCTCCAAAAGTCTTAAGAACACCTCTTGACCCTGACACTCCGCCTCCTTCACGCACATTTTGGACCTTCTGGATCTGATCGCACAAACCCAGACGGGTTCACAGGACCGAGAAGGACCCAAAAGTAGACTTTCAAAACCACCTGAAGGACTGGGTCCATTTTGGCTCTGAGAGGGAACCCACAGTGGAAAGTCCTCCTTCTCAGAACTTTAGTGGTCTTTCTTGTAAGCAGGCTCGTTGACTGGTTTAGGACGGTGGTTCAGGATGGTCCTGATCAGGCTGGTTTGGTTTTTAGAGTCTTCTCTGATTGGACAGACAAACCAGAGGACACCGAGCAGAGGTCCAAGGACCATCTGGATTTAGTTTCCTTTGGGACACAGAAGGTAGACCTGCTGCTCAGGTTTAGACCCTTTAGTTTGAGGTCCAGAGGATGTTAGAACTGAACCTGGACTTCAGAGGGACGCAGGAACCGGTTCTTCTTTGGCTGCTGAATCCACTTCAGGTCACCTGTTGGGTGCTGAAGGCCATCTGGAAGAAAAACTGGACAAAAACCTGACAAATGAACCGGGTCAGAGCTGAGGTTCAAAGAGCTGAACCAGAACTGGACTAACTTGGGTTTCCATTAAGGACTCTGGAGAGCAAGTTTGGTGATTCTTGACTGGGTGAATCAGGTCTGACATGGACTGGTCCAGTCTGGTCTGGCTGTAGCTCAGACTGGGAATGAAAGCCTTTTACTTTCAAAATATGCAAAATAACAAGAAGCAGGAAAATAGCATCAGAGAATAATCTTAGTACCAATAATAACCTGTTTAAACAATAATAAAAAAAAAAAAATTCCTTATTATTGCAGGGAACATCGTAACGTAAAGAAACTCGAAAACTCATCTGTGACGTGGAAACACCGCCATCCTGCTGCAGGGTTCAACGCCACGCCATCAGGTCTGAAGACTTCCTGCCGCATTTGTCCCGATGACGTGCACTCTGGGAAAAAAAACAGGGTCCTTTCATCCTCCTCCTGTGTTAGGGTCTGCACCGACCCGTTTTAGATATTAAATGCTTAAAAGAACCACTTAGGCTACGTTCACACTGCAGGTTATGATGCACAATTTGGATTTTTGTTAAATCCGATCTTTTTGTGCGGTCGTTCACATTACAACAACGAATGCAGCATCTAATGTGAATGGAATGCGTCTGTGTAGTGACCCGCACATGTTCACAACCCGAACAATGGTGACGTTTGTCGCATATTGATGACGTATGGGTCAGATGAACGCGACCTGAGCGTCCACACTGCAGTCACATCAGATACATATCCGATTTATATCCACATACAAAAGAGGCCTGGGTCAGATTTGAAAAAATCAGGATTGCACTGATCACACTTACAAGAAAAAATCCGATATGTATCACATATGGTTAAAAAATCAGAATTGACCTGTAGTGTGAACATAGCCATAAATCATCTTTTTTTCATCAAGACTGTTTGACTTAATCAGGAACTTCTATTTCAACAAAATAAAAACAAAAAAATTAAATAGACACAATTATAAAATGCTCTTATTTAAATTATGGCACTGGTTAGGGTCACTGTTGACCCCGTTAGATATCTAATAATCAGAGCAAAAACTAAAATCCTAATTGCACTGACAGTCAGATCCTCTTCTGATCATGTGAGATTAAGGAAATTCTCATTTTTCCATGATTTTCCTGCACAAAAAAAAAAACATCGGGCATGTCCAGACATGTGCAATTAATTCAGTATAGATGTCTGTGTGAGGTAGTAATGGGCACAGCAGTTCTTTTAGATGTACTGAATCAGTTTACTAAAAAGATTTGTTCAAATGATTCGTTCACTGAGTGATTAAGGTGTCGGTGCATGCAGTCCCTCGTTCGCCGGCTGCTTGTCTGGCAATGCTGCGTGTGTTAGCATCTGCCCTGCTGACAGCTCAACTTAAGTGAGAAACAAACTTGAGGAAGTGATACGGTTTTGTACGTTCAGGAGGAAGTTTAAACAGGACAGATGACCGTGCAGAGGTCGACCCATTTTAATGCTTTCAGCCATCCGTGTTTGTCATCCGCCACCTAAGTCATCCTGTCAAACACTCACCGTTTGAGCAAAGAGCGCTCAAGAGACAGAGTAAAATTTCTAACAGAGCGACCCAATCAGAACACTCAGTCCAAACTCTTTCAATCCAGGTGTTGTTCAGTTTTAATCAGCTGACCTTCAAGGTTGTAAATCCACCAATGTCCGTCAAACATTTATTAACAGTCAGCAGTAATGGCTCTTCTCATTGGTAGATTGACTTCTGTCAGTAGTTTCAAAATCCCGTCAACCAGTCAGATCCTTCGCACACATCAGACCAGGAAGTAGTAGTGCTGACGTAGCTTCCATGAATCGTTTCGAACAATGCTGTCACGGCAACCTGACCACCAGGCTCTGCCGCTTCTTTCAAACTGGGTATTTCCAGAATTTTCTGGTTAGTCCCGCTAAAATCACGTCTCGCTGCTGTAGACCACCAACTTTCCCAGCTGGGTGGTCGCCATCTTGTTTTCTGTGTGGGTCCAGGAGGCAATTTTTTTTTCTGTAGGGTGGTAGGGCAAGGTCCCGCCCTCCTTCACCTCTGATTGGTTAGAAGTGCTGGGCTCTGATTGGTTATACCTTATGGCTGTGACACCTCATCATCTGTCGGGTTAGGAGATCCAGAATTGCGATAACGTTCTGTTTGATGTTCTGCTCCGACAGCTCATGCTCAGCTTGAGCATGTGATGGTGTTTTCAGCTTCTCTAGCCAAGCTTTGTTAGAAATATAGATCTGTAACTCATAGAGTAGAAACATCCAGAACTCAGGTCTGAAGTTCCTCCAGACTAGTAAGGGTCTAGACCTGAGGAACTGGATCAGGAAAGAGGACTTATGCTGCGTTCGAGTTACCTCAGAAGTCAGATGTCAGAGCTGAAAGTGACGTCACACCTGAGTATCCAGCGTTTCAGTTACCAAGTCGGAAAAAAGCAAAATCAGAGGCCGAAACAAGATGGCTACATCTACGAAAGTTATTTTAGCGCTTGCCTTATATTCTCATCCAAAACTCACATCATCATTTTTAAAGTTTTAATCCAGACCAATATTCTTGAGATCCTGTCACCTTTGAGGTGATTTTTTTCTGACCAATGAAAACCCTAAGTCAGCAGGTAAACTCACCCGTCATACCCGTCATAAACATAGACGCTGAAACGGCCCCTCTGATCTGGACCCAAAATGCCAGTTTATCAGAGTGCACGCCATCGGTTTAGTGCGACTTCAGCTGTGAGCTACTTTTGGCGAAGTGTTTCCTCAGCCAATCAGGAGCAAGTGTGAGTGAGTGACGCACAGACAGGAGAAAAGACGTACATACTGTAACATATTTTGTATCATAAACGTTCACCTGCATCTTCCAATCCAGAAAAAGAAAAAAGATGAGTCTGTTCCTCCGTGCATGAGCCTCGTACAGTAGAAGTAGCACTACTGATCAAATATCGACCATATCAGAGAAAAAAAATGAAAACACAGCGGGGAAGAAAAAAAGTGTCATCATCCGTCCTTTTGCATGAAGAAGACTCTGTTTTTTTTTATCCTCTCAGTCATCGCTTTGTTTTCCTCACCCCCCAGACCCCCAACCCCTGACCCCCCGAACTTTTCAAGACGAGTGTTTGCACCACTGAGACGTGTATGTTAGATTACCGAAGAAAAAAACCCAGATTATATCATGAACTTCAATCATTCAGGCATGTTCCTCGCCAGAATGCAAAGAGTGTGTGTGTGTGTGTGTGTGTGTGCGCGCGCGTGTGTGTGTGTGTTTGTATGATGAGCAGTCACAAATATGCATGGATACCGTTATAGGTATTTTATCTGTTTTCTCCTGCAGTTCGAGACGACTGAGCAGAGACTGACACCTGTTTGTTCACCAGGAGCCTTTAAGAACGTTGGACCGTCTGTCTGTCTGTCTGTCTGTTCAACCTCAAATATATGTATAAACGCTAGATGTCTTAGCACGCTGTTAGCCAATGGAGACCAACATGTGCGCATAGCGGCCATCTTGCTAAGGGCAGCTTGCCCACTCCTTAATATTCCAGTCTATGGTTCATGTAACATTTAAATAACCATAAATTGATTAATTTTAAACCGATTTTCAAATGGTTTGGTTTGTAACGAACCTCAGAGTTTTTGTTTTTTTCTGCATACTCAAAAATAAATTTAACCTTGGATTTTCATAAATAAACATTAAACAGATAGGTAGAGCAATAGCTATAGTCCTACACACACAAGACAGTTATATTAAATCATTTATATATAAAACATTTAATCATTCCATGTATGTTTTATTAGTAAAATTTCTATTAGGGACAACTATAATAACATATAACAATAACATATATAAGTCTAAATTTCCGCCTCATGTTTCCATTTTAGATGTTTTTAAAAAACCAAACAGTTTGGAAATTATGAGCAGCTTCAGTTATGTCGAATCAGAATAGCATTTCTGCCTCTTTAACTGATGTAAAATTACTGGGTCAACTTTGCAATATGTACTAATATATGTCTCACTCACAGCAAGTATTTTAGCCAAATTAGACAGCTGGTAAACACAAGCACATCCACAAAGACTCTCACTTAGACTAAATGAATAAAAATAGGCTGTCATACAAGAAATTAAAATCTCAATTGTGGTCTCAGCCTTGACGTAGAGACTCAAAGTTAGCTGTGAAACAACTGTGCTTCATGATTAAGTCTTATTTTTTCTCAAAGCAAATCTGCCATTTTAATACGTCCAAGTATTCCGACTCATAGCCACGTTATTAAAGTCTGTAATAAAGAAAACCATTTGTAAAATCTGTCAAGATTTCAGCGAGTAATGAGGATTTTTGATCATGCAGATTACTCACTTCCTGTCAGCTACCACAGAGCGTACTAGAATGGTATACTGGAGTAAGATGGCCGCCGTGTAGGGACGCCGCTGACTCCGCCTCATAGAGTCATCTAGCTTTTCTTATAGATATCTATGTGTTCACCCAGGAACCTTTTTAAACGTTGGACCTGGTCTGTGTTTCTGTTGGTTTATTATCAGACTGATGCTCCTGGACCTCACCTGTAGCCTCACCTCGGACCGGGTCAAAGTTCTTCCACTGAACCCCTTTGGTTGTTTTTAGTTCCTGTACTGAGTCAGATTTTCAACATTATTTGATTTGCAGCAGAATTGTTGATGCAGTCTTAAATTTTGTCGTTTTTAAAGCCTGAGGGGGCAGGCAGGAAGAGCTTTACACCCCAAGAGCAGGTCCAGGTGTCAGGTGTGTGGCCTCAGTCTGTCCATGAACGTGTTTTTATTGATTTATTTGTTAGAAGCTGAAGTGATGTTTAAACCCTGATCACATGATCACATGATCTTTAATCAAGACTACGTGAAACAGACAAACTCCAGTTCTCTGTATTTCTCAGATGAATACGTTTGAGCAATGCCTCAGATTCTTTCTGGTCCTAACGTGAACAGATGTGAAGACGTCTCAGAGAGTGAGTGATGAAGGGATGAATAAATGAAGGAGGAGAAAACAGCATTAAAGCACAGAGGTGTATATTCCATTCCACTAATAAAGACAACAGAAACCTGAACACGCCGTCTGCTGTCTTCTTTTGTCTGTTCTTCTGACATCTTCTGTCTTCTTTTGTCTTTTTCTGTCTTCATCTGTCTTCTTTTGTCTTCCTCTGTCTTCTTTTGTCTTCTTCTGTTTTCTTTTGTCTTCCGCTGTCTTCTCCTGTCTTCTTCTGCCATCTCCTGTCTTCTTCTGATTTGTTCTGTCTTCTTTGTCTTCTTTTGTCTTTCTCTGTCTTCTTCCGTCTTCTTTTGTCTTCTTTTGTCTTCCTCTGGCTTCTTTTGTCATCTTTTGTCTTGTTTTGTCTTCCTCTGTCTTCTTTTGTCTTCTTCTGTCTTTTTCCGTCTTTCTCTGTCTTCTTCTGTCTTCTGTTGTCTTCTTTTGTCCTCCTCTGTCTTCTTCTTTCTTCTTTTGTCTTCTTCTGTCTTATTTTTTCATCTTCTGTCTTCTTTTCTCTTCTTTTGTCCTCTGTTGTCTTCTTCTGTCTTCTCTTGTTTTGTTCTGTCTTTTGTTTCTTTCTGTCCTTCAGGTGTGAGATCTGGTCACCTCCTTCTGACGTGAACTTCTCTGTTGATCATTAAAAATCTGTTTCAGGAGTTAAAGGAGTTTACTGATCAGGATATTGATTATCTGGAGGTTTGAACGGAAAACGCTGCAGCAGTGCGCTCTAGTGGACACAACTGGAACTACAGTGTCCTCCTGAGGTCGTCATGATAATTATGAAAAAGTAGAAATAGGAAAATTTCTGAGAAGTTCTCATACAGTGATAAAAAAACCCTTCTCTTTGTATTTATCAGTTTGTCTTTTTAAGGTGGGGGATTTTTTACTTTCAGGGCTTGGATTAAAAAAATAATAAAATCCGATAATTTTAAGGACAGCAGCTGACAACCTGAAATAATATGACCTTTTTGTATTTTTATATTAATCTCTACATACAGATTTTTATTTCTTACATCTTCATATTAATCTTTACTTATCTTAAAAAAAATAAACATACAAACGTATATTTATTGGTTTCATTATTTCATCAGATGTACTAAATACATATTGCTTTTTAAATGTCAGTTATTTTGGTTTTCAATGATTCAATATTTTAGTTTTCCATTAACTTTTTTTCATTTATTCATTTAATTCAGTTTTATTAAGAGTTCTTATTTTAACCTGTAAAGTCTAAATTAAATCAATCTGTTTATAAATTATTAATTTATTGTTCATAAATATATTTACGGTAACTTTTTACAATAACCATAATTTATAAATGGCAAATAGATAGTTTATTGATGTAATTTAATCGTTACTTTACCATTAATAAGTAATAAAATTATGATGAATAATTTTCATTAATTATTAATGGACTATTTATTAAAGGTTTATATAGGGTTTAAATATTGGTTGTGAAACATTTAGATTAAAATGTGTGTCAGTAGCACTTTGTAAATGGTTCATAATTGTTTTTTAAACTATCTATAAACATTATTTAGATGGTTATTTAAAATTAGGGTTAGGGTTTTAAAATGGTAAAATTTACCATTTTTTAATGGTCTATATGCTATTTATAAATGATGATTAAACATAAATAAACTATCTGCTTACCATTTATAAGTTATGGTTATTGTAAAGTGTTACCATATTTCTCAATGATAAAATTTTATAAGTGATGCAATTTAGTTTTTGTGTCATCATCCCTCCTAACTTCTCCTAATTTTTCCTAATTTCACAGATTTCTCTCAAATATTTTATCAGGTTTTATTTATTAATTTGTACTTTAGCATTCGAGGTTTTTTCTTCCTCGTGCACGTTCATCCTGATTTCACCTCTGTTCGATTATCGATTAATTGATTTTTTTCTTTAAACTCAGAGTTTTAGATTTACTCCCGTTTTTAATAAACTCCTCCTCTTCACCTGGACTACCTGTTACCTGTCCCACAGAACCACACGGTACTTTTACCACCTTCAGGCGGAACACCTGAGTCCGTCACAGAACACCTGAGCTCGTGACAGAACACCTGTGTCCGTCAGTACACCGGTGCTGCGTCCGAACTGCCCGCTCGGATACTACATGCTACTGCTACGTGCTACTACTAGATCCTACTCCTACATCCTAAACTCGTTGGCCCAATTCGGACACACTAGACGAGCGGTGGGGAAAGACGACCCCCGCAGGCAGAGAGTAGGTACTGCGCCCGTGCAGACAGTGGTAACTGAAGCCCCTCATCTACGGGCCTGGATGTAGTACTGCAGCTGTGCAGTTTAATGATGGAATAAGTGAGCTTTACCTCCATGATGTCGCCACTTGCTCATAAAATGATTACTTGGGCAAATATGACACCATGACATGACAAAGAGATACAACCGCACATTTTTTAGGACAGTGTGTGAAGTTACATGAAACTTACATCTGTACTGCTGCGGTCCCGCCTGCTGCTGCTGCTGCTCCGACATGGTGCGCGCTGCTGTGGCCAGCCGGCGTTCGCGACGCATCTAAATAGGCAGCAGCTGGTAGCGCTAGCATCACATGCGCCTCTACAACTTTTAAGAGGACGAAGAAGAAGCCCGCGGTGCATTTTGGGTCAGTAGCATGCCCGTAGGATGCACCGAGACCAACCTACAATGTGGGCGTGTCTAGCATCTGAAGTAGTATCTGAAGTAGCATGCTACTCGCTCCGGTGGCCAATTCGGACATGCTAGATACTACTTCGACTACTACTTCGACTACTACTTGGCAATTCGGACGCAGCTCGGGACTTAGCTGTGAGGTTTCGGTCGCGCAGAGGATGATGGGAGTTCATCCATGCCGTCTCTTCTCTGTTTAATCACCCGTTTCCTCGTTCAGGTCGCCGAACCTTTGTCTCTTCCTAATAACCGAGCTGCCGGTCTGATCCTCTGGTCTGACCCGGTACACACCTGCCCGGACTGTGACCCGGAAACACCTGAACACACCTGTGCGTCTGTAGAGCGTCTTTGAACGGACCTAAACGCGGGTTTTCTGCTGGGTTTGTGTTTGTACTGGGAGGACTGGGACACCTGTCACTGCTCACCTGACGCCGCCATGTCAGCGGGGAGGTGACGGCAACAGAGCGCGAGACAGCTCAGGTGAAGAGGCGCGTGAGACGGACACAGGTGAGGACGGATTTCAGAGGAAATACAGGACTAAAGGTGGACCAACGGAGGAGACATGGACCTCTTAGATTCGGGACAGAAATTCAGCCCGAGACAGGTGAGTCCGTGTGACGTCACAGGCCGACGTACAGGTGAGTCGGTCTCACCAAAAAAAAAAAAAAAAACCTTACCTGAAAACACAAAAACGGGAACATTACAGTTCTCTGTTTAAAAAAACCACCACAAACCGAGCCGGGTAAGTAATGCTGTTTTTAAAGGTTTTTAATGGTTTTAATGGTCTTATAAACTATCAGACTGGACGTCATGACTCTGACGTCAGAAAACTGCTGCTGTTTCAACAACCAATTTAAAACACAGGAACAGGAAAACGTCAACTTCACTGTCAACACAGACACCGAAGAGACTCAGGAGGGTCTCTGTGGAGACGGGTTCACATTAAAGGTAGTTAAATTAAAGTGAATGTAGTTAAGTCAGAGTTAAAGGTAGTTTAGTAAAAGTTAAAGGTGGTTAAGTCAGAGTTAAAGGTAGTTTAGTTTAAGTTAAAGGTAGTTAGATTTGGGTTAAAGGTAGTTTAGTTAGTTTAGTCAGAGTTATAGGTAGTTATAGGTAATTAAGTTTAAGTTAATTGAGTCAGAATTAAGGGTAGTTCAGTCAAAGATATTTTAGTAAAAGGTAGTTTAGTTAAAGTTAAAGGTAGTTTCATCAAAGTTAAAGGTAGTTTAGTCAGAGTTTTAGGTAGTTTAGTTCAAGTTAAAGTTAGCTGAGTCAGAGTTGAAGGTAATTTAGTCAAAGTTAAATGTAGTTTAGTCAGAGTTAAACGTAGTTAAAGTTAAAGGTAGTTAGGTTTAAGTTAGCTTAAGCAGAGTTAAAGGTAGTAAGGTTCGAGTTCATTTCTTCAGTTAATTAATTTATTTGATCATTGTTCTCTTTAAAACAGATTTCAGTTCTCTGACCTTCACAAAATAAATCCTTTTAAAAAGATTTTTGGATAACCAAGTTCAGATGAGAGAGAGTAATAAGAAAAATCAAAGTGACTCATCAGGAAACAAAGATTTGAAATCGTCTACAGATTTCCAAAATAAAATCAAAGTTAAAGTTTCTTTACGCTCATTTTGGCCGATACAGAATCTACCTGTTACTAGAATGTGTGGCTCCTCTGTAAATGAATGATTTTTAAAACATAAACTAAAAATAAATACATTTAAAATAAATTAATAAATAAAATACATTTAAAATATCTGTTCGCTCTCAAAACGCTGAGAAGTTCATGGACAGAATAAATACTGCAAGTTATCTCCAGCATCAGGAGTTAAAAAAGAATATTGATTATTCTTCGTTTAGTGTGATTTGGTTTTTGCAGGTGAGAGAAAATCTAAAGAAAACAGCAGAAAATACAAGCGTAAAAAACACTGAAAAAATGTGAGTCTGGTCCTGCAGAGTCCTGCACCGGTCTGTGCGCCTCTTAGAGCAGCAGGACCTGAAGTCAGAGCCGAGTCCTCCTGAGAGCGAGAAGAGATGAACATGGGTCAGAGTCAGGGTGTGTTCAGACTGTTGGCGTGCTGACGGTGCAGGACAAGACACGCCGACGCGCCTTGGAGACATTCCTGTTCACCCTGTTTCAGGGAGACGGGTTCACCCAGTCAGAGAGAAAAAAAACATCAATCATGTGATCAGTGGATTAAGGTTTGGGTTATAGGCAGTAAAGTCAAAGTTCAAGGTAGTTTAGTCAGTGTTAAAGGTAGTTTAGTCAAAGTTAAAGGTAGTTAAGTTAAAGTTAAGTTAAGGGTAGTTAAGTTAAAGTTAAAATAAGTAGGGTTAAAGTTAAAGGTAGTGTAGTCAGAGTTAAAGTGAGTTAAGTTAAAGTTAAAGGTAGTTTTGTTAAAGTTAAAAGGTAGTTTAGTCAGAGTTAAAGTGAGTTTAGTTAAAGTTAAAGCTAGTTTAGTTAAAATTTAAAGGTTGTTAAGTTAAAGTAAAAGCTAGTTTAGTTAAAGTGAGTAAAGTCAAAGTTAAAGGTAGTTAAGTAATAGTAAGGGGTGGTTTAGTTAAAGTTAAAGGTAGTTTAGTCAGAGTTAAAAGTCGTTATAGCTAAAGGTAGTTTAGTAATAGTTACTCTATTCCGAGGTAAAGGTACAGTAGTTAAGTCAAAGTTAAAGGTAGTGTAGTTAGAGTTAAAGTTAGTTTTGTTAAAGTTAGAGGTAGTCAAAGTTAAAGGTAGTGTAGTTAGAGTTAAAGTTAGTTTTGTTAAAGTTAAAGGCAGTTTTGTTAAAGTTAAAAGGTAGTTTAGTCAGAGTTAAAGTGAGTTTAGTTAAAGTTAAAGGTAGTTTAGTCAGAGTTAAAAGTCGTTATAGCTAAAGGTAGTTTAGTAATAGTTACTCTATTCCGAGGTAAAGGTACAGTAGTTAAGTCAAAGTTAAAGGTAGTTTGGTTAAAGTTAAAGGTAGTTTTGTTAAAGGTAAAGGTAGTCAAAGTTAAAGGTAGTGTAGTTAGAGTTAAAGTTAGTTTTGTTAAAGTTAAAGGCAGTTTAGTTCAAATTAAAGGTAGTTCTGTTAAAGTTAAAGGTAGTTTAGTCAAACTTAAAGGTAGTTTGGTTAAAGTTAAAGGTAGTTTTGTTAAAGTTAAAGGTAGTCAAAGTTAAAGGTAGTGTAGTTAGAGTTAAAGTTAGTTTTGTTAAAGTTAAAGGCAGTTTAGTTAAAATTAAAGGTAGTTCTGTTAAAGTTAAAGGTAGTTTAGTCAAAGTTAAAGGTAGTTTGGTTAAAGTTAAAGGTAGTTCAGTTAAAGTTAAAGGTAGTTTTGTTAAAGTTAGTTTAGTCAGATTTAAAGATAGTTAGCTTAAATTTAAAGGTATTTAAGTCAGAGTTTAAGGTTATTTAGATTTCCCATGATCAATAAGAGGGCAGTCACAGAGAGAGGATATTTCTATTGATTAAACTGTGATCATATATTAGTTAAACTGTGATCATGTATTGATGACAGTGTGATCATGTATTGATTTCAGTGTGATTATGTATTGATTACAATGTGATCATGTATTGATTAAACTGTGATCATGTATTGATTACAGTGTGATCATGTTTCCTTGACCAGGGCAGAGCAGCAGTCACTGATCTTTTGCACGGGCAGAACTGTCTTGTCGTTGTTTCAGGGATAAAAACCCAAATCTAAATCTGTTTCTGTAATGTTGATGAACAAACTAAAGTCTCAGTGACTGTCTCAGTTTTCTGTCAGATTAGTCTTAACCAATCAGATCAGAGCTGTCAAAATACTGAACACAGAGAGGCGGAGCTCCTGCAGGCTGTTAGGAAATAAACAAAGAGAAAGATGTTGTTTAAAGTTCATCCAACCCCGAGGCCAGAGGAGAACATCAGGACATCATTTCTTTAAACTCCCGATTCACACACAGGAAAACTTGTTTACTTGGATTTTAAGCTGAGTGAGATCTTCTCTGTCTTTAGTTTCCTGTTAGGATAGAAAAACGTCAGTTTGATGACATGATCAGGCTCATACCACACTTATACTGGTTTAGTGGAGCGGGAATATGAGATAATAGTGCAAATGGTGATACAAGCATGAAATTTGGTACAGAGATCCTTTATACCACTACTAATCATAATATAACCTCTGGCCACCTGGGCGTCGCCATTTTTCAAGATGGCTGCCAGCTTTTAGAAATAGCTGCCACCAGGTCAACGTTTTAGACTCTATCACTCTGCTGCAGCTATAAATCTTACATTTACCCTACCTTTGAAATAATATAATATGTTTTAGGTATTTATACCAATTAAAAACAACATATTAGGTTCCAATATGGCAGCAAATAGTCACACTCTAAATTGCTGATTTTTGAAAGGATGATCAAAATGGTGATACAACCATATAATTTGGTACATATGACCTTTATATGACCATATTTTAGAATCAACCTTTGGCTAAGCAGATTTCAACCATTTTAAAAGATGGCCGCCCAGAAATAGAAATGGGAAGAATTCTGTATTTTGTTGGTCATTGTAGCTGCTGTTTGGAAGTTTGTCATATATTTATTCATAATAGATCAGGGTTATTTATATGTCGTAGACATGAGCTTTTATGAAAGGCCATATTTGTTTTAAAAATGGCCACACCATGTAACATGACAAATCCATAATATATTGTGTAGTGTCATTACACTACCAGGGCACACTGGTTGACACTATAGCTGTGAGACTCAGCATGGGGTTCAATGCTAGCTAGTAAATTTGTCTACATAAATTGTCTAGTTTCCTAAATGCTGTTTAGCTTGCCCCAAGTTAAAGTTAAACAGCCGCACCTGAATTGACAGGATGTGCCAGCACGGTAGAGCCGAGCCAAGGAAGATGGGGCTTTAGTCTTCTGGAAGGTGTACAGATCACACAGGAATTAAATAGCATTGGATGAATGATCGGGCTGGGGGTAGGATAGTGATCTTGTTATTATCTGAGCCCAGTTGTATCCCATACTTTAAAGTGTAGAGTAGTATAGTAAGTTGTCTTTAATAGGTGGTATATAAGGATAATCCCTCAGCCTAGACAACAGCAATGGACACACAGACAGAAATACACTCCATGTCTTTGTCACAGGCAGATAGTAGGCCTGTATTTAGTCCAACCAATTGGGAATTATGCTGTTTGTGCCAACAAAACAGCAGTGAAAGGTTAACTAATGCCACAGGCAGTGGTTATCTGACATTGGCTAACAATATTCCCGAATTTCACAAAATGAACTGCATGCCAATTCTCTTTGACCCAAAGCGACTTGATGATGGTGATGGAATTTAAAAGCACAAAAAAACAAACCAAAACAAACAAAAAAAACCAAAAACACTACCCAATAAAGTAGACAGAGGAGATAAAAAAGTTAAAAAAAAAAAGTAAAACTAAACAGGTAAATATACGGAAGTAAACTGGTTTGTTTCCAGTCAACACTATAACACAAACTTTTCTGTGTGAAGCACAAAACAGGCGAGCTCGAACCTTCATCCCTCTCAGATCCACAGCTCGTCTGTTTTTGTTCCTAATGATATTCAGTTTTTTTCCCTCTGAACCCTCCAAGCAAACACGAATCAATCAATCAATCAATCAATCAATCAATCAATCAATCAATCAATCAATCAATCAATCAATCAATCAATCAATCAATCAGTCTTTAGTTACATAGCCCTTTTCATACACGACCATGTAGTACAAAGTGTTTTACGCAGAAAAAAGAAACAAAAAAAACCCAAATCTACCCCAGCCCAACACCTCATTCCCACTCTAGTATCTAAATAGAAACAAAATTAAAATGCATGAACTTAAAAAGGGCTGTAATGTGCTCAGATCATTTTAGAATTCAAGATAAGGTAACACTGGAGGTTTAAAATCTAAAAACAAAGTAACATAAAATGAAATTTAAGAAATAATAAATAAAATGAAATAAAAACAACAGTAAAAGATACTAGAATAAGAGCACCAAAATAGCTCAATAAAAGACGATCCTGTCATTATAACTAGAAAGAGATAAATGCTGAAACACTTAAAGTTAATGATATAAAATTTTGTCAAAAGACTAAAAAGGTATGTTTTCAGTTTGCTTTTGAAGTCCAATACATACCTCATCCTCCTCCTCCTCTTCCTCTCAGGACCCGGACTGGGATGTGGCGCTCCAGTTCCTCCCAGCGGCAGACTCCAGGCAGCTGGAGAAGAAGCCCGGCCGCAGGAAGAAGCTTTGGATGGGGGTGGGGCTTCTGCTGGCGGCGGCGTCTGTGGCTCTGCTGACGGGGCTGCTGGTGTGGCACTTTCACAGTAAGCTCCTTCCAAAAAACTTTAATTTCATGATGTTTTGTTAGATTTTCTCCTGTTTGCACATTTCAATATGAAGGTTCTCCCTGAAGAGAAAAACACCTGAAATAGGTTTACAAAGACACGGGGGTCCTCAGACCTCCTACTGGAACATGTGAGTGATTCTGAGCGCCAGTTTTAGTGAAGAACCAGGATGTCAGAGTAACATTAGGAACACAGAGAGACTCAGTACTCAGATATTGAACTGAGGCTCAAGTACAGAATCAGCAGCATAGAAATCTACAACATACTCTTATTATCCAAGGATCAAAATAACTTTTTACAAACAAAGAGGAGATGGGAGGCAGAGGCCAACATCAACATTTCTCAGGAGGATTAACACATTGTCTGTACTGAAGCACATCAGGTTACAAACTCAACTACATGGAGGGAATTCAAATGGAAAATAATAAGATATTTCAGAGGTCAGAGGGGAGGTCCTGCCTCAAGTGGAAGAGTTCAAGTTTCTCAGGATCTTGTTCACGAGTGAGGGTAGGATGGAGCGGGAGATCGACAGGCGGATCGGAGCGGCAACAGCAGTGATGCGGACGCTTAACCGATCAGTTGTGGTGAAGAAAGAGCTGAGCCATAAGGCAACACTCTCGATTTACCGGTCGATCTACGTGCCAATCCTCACCTATGGTCGTGAACTCTGGGTAAAAGAACAAGATTGCGGATCCAAGCGGCCGAAATGAATTTCCTTTGTAGGGTGGCCAGGCTCAGCCTTAGAGATAAGGTAAGGAGCTCAGACACTGAGGAGGCGCTCAGAGTAGAACCGCTGCTCCTCCACGTTGAGAGGAATCAGCTGAGGTGGTTTGGGCATCTGGTTAGGATGCCTTCGGGACGCCTCCCGTTAGAGGTGTTCCAGACATGTCCCACTGGGAGGAGACCTCGTGGCCGGCCCAGGACCAGGTGGAGGGATTATATCTCTCGCCTGGCCTGGGAGCGCCTGGGAATCCCCCCAAAGGAGGAGCTGGTGGAAGTGGCTGGGATGAGGGCCGTCTGGGCTTCCCTCCTGAAGTTGCTGGCCCCACGACCTGGACCCAGATAAGCAGTAGAAAACGACGACAATATTTCAGAACACCAGAGATAGTGTCCAAGATGGGTCCACAATATTCCAGTTCATGTTGGAGAAACTGCTGAGCCCAAATAGCGAATCACACCCAGATATTTTGGCTCCACCCTAAATTAAGTGATTTTAGATGGAGGTTTTCAACACCCTGAAGGAGGTTTTTAAAATGAAGATCCCTCAATACTGGGAGTAATACCTGAAGGTTTAAACAGGAGGTCTGAAAAATAAAACATCTTCAAAATCTTATTCAGTCTAGAACTATCAGAACCTCCTCATCCTATATCTGGATTTAAAACGTCTGGGATATTTATCAAATGGAGCAGATCCCATTTTCACTAAGGCTTCAGAGGGCCTCCTTTACTGAAAGATGGGAACTCTTGTTACCTTTATTAGTGCAATAACAGTTTATGTTAATGGTGTAAGTATTTCCTATCCAAGTACTGTCATCCTGCTTCTGACTAGAATCTGTGCCTATAAATCTGTATTTTGGAGTGGACATTGTTTATTGTGATGATTATTACGATTATTAACTTTATCTGTGGATGTTTGTAAAAATACACAAACAGCTGGAAAAAGGAAAAGAAATGTATTGAGATGTAAACACTGTATTGTTGGGGTGAAAAATTTAATCAAAATTAGGCTAAAAAAAAAAAACTGGATCAGCTCAACAGGAACTAACCCCCCCCCCCCCCCCCCATTCCAGTTCGGAGTGACGTGAGGGTGAAGAAGGTCTATATTGGCTCCATGGGGATCAGTAACCAGCCCTTCCTGCCGTCATACGAAGACTCCAACAGCCCCCAGTTTTCACAACTGGCCTCTCTGGTCAAACAGCAGGTGAGAGGTCACCCAAAGCATCATGGGAGTTCACTGCAGCGAATGTCCGTCTCAGTGCTGTAACTTTAAAAACGTCTTTTTCTTGCAGCTTAAACTGATTTACTCCAAAAACTCTGTGCTCGCAAAATCCTTCAAAGGCTCCTTGGTGCAGGCCTTCAGGTACAGGTGCTGAACTTTGGAGACATCGCCCCCTGTTGGTGAAACTGAGAGTGACCTCCTCTCTCATCTGTGTCTGTGTAGTGAAGGAGAGAGCGCCGACAGCATGGTGGCATATTACCAGTCAGAGTTTGACGTCCACATCTCCCAGCAGGCCTCACTGGACGAGGCTGTTCAGTCTCTGGAGCCGGCGGGAAGTCAGTCGGGCCGACACGGCCGCCTGCTGCTGAAACCCACCGATGCTCTTGACGTCAACCACGTCATCTCACAAGGTTGGACTTCTAAGTCACAATCATGCATTTTATTTTATAACACTAGGCGAAAATTACATGGGTCAATATATGAAAACATACAACTTAACCCCCCAAAAAACCTATAGAAAGGGTTTCTTTTCACCATACATCATTTCTATAAGGTGTCTAGACTAACATAATATAAGTCCTATGAAATCCTAGTTGGAAAAGTATGTTAATTTCACCAGACAACAATATGCAAATGAGCTCATTAAAATTTGCCCAAAATACTCCTTTTCCCCTGAACTATTATCACAGTGAAACTATCATCACAGTGAAAGCACATTGAAAGAGGGTGATGGCAATGTTGCTTTTGGATTGGCCTCTAACCTGAAAACTGGTGTAGTCTTCAGGGTCACTGAGGCACACAAGCCTCCCCACCACGACAAGGTAGCAACAATAGGGGAGGGTGTTTTTTCGTGTTTTTTTTTTTTTTTTTACACTTTTTTTTTGCTTTTGTTTTTTTTTTGTATGTTTATTTTTGCCTGGATCCTCGCCACCTTCTCTACATGTCAGTTCCTGGCTTGTTCTTTGCTTTGTTCTGGGACAGAGTTAAACCAAGAAAGGTGGTTTTGGTGTATATCCCTACGTTTGCCGTTCAGGAATAGTGTAGGCCTGAATCTCTCCAATTCTCAGTTATACAGATCATACTTTTGACTTCTATACGTTCACAACCTAATACTCAAAATCATTGTCATCAACTTCTTCCATGTCTTCATCTGAACTTTCCACACTGTCTGAGGTGGATGCTTGGTTCTCACAGTCTCCCAGTCTACACATGTCAGTACTTGAGGCCATTTGCAATACAGACACTTTTTGGGAGTGAACATTTCTTTAGACAGTTACAGGCCAGTAGATCTGCTTAGGACCCTCCATCAAAAGGAAAGTGAGTCAGCTCCTTGACATGAAAACACTCTGCTGTTCTCTGAATTGTGTTGTACAGGACTACTCCACCACCACTGACTGGCCTATTTATACTGTGTGCCTCAATTAACTCAATGCACAGCATGTGTGTGTTGTGCACACCCAGCTCCATCCATTTAGACTGACTCAGGCCAGGTGTGGGTGTGACAACTTAAATCACAGCAAGATAAGGTCAATTAATAAGAGAGAACCATCAGTTTGAAGTAGAATGATTAATTCGGATTTTGAAAACTCTGTTTTGGGATGTGGTCATAAATTGAGTGATAACACACAGAAAGCTACCACAGATGCAATGCTATCACATTTTTTCTATTACTAGAGGTGTAAACCTACCCAAAAATCACTATGAGAATTATTCCCCCCAGTTGATACCGATGACCCCATATTTGGAGTCCTAGCTCAAGGCCTAATGGGGAAATCAAAGACCACAGACTACAACTACTATTGTAGTAACTCGGCTGCAGCACCTTGTGGGCATTTGTGGTAGTGCTCTGGAGTGGTTTAGGTCCTATCTGGCAAACAGAACTATGTGTGTAAGCCTTACTGGTTGTGAGTCCCGCCCTGCTCCTCTGTCTTATGGGGTTCCACAGGGATCAATCCTAGGGCTGTTCTCTCTGTATCTACTTCCTCTGGGTTCCCTTCTTAGAAAGAACGGTATCTCCTTTCATTGTTATGCTGATGACAGACAAATATATGTACCAGTAAAAAAGAAAAGTGCCTTTTCTCTGAAACCACTTCTAGCATGCCTTGATGCCTCGGTTGATTTGGGCCCCCCAAAATGTGAAGCCCACAATTTCTAACCTGGGTTTTAATTTACCAATCAATCAATCAATCAATCAACTTTATTTATATAGCACATTTAAAAGAACCACGTGGGTGGCCAAAGTGCTGTACAATGACACATAAAAACAAATAAAACAATCAAAGAACAAGATAAAGCGAGCAAAAATACATTAGTGCAAATAATAAATAACAATATAAATAAGCAGGCTAACGGCAAGTGCTAAGATGATAACAAACAAAACAACACTACAATGTATTAAAAGACAAGGAGTAAAAGTACGTTTTTAAAAAGGGATTTAAAAACAGGAAATGAGGAGGCCTGTCTAATTTTCAAGGGCAACTTATTCCAGAGTTTAGGAGCAGCAGCGGCATACGCTCTCTCACCCCTGAGCTTCAGCCTTGTACTGGGGACCGTCAGTAACAGCTGATCAGCTGATCTTGGGGGTCGGGGTGGGCAATAAAGCTGGAGCATCTCAGAAATATAAGGTGGAGCAAGATTGTTCAGGCCCTTAAAAACAAATATTAAAAGCTTAAAATGAATTCTGTACTGTACAGGGAGCCAGTGTAAGGATGCCAGGATGGGGGTGATGTGCTGACGCCTGCAGGTCTGTGTCAGGAGACGTGCAGCAGAGTTCTGCACAAGCTGCAGGCGGGCAAGGGATGCCTGGCTTATCCCTACATACTAAGAGTTGCAGTAATCAATACGGGCAGTGATTAAAGCATGGATTAATTTTTCCAGGTCAGATCTTGATAAAATGGGCTTCACCTTCGCTATTTGACATAATTGATAAAAAACTAAGATGGACAGTCATTTTAAACTGGACCAACAGATCAGCGCAGTTTTTAAGTTCAGCTTTTTCCACCTTAGGCAATTGGAAAAGGTGAAGCCTCCTCTTTTTGAAACAGTAATCCACGCCTTCATCACGTCTCGGCTGGATTACTGTAACGCACTTTATCATGGAGTTAGTCAGTCTTTGCTCGCATGTCTCCAGTTGGTCCAGAATGCGGCCGCTCATCTTTTAACTGGAATGCATAAGGGGGAACATTACTCCCATTTTAGAGTTCATTTTAAGTTTCTTTTATTTTGTTTTTAAACCATAAATGGTCTGGCCCCATCATACCTCTTTGAGCTGCTTCACCCCTATGCTCTCAGGTCAGCTGACCAGCTTCTCCTGTAGGTACCAAGGTCTAAGCTGAGGTTCAGAGGAGACAGAGCTTTTTTTGTTGCTGCTTTTACATTGTGGAATGACTAACCTCTCCACATTAGACAAGCTCCCTCACTGTCCATTTTTAAAACCGTCTGAAATTACACATTTATTCCTTGGCCTTTGACCCAGTATGAGACTGCATTTGTTTTATTGCTTTTTATCACATTTTAAAACAACTATTTATTGTTGTTTTGATGTTTTGATGTTATTATATACAGCACTTTGTGTAAGCTTTGGTTATGTTTAAAGTGCTCAATAAATAAAGTTGAGTTGAGATGAGTACTAAGACCCACCCCCCTAAGCTCTGATGCAGAGCCCGGTCCGGTCCGGTTCACCTGTACTGACAGATCCTCCTCCACAAATGTTGCAGATTAAACTTGTAGGTCTGTTTGTCTGTTTGTGTTTCTAATTTCCTATGTTGGCTCTGTCCACTTTCTTTTGCAGCTCTAGACTCTCGGATGACCCGAAAGACTCTCTTTGGTGAGTATGGTGTTCAGCAGGAGGTCCAGTTTGCTCTCAGAGGTTCTTCAATACATAACATCCTCCAGATTTCTCTAAGCATTCTGGGTAATCTCTTATCTCTGTTTGTATTCAGCTAAAAAGGTGTTTAACCTCCACGTCAGAGACGCAGGGATGGTCCAGTCCCCAGGGTTTCCAGGCACATCGTACCCCCCAAACGTTTACCTGCAGTGGAGACTGAGGGCAGACCCGGGTCACAGAGTTCAACTGGACTTCCACACCCTGATTCTGGAGGATGACTGTCAGCAGGACTTTGTCCAAATCTACGACTCGCTGGCTCCCATCCAGAGCCGGGTCCTGACCGAGTGAGGATCTTTCCTGCTGCTGTGAAGAGCGAAAATCCTTGTTAACCCTTTATTCAAACGGTTTCTCTGCTGTCCCCCCTCAGACAGTGTGGATACCCTCATGAGTCCCTGTCCTTCCTGTCCTCAGGCAGCGTCATGCTGCTGACTATGGTCACCAGTGAGGAGAAGAACTTCCCCGGCTTCAGAGCCAACTTCTCCCAGATCCCTCTGACCCAACCAGGTACGATGAACAGATCAGTCCCAGCAGGAGATCCAGTTCCTACATCCACAGAAATTTAACAAAATATTAACACTGTGTCTGAAAAATAAACGGTACCTGGATTTATGATGATGATGGTGGTGGTGGTGATGATGATGATAATGATTATGATGATCATGGTGATGAAGATGATAGTGGTGGTGATGATAATTAAGATGATAGTGATGATGGTGGTGGTGATGATAATGATGATGGTGATGGTGATGGTGGTGGTGATGATGATGATGATGATGATGATGATGATAATTATGATAATGATGAGGATTATGACAATGATGATGATAGTAATGATGATGATAATGATAATGATTATGATGATGATAGTATGATGGTGATGATTAAGATGATGATGATGGTGATGGTGATGGTGATGGTGGTGGTGATGATGATAATGATGATGATGATGATGATGATGATAATTATGATAATGATAAGGATTATGACAATGATGATGATGATGATAGTAATGATGATGATAATGATAATGATTATGATGATGATAGTATGATGGTGATGATTAAGATGATGGTGATGGTGATGGTGATGGTGGTGGTGATGATGATAATGATGATGATGATGATGATGATGATGATGATAATTATGATAATGATAAGGATTATGACAATGATGATGATGATGATAGTAATGATGATGATAATGATAATGATTATGATGATGATAGTATGATGGTGATGGTGATGGTGATGGTGATGATGATGATGATGATAATTATGATAATGATGATAATGATGAGGATTATGACAATGATGATGATGATGATGATAGTAATGATGATGATAATGATAATGATTATGATGATGATAGTATGATGGTGATGATTAAGATGATGATGGTGATGATGCTGATGGTGTTTAGTCTCCTGGATGTCTCACTGTGTAATTTATTTCTGTCCCCAGAGTGCGGGGGAACCATGTCTGCAGACAAAGGTTCCTTCTCGTCACCTTTCTACCCCTCTAACTATCCTCCTAAAACCACCTGTGAGTGGAAAATCCAGGTGAGTACATATTTATACAGCTTTAAACACACCTGCAATACTCCCGGTCTGACCTTTATGGTATATAATCAGATGTGGGATGTAGGTTATAACCATTTTTGGGGCTTAAGAGAGGGTCCAGCACATGTAAAGGATTCATCTTCTTTGGATCATGAACACCAGTCATTTAATATTCTCTGTCTTTTTCAGGCTCCAAAGGAAAAGTTTTTAAAGGTTCAGTTAAACAAATTCTTCCTGGGAAACAACAGTGTCCAATGTCATAAAGATTACGTGGAGATTAATGGCCAAAGGTCAGAGGTTAAAATCGGCCCTGTGACCGTTTCGGGATGATCTCACTGAGGTGATCCTCTGTAGATACTGATCCATCCTGATAGTCTCTCTCTCTCTCTGCCTCTCTCTTTTAGACTGTGTGGCAGTAAACCTAAAAACTCTGTCATAACCAGCAGGACCAACACCATGACTGTCAAATTCGTCTCCGACTCCTCCTACGTTGATCAGGGTTTCACCGCTGAGTACGAAGCCTTCGTCCCAACGAACCGTGAGACAGCAGCCATGTTTGTTCTGCCAGCAGTTTTCGCCACTTTCTCAGCCATGCCCACAACTTCCAAAATGGTGTTTCATCCTCGTTTAGCATCTTTGGGTGTTTCCTTAACTTCATATTGTTGTTTAGCTTGTCCCGGCAGGTTTCAGTGCACCAACAACCTCTGCCTCAACAAGACCCTGCAGTGTGATGGTTGGAACGACTGTGGAGACGGCAGCGACGAGGACAACTGCAGTGAGTCCAGACCTGTGTGGACTCACATCATTGAGTTCCTGCAAAAAACGACAACAAACCAAAGAAGCGATCCTCCCTCTGAAAAATAAAATCAAGTCCAGTTTCTCCTGAGCTTTGACCACGTCTCACACCCTGGGATTTATCACATGAGCTCGAAATGCAGACCTTCTAAGTCAGGGGATATAGCTGCAGTATTTGGTCACAGTATTTTCCACAGATCCTGCAGCTTCTTAAGGAAATATCGCTGGTCTTCTGTTGAGCTGTATTTCAGGAGAACAGACCTCAGGCCTTTGGGGGTGACAGCTTACTCTTCAGGTTCTGGTGTCCATGGAATAATTGGTTAGCCATTCAGGGGCAGCATCCTCCAAATGACCCGATCTGTGGAGGATGGACTTTATGGTACATAGACCCCTCACCCCCAATTTCCACCACATCCTGAACGTCTACGAAAAGGTTGTATGTCAATTTCCATCGGCTTCTTTCCGTTCCTCTGCGGATCGCCGGACTCCACAGCTAATCAAGAGCTCTGTTTTTTTTCGGACGCCAGGGCATGCCAGATAAATTCAGCACAGATTAACCCGTGCTGGAAAGAAAGTCAGGCACAGACACAAAATAAAACATCCAGGTTCTTTTCAAAATAAAACGCTCTGTGCTTCAGGTGGATTGTATTTCACACCATGCAACGGGCGGAGATGAACAAGTAAAAAGTTTTGGAATGTCATTTCACCACGATGACACCATGGATGAGGAGATGCTGATTCTAGGAGTCTAGAAGTAGATTTCCTCTGGAAGGACACAATCTACTGCTTATATGTCTATGTCTGTCTTTATAGAGACAACTTGTTATCACGTGATTGCACGTAAATCCGAAGGTTCTTGTGAGTTCCCTGCTGTCCGTAATCCACCACGAAATTCACCTCATCAACGGATCCGGTAGGAACTGGCAGATGGCAAAAATTGCTGCTGTTCCGGATTGGAGGCATTCCAGATGTGGTGGAAATCCCGACTAAGACTTAACTGAAACAGACAGTCTGGTCCAAAGACGGTGTCCTGTGAGGGTCACCTTTACCTTTAAGTTGCCCTTTGCTGCTCCTGGATAGCTAACACCATGTTAGCTAACCTCTCATCTTAAAAGTAGCTGAAAGGTTATCGTTGCTTTTTTTCGTCCATAATTTGAGGGATAGGGTGGAGGCTAACCACTTACATTACAAAGGTTTTGACTCTGCCTCCTGAGGGTCCATTTGGTGTTCTGTCAACCCATCTTATAAAGATGGTAGATATTTAAGATGCATCTGAGCCCAACGTAGGAGAGCTGGAGGATCCGGTGTGTGTTAGTCAAGCAGAGGGGTTTACCAGACTGTGTCAGTGAGTGATCTACAGGTCTATGATCAGCCAAAGACCCAGCCCACACCTTTATCTTGGTCCGCACGGTGATTCAAAAACTGTTGGAAACTCAAAATCTCAAACGTCAGACCAGACGATAGAGTGGACTCAGTCCCTGTCCACAGAGCGTCCTCTGTGCTGCTGGACAAATATTCTCCAGGTTCTTGGAGACGGACTGAACCAAATTTTTTTTCTCTCCTCAGTCTGTGAGGCGTCTCAGATGAAATGTAAAAACGGACGCTGTAAACCAAAGTTCTGGGAATGTGACGGGTTTGACGACTGTGGAGACAACAGTGACGAGGAGAACTGTGGTGGGTTTGACTGCAGACTAAGATTAGGATTTAGAGGAGGCTGCAGAGTTCCTGGTCCATGACCCCATAACCTCATGACCGTGTCTCCTTTGTCTTTGTAGTCAAATGTAAACCAGGTGAGTTCACCTGCAGAAACACCCGCTGCATCCCAGAGAAGCTGCTGTGTGATGGGAAGGATGACTGCTCTGACGGATCAGATGAGGCGAAATGTGAAAAATGTGAGAGACGGTACCGGTCACTCAGATTAAAGAAGAACAGGGTCAGTACAAGCATGGGTTTGGCTGAGTGTTGTGGTGTGTACTAATATCTGTCTCCTGTGGTCCAGCTCTGGTGCTGCAGCGGTGTTCAGAGTTCACCTTTCGCTGCAGAGACGGACACTGCATCAGCAAACTGAACCCCGAGTGTGACGGAGAGCCGGACTGTAAGGACGGTTCAGACGAGGATGACTGCCGTACGTTTCGCTCTTTCACAAACTTTTTATTTTCAGGTCCTCAGAGGACAGATCCCTGCTTAGGTCTACCAATCCACAGATCCCTTCAAAGCAGCCTTATCTCTACATAGAATAACATAGAGCTGAACAGTAGGAACGGTTTCTACCTCTGACAGAGTGTACAGCCAATCAAGAGCTGACCCAGACTCTGACTCTGACCCAGCTCCAACAGCTGCTGTGTTATTACAGTCAATACCATACGTGTGTGTATGTGTTCCTGTCTCCAGAATGCGGGACCAGGCCGTACCGAAGCTCTCGTATCGTTGGTGGCCAGGCATCCCGGGAGGGGGAGTGGCCCTGGCAGGTCAGCCTCCAGATCTGGGGAACGGGTCACGTGTGTGGAGCGTCGGTACTGAGTAACCGCTGGCTGGTGACAGCGGCTCACTGTGTGCAGGACAATGGACCGAACAAGTAGGCAGAGTTAAACAGAGCTCGGTTTGACAGCAGAGTCAGAACGGTGACGTTTTTTCAATTTCACCAGCTAATATGACCTCTGACCTCTACCATGTGTTGTTCCAGGTACTCCCAGGCTGACCAATGGGAAGCCTTACTGGGTCTCCATGTGCAGAGTCAGACCAGTGAGTGGACGGTGAGAAGGAACATACGGCGGATCATCGCTCACGCGGACTACAACTCGTTCACCTTCGACAACGACATCGCGCTGATGGAGCTGGACACCAACGTCACCCTGAACCAGAACATCTGGCCCATCTGTCTGCCCTCCGCCACCTACGACTTCCCCCCGGGCCAGGAGGCATGGATCACCGGCTGGGGCGCCACCAGAGAGGGAGGTGGGTGGATGCTGAGTGATAATGAGCCACATTTAAAGGGATATTTTAGTGTTTTCAAAGTGAGGTTGGTACACACATGGACAAATTTTTTGGTACCCTTCGGTTAATGACAGAAAAACTCACAATGGTCACAGAAATAATTTAAATCTGACAAAAGTAATAATAAATAAGAATTCTATGAAAATTAACCAATGAAATTCAGACATTGCTTTTCAGAATTATTTAAAAAAAATAAACTCATGAAACAGGTCTGGACAAAAATGATGTAACCCTTAACTTAATATTTTGTTGCACAACCTTTTTAGGCAATCACTGCATTTAAATTATTCCTGTAACTGTCAATGAGACTCCTGCACCTCTCAGCAGGTATTCTGGTCCACTCCTCATGAGCAAACAGCTCCACTTGTTCCAGGTTTGAAGGGGTCCTTTTCCAGATGGCATGTTTCAGCTCCTTCCAAAGATGCTCAACAGGATTTAGGTCAGGGCTCATAGAGGGCCACTTTAGAATAGTCCAGTGTTTTCCTCTTAGCCGTTCTTGGTTGTTTTTAGCAGTGTGTGTTGGGTCATTGTCCTGTTGTAAGACCCATGACCTGCAACTGAGAGCAAGCTTTCTGACACTGGCCGGCACATTCCTCTCTAGAGTCCCTTGATAGTCTTGAGATTTTATTGTACCCTGCATGGATTCAAGACACCCTATACCAGATGCAGCAAAGCAGCCCCAGAACATAACAGAACCTCCTCCATGTTTCACAGGAGGGACAGTGTTCTTCTCTTGATATGCTTCATTTTTCCTTATATGAACATAGAGGTGATGAAATTCCATTTTTGTCTCATCTGTCCAAAGGACATTCTCCCAGAAGCTTTGTGGCTTGTCAACATGTAGTTTGGCGAAGTCCAGTCTGGCTTTTTTATGATTTGTTTCAACAATGGTTTCCACCTTGGTCGTCTCCCATTAAGTCTACTTTGGCTCAAACAACGATGGATGGTGAGATCTGACACTGATGTTTCTTGAGCTTGAAGTTCACCCTGTACCTTTTTTGTTACCATTCGTATTATCTGTCTCTTTGATTTGTCATCAATTTTCCTCCTGTGGCCACGTCCAGGGAGGTTGGCTACAGTCCCGTGGATCCTAAATTTCTGAATAATATGTGCAACTGTAGTCACAGGAACATCAAGCTGCTTGGAGATGATCTCATAGCCTTTATCTTTAACATGCTTGTCTATAATTCTCTTTCTAATCTCCTGAGACAACTCTTTCCTTCGCTTCCTCTGGTTCATGTTGAGTGTGATACACACCATGTCACCAAACAGCAAAGTGACTACTTGTAGACCTATATAAATGCCCACTGACTGATTACAAGATTGTAGACACCTGTGATGTTCATTATTGGACACACCTTGAATTAACATGTCCCTTTGGTCACATTATGTTCAGTTTTTTCTAGAGCAGGGGTCGGCAACCTTAAACACTCAAAGAGCCACTTGGACCAGTTTCCCACAGAAAAGAAAACACAGGGAGCCACAAAACCTCTTTGACATCTAAAATGAAGATAACATTGCATATATCTTTTTTTTTTTTACCTTTATACAAAGTATATAAAAAACTGTAGCGAGTTGCATTTATGAAATAAATGAACTATTTCGGCGACTGTCTGTCTTCTTCTGTAGTCAAACCGCAAGATATCAAAATCTACCCGGATACAGCAATGCTGCTTTTTGATTGGCTGTTCAGTAGATATACTTTATTTGATTGGCTTGTGCGTGGCACGCAGCTTCTGAACTCTCGGAGGAACTCAGTTGATTTCCCCCAGTTCCATAGTTGAAGAAGTGCAACTTGGTGGACATCACCGTGTTCATTTAAATGCGTGAGAAATACAATGTGTGGTGTGTGAGCGTGTGAACGAGTGGGAATGCGTGTGTCATACGCTGAATGCGTGAGACTTGAGAGCCCTGTGCTCACGCATCATCGATGTACTCCCGAGCCATGCAAAACGGTCTTTGCAAATGTTGCACTGAACGCCTTCCTTGTCAGTCTTGGTGAAGTTTTCCCACACCACTGATGTTTTAGGTCGGGATTTGGGTTGGGTTGTGTCCATGTTTTTCTCAGCCGCTGCCTCGGCCGTGGCTGTTTCTTTTCTGTGCGTCCTGCTGATGTTAACACGCCGGTGTCCATGGACATATATAAAGACCCGACAAATCGATTACAGAATTTGTTGGCAACGGATTTTTTCGTCACGACGAATCTACTTAATCGATTCGTTGTTGCAGCCTTAATAGTTTATTTACTGTTACAAGAGCATTACAGTCTTTGAATTTATAATTACAAAAAAATAAAAAATAAATAAAATAAAATAAAATGCAATTAAGTATTTATTATTTATTTTCCAAATCCACTGGGAGCCGCAGCTTAGGGAAGAAAGAGCCGCATACGGCTCCAGAGCCGCGGGTTGCCGACCCCTGTTCTAGGGGAACCATCATTTTTGTCCAGACCTGTTTAACGAGCCTATTTTTTTAAATAATTCTGTTGAACCACGGTTGAAAATCAATATCTGACTTTCATTGGTCAATTTTTTTTTAGAATTTTTATTTATTATTACTTTTGTCAGATTCAAGTTATTTCTGTGATCATTGTGGGTTTTCTTTCATTAACCGAGGGGTACCAACAATTTTGTCCTCATGTGTATGAGCCTGAACCTTTAGGAAGATCCTGCAAGGGAAACAGGGCGACCCTCGTGATTTGGCTAATGTAGAGACTCGGACCCAAGAACTCCCCTCAGTTTCAGAGTCCGCCTGCTGAGACATCTTTCAGAACTTTACCATCAGACAGACTCAGAGGTTTTGGGTTCTTAGTTTCAAACAGTGAGTCGATCCAGAAAGATGAAATATTTCTGTATCCGTCAGGTCTCGCTGCAACCATCCTGCAGAAAGCCGAGGTTCGAATCATCAACAGCACGGTGTGTAAGAGCCTGATGATCGATGAGGTGACCGACAGGATGCTGTGTGCTGGGGTCCTGAAAGGGGGCGTGGACGCCTGTCAGGTAACAAAATTCAATCCAAATTCAACACAGCGCCAATCAAGCTAAAATACAGACTCAGCTTCTCATGTGCTCCATGTCCCCCTGCTGGACATTAGAAGTATTGCAGGTCCCCTCTGCATTGGCATCAGTTTTAAAACATGGTGACGGACACTCTGAAGTCTTTGTCCTGGTTTAACCTCCTCTCTCTCCCTCTTGGACTGTTAGGGCGACTCTGGTGGGCCGCTGTCAGTCACTGGGCCCAGTGGGCGGGTCTTCCTCGCTGGCGTTGTGAGCTGGGGTGATGGCTGTGCCAGGAGGAACACCCCTGGCGTCTATGCCCGGGTCACCAAATACCGCCGCTGGATCAAGGAGAAGAGTGGCGTGTAGCTGGAGAACGGTGGCGTGTAGCCGGAGAGCGGCGGACGGACAGGTTCTCTGGATGTCCCGTTTGTAGTTTTTCAATGAACACTTTTTTTAAACAAACTTAAATTATTTTTTAACTCACTGCAGAAACTCTGTCTTACATAGCGTTGAGTTTCTGAGGCCGTCTCTTCAGAACCACCAACATGAGGACTTTTTTACAGATTCACAAACTTTTCAATTTTTCTGATCAGAAGAAAAAAGATTTCTTCGATGGCTGTGATCTTAGTGCCTAGAATCATCTGCATAGGTCTCTTCGATGATTTGTGGAAAACTGAGTTTCTTTATCACCTGGACCCAGTTTAGCATCAAATGAAATGTTCAGATTGTCCTTTTAAGTGTCGGACCGCACACCTGAGAGGTAAAAACTTCCATTATAAATCTGTCTTAAAGTTTGAGTAACTTTAGTTTCTGACACTGAAAACCTTGGATCTCTGTGAATTAGATTTGTTTTCTCAGATTAAACTGTAAGTAGTTTAGATATTCCTATTTTAAAATCCTGTTTTTAAAGACAGGAATGTTTAAAAAGAGGATTTTCAATGACAGAGTTTATAATTTGTAGTTCGGATGAACTCTTCTTACTTCGACTGTAAATAAAGACGAACAGAGACGCTCTCAGTGAGATGCTCGAATCTGGTCAGGTACAGACGTCATCCTTCTTAACTGGACCACCTCTGAAGGAAACCAGGAATCCTAAAGTTCCTAATGACACCAACAGTTTCGAATCCCATCACTAAAAACTGACCATCAAATACAGTCGTGCTCTTATTCTCTTTTTAGAGCATCCATAAATCAAAACCACTCGACCCTCACACATGCTGACGGTGATGGTCATGTTTTTAAGTTTATGTGGATCCTAATCAGCAGGACACGGACAGGAAGACCAGTTACAGGTCCGGTCCCGTCAGCCCTCCCTCTGCCTCAGTGTTAACCCCAAAATCCTCCACATCCAAAACGTCTACGTAAAGGTTGTATCCTCCTATCACAGCCGATTGTAACCATTCAAGTTAACGTGTCAATTTCCACTGGCTTCTTTCCGTTCCTCTGCAGATCACCAGACTCCTCAGCTGATCGCTGCTCGGCAGAGACGGAAAAGTAAAAGGTTTTTAGACATCATGGAAGAGGAGATGCTGATTCTAGAAGTTAAGAAGTAGATTTCCTCCTCTGGAAGGACATAATCTACTGCTTATATGTCTATGTGTCTATCTTTATGAAGACAACTCGTTATCGCACGATTAAACGTGAATCCGCGGGTTCTTGTGAGTTCTTGCGATTACCGCTTTCTGTAATCTATCACCAAACTTGCCTCACCAATGAATCCGGTAGGAATTGGCATATGGCGAAAATTGCCGATGTTCAGGATCCGAGCCATTCCGGATGCGGTGGAAATCTGAGGTTAGTCCTCAAAGGTCCCGTATAAGTTAGTGGCAGGCTGATTCTGGAGACTTGAGCGGACTCAACAGACTCGCTGTAACCAAACATCCTGGTGTCAGTCAGCTGGGAGGAGCTCGCCATGTTTGGTGGGCTGTCATGTCATCCATGTTTGTATACAGTCTGTGTCGGGGTCTGTGGTTCTTTGTGGTTCTGGCCCAGATAAACTCCTCTGAGTATCTGCAGGAGTCCTCAGGGACTGGTCTTTGGTGCTCCAGAGATTCTTCTCAAACAAATACAGTTGTTAAATTTTAGTTTACCTGATCATCCCTATGAACTTCAGAGTTTCACCATATTTGAAAGATCCTTTTAAGGATCCTGAGAGCCCTGCAGGACTCTACAGAGTTCTGACTTATCAGAGCAGATGGATCCAAACATTTGAAAGTCATAAACTCACATTTTTAAAGGTTCGACTTTTCTGTGGGGTCACAGTCAGTGTCTCTTTGTGTGGGTTAGAGTAGAAATTGAAATATTCAGTGTTTCAGGTGTTTAAGTTTCTCCTGCTGCCTTGTCCGTGAACAGTGTCTCTCTGATTTCTGCTGGTTATAGATTTATATATATATATATATTGTATGTATATATTGTATATGTTGGACAGTTTTTCTTCTTCTCCCACGTCTGTACCCGCTCTGTCCTGGTTCTGTCCTCTCTTCACTGTCCATTTAGGTGATTTTAGTTCTGAGAATGTCTTTATAATGTCAAAGATTGAATTTGCTGCTGTTTGAAAAGATGGTTCAGATGGTTCATAAATTATTTTTAGTTTTTTAGCAGTTTAGTTCATCACTCTGCTCTGCTTAGTGTTCGGATAGTTTTAGCCAATGACAGGTTTGGTTTATCATTAAATACTTCAGTTTGAATTGATAGTCTACAACGGAGTATTAGGACCACATTAAGAAAAAAAATTTGACTTAGTAATTACTTATGATAATAAAGTCATTATAAAATCATTTCTAACTAGAATAAAGTCGTAATAAAATCATAACTTACCAGAACAAAGTCATAATAAAATAATTTTTAAAAACTAAAATATAAAATAATAATAAAAGAATAATCTCATCAGTAATGATTTTAATACAACTTTATTCTCTTAGTAATGACTTTAATCTCAGTCTTTATTTATTTTTTTCTTAATTCAGCTCTCATCTGTCGTAAAAGTCAGTTTGTATAAAATTAGAAATGTTCTTGTTATCACTGTGGAATTAAATGTTTTACTTTTGGCCATAAAAATAGAAATAAAAATAATAAAAATATTTATTGGAAAACTTTTTTGCTTCTCTGAGAAAATGTTGGGTTGAAAGTTTTGAGTGTGGAAAAGGAAGTCTGTGCAGTCCGGACTCTAGGGGTCTGAAGACTGGGTCTCTGGTGGATCTGAGTCGAGCTGGATGTCATCCACACAGCAGGAGGAGGAGGAGTAGCCCCGATCAGAAAATAACCGGGCCAATCAGAGACCGTGTTTCCACTGTTACCCGGACAACAGGGAGAGGCAGCCCCTGATGTGGTCCATGTGTGACGTCTAACACATGCTGCGGGACTTTTCAAAGCCCTGTTCATTCAGAACGCCGTTAATTCTGCAGTTGACTCTGCAAAGGTGGCAGAAATCGTTTATATCCGACGCATTCTACGGATATTAACGATTTCTGCCGACTTTGCATATAAAGTCGATAGTCGATATCATATCGTGGCCCAAGTATCGTGATTGTTTTGTATCCTAGTCCAAGTATTGTGATGATATCGTATCGTGGCCCGAGTATTGTGATAATATCTTATCGGGGGGCCCTCTGGTGATTCCCACCCCTAGTCAAAGCAGAAGAACCGATCAGAAGCCAGGAAGTTTCGGACAAGGCTCGGTTCTGGGCTGGTTCAGGTCCAAATTTCTATAATTTACCCTAAAGTCTGATTTTACAGGAAGAAAAGCTGCAGCAGATCCAGTTTAGAGTCCTTTCGGTCTGCTGGTCCCAGTTTGTGGTTAGAGTGGATCAGATCCTCAGGTCCTGGTCATACACTGGTATCCTGCTAAAAAAAATCCTTCAGTACCACTGTCAGATCTCAGCTCTTCTTCTCTGGTTTCCTCTCCTTGTTAAAGAGATGAAGAAGAAGAAGAAGCGGCTGTTAGCCAGTTAGCTTTAGCATCCCTCTGAGATGATCAGACTCTTTAAAACCTGAAGCTGAAGATTTAAAATTAATCCAGAACAGGTTTAGAGCTCAGGTCTCTGAAGGTTATTGATTATTAAAGTGTCGAACTGATCTTTGACTGTTTGACTCCATTACAGGAAGTAGGTGATACTTCCAAATAAAAGCATCACAAAGGTTTAAAGAGGTAAAGTCTCCTCTAGAGGATCCACAGGGATCCTTTCTCCATAGGGGTCCAAGCTCAGATCTCTCTGTGGAATCAGATCTCTATTAATCTCCTCTTTGTTCCTCAGACTGGGTTCTGGTACTGAGATCAGTCTGTGTTTAGTCTGGTGGATCAGTCTGAGCCTCCACCCTCTGAGGAAATCAAACCTCTATTTTCAATGGAAAGAGGAAGTTGAAGAAATGAGAAAAAGTCTCCGATCAGAAAATAACCGGGCCAATCAGAGACCGTGTTTCCACTGTTACCCGGACAACAGGGAGAGGCAGCCCCTGATGTGGTCCATGTGTAGATGGTGACGTCTAACACATGCTGCGGGACTTTTCAAAGCCCCGTTCATTCAGAACGCTGTTAATTCTGTAGTTGACTCTGCCAAGTTGGCAGAAATCGTTTATATCCATAGAATACATCGGATATAAACGATGATCGGGAATACACGCTCCCAATGGGCCGAAGTCCAGACTGTTGTGGGAAGGAACTGCAAGTGATTCACGCAACAGGATGGCCCAGCCAGGCTAGAGGAGGAGCTCCAGGACAGAACCCTGAGGAACACCGGGACAGAACCCTGAGGAACACCGGGACAGAACCCTGAGGAACACTGGGACAGAACCCTGAGGAACACTGGGACAGAACCCTAAGGAACACTGGGACAGAACCCTGAGGAACACCAGGACAGAACCCTGAGGAACACTGGGACAGAACCCTGAGGAACACTGGGACAGAACCCTGAGGAACACCAGGACAGAACCCTGAGGAACACTGGGACAGAACCCTGAGGAACACCAGGACAGAACCCTGGGGAACACCGACCGTGACAGGGAAAGCTTGGGTTTGGGTGGTTTTGAGTTGAATGACCCGACTGCAGCTAGAGAGAAGTTTTCACCTGGTCGGAGGTTCAGACGGAGGCTCGTCTGTCTGTAGGGAAGTGATGACACATGGAGTCAAAGGTCACTCTCAGATAGAGGAGGGAACTTGCTTTGGATAATCAGAAGTAAATGGACAGATGGCTCTCCCAGCTTCTCTCTTTTTGGACCACAGACTGACTGAAACATGGACCATGTCTCGGGGACGTCCCCCATCTGACCACAAGCTTCAAGGCTTTTCAGTGGTGGTCAGTGGTCATATTGGACATGCTGTCTGAAACACAGATATCTATAAGAAAAGCTAGATGACTCTATGAGGCGTAGTCAGCGGCGTCCCCTCACGGCGGCCATCTTCCCCCAGTATACCATTCTGGTACACTCTATGGTAGCTGACGGGAGGTGAGTAATCTGTATGATCAAAAATACTCTAAACTCGCTGAAATCTTAACAGATTTACAAATGGTTTTGTTTATTACAGACCTTAATAACATGGCTATGAGTCAGAATGCTTGGACATATTTAAATGGCATATTTTCTTTTGAGAAAAAAAAAGACAATCATGAAGCACAGTTGTTTTATGGCTATTAATGCGCAAGAGCTAACTTTGAGTCGCTTTGTCAAGGCTGAGACCACAATCAAGATTTTAATTTCTTGTACAACAGCCTATTCATTTATTTATATAGACTAAGTGACAGTCTTTGTGGATTCGCTTGTGTTTATCAGCTGTCTAACTTGGCTAACAGACACGCTGTGAGTGAGACCAAGTACATATTACAAAGTTGACCCAGTAATTTTACATCAGTTAAAGAGGCAGAAATGCACTTTTGATTCAATATAATTTATGTTGCACATGATTTCCAAGCTGTTTAGTTTGTTGAAAACATCTAAAATGGCAACAAGAGGCAGAAATGTATTTTGAAAATAAATATTTTTATATATTATTGTTATATGATATTACAGTTATCCATATTTAAGAAATGTTACCAAGATAATATACATGATTTAATATAACTGCCTTGTGTGTGTTGGCCTATAGCTATTGCTCTACCTAATTGCTTAATAATGAAAATCCATGGTTAAAATGATCCTTGAACGCAGGAACGTAAATAAAACTCTGAGGTTCGTTACAAACCAAACCGTTTGAAAATCAGTTTAAGAATTAATCAATCTATGGTTATTTAAATGATACATGAACTGTAGACTGGAATGTTAGGAGTGGGCGAGCTGACTTTAGCAAGATGGCCGCCATGCGTGGACATCGCTAACATTGGACATTGGCTAACAGCATGCGTAAGCCATCTAGCATTTATATATCTATGCTCTCAACTTTGAGTTTTCAAAGGTGCAGAGATGAGTCGACCTTCTCATTAATTTCACCTGAACCGAGTCTGAAGACCCTCATGCGTCTCCTTGGTTGGTCTAAAGCAGAGCATCTGTGGTTTTGATGAAGAAGCACACCCTCTCTTACGTCATGTGAGTCATCACCCATTCAGAGGAACCTGGTTTCACTACCCTAAAAAGACGCTGACAGCAGACCGCGGCCTCCAGAGGGTTGGACTGAAACCGGAGATAACGGTCTTCACTGGTTCAAAGATAAACTGGTGATCTGGATCGCATGTAGTTGAACCCTCAGAGACTTTTTCTCATTTCTTCAACTTCCTCTTTCCATTGAAAATAGAGGTTTGATTTCCTCAGAGGGTGGAGGCTCAGACTGATCCACCAGACTAAACACAGACTGATCTCAGTACCAGAACCCAGTCTGAGGAACAAAGAGGAGATTAATAGAGATCTGATTCCACAGAGAGATCTGAGCTTGGACCCCTATGGAGAAAGGATCCCTGTGGATCCTCTAGAGGAGACTTTACCTCTTTAAACCTTTGTGATGCTTTTATTTGGAAGTATCACCTACTTCCTGTAATGGAGTCAAACAGTCAAAGATCAGTTCGACACTTTAATAATCAATAACCTTCAGAGACCTGAGCTCTAAACCTGTTCTGGATTAATTTTAAATCTTCAGCTTCAGGTTTTAAAGAGTCTGATCATCTCAGAGGGATGCTAAAGCTAACTGGCTAACAGCCGCTTCTTCTTCTTCTTCATCTCTTTAACAAGGAGAGGAAACCAGAGAAGAAGAGCTGAGATCTGACAGTGGTACTGAAGGATTTTTTTTAGCAGGATACCAGTGTATGACCAGGACCTGAGGATCTGATCCACTCTAACCACAAACTGGGACCAGCAGACCGAAAGGACTCTAAACTGGATCTGCTGCAGCTTTTCTTCCTGTAAAATCAGACTTTAGGGTAAATTATAGAAATTTGGACCTGAACCAGCCCAGAACCGAGCCTTGTCCGAAACTTCCTGGCTTCTGATCGGTTCTTAGAGTAGAGTAGATTAGTAGATCAGCACAGAGACTCTGTGTTTGGTGTTTTGAGATCATCAATCAGAGGAGGAATCTGGATGTTTGATCATGATTGGATTTGTTGGTTTTAGAGTCGGTAGGATCAAAACTGGGAGGAGTGAAGACACAGATATACAAAAACAGAATCATGTGAGTCCAAAAGAGGAAGTGCTGTGTTTCTCCTTATTTACAAGCTCTTCCTGTTGAAGTCTGAGACTCCGGCAGCTTCAACTCCTGCAGAAGATCACTCCAGCCTCCAGGATGGACGCTCTGGTCGGACCCATGCAGACTCTCTTCAAAGACCTGAAAGCGAACAGTAACCTGATTATCTTCAGCGTCCTCGTCTTTGTCTACCAGGCTGTAGAGAGGGAGTTCCCCTGCTCCTGTCAACCTCAGGCTCTCTTCTGCCTGGCCTACATGCTGATGCCCGCTGGTCTTCTCTTCATTATGATGCTGGCCACAGACGCTCAGTTTCAGAGAGCGTTAAAGTTCTCGTGCTGGAACTGTTCCGGGAGCTTCTGCTGGGTTCTGACCCGTTGCTCGTTGAAGGCTCTCTGTGTGGGTCTGCTGTGGGTCGCCGCCGTGCTGCTGGATGCTGAATTTTACGTTTGCTGCTGGAATGAGAATTCTCGAGCGGTGGCAAGGCAACAGTGTGAGAGGAAGATGGACGTCATGACTGGAGGTGAAGAGGTGGTGACCATCAATGAAATGGTCATGAACTCGAGGGTAAGGCTTGACTTTCTTTAAAGGTAGATTAAAAGTTCTCACCTCTCAGGTCCCAACAGTCCTGGGTGAGGCTGCACGATATTGGAAAAAGCTAACAGTGGAATTCTTTTAACCCTGCGATATTTACATAGGCTGTATACACTCACCGGCCACTTTATTAGGTACACCATGCTAGTAACGGGTTGGACCCCCTTTTGCCTTCAGAACTGCCTCAATTCTTCGTGGCATAGATTCAACAAGGTGCTGGAAGCATTCCTCAGAGAGCTTGGTCCATATTGACATGATGGCATCACACAGTTGCCGCAGATTTGTCGGCTGCACATCCATGATGCGAATCTCCCGTTCCACCACATCCCAAAGATGCTCTATTGGATTGAGATCTGGTGACTGTGGAGGCCATTTGAGTACAGTGAACTCATTGTCATGTTCAAGAAACCAGTCTGAGATGATTCCAGCTTTATGACATGGCGCATTATCCTGCTGAAAGTAGCCATCAGAAGTTGGGTACATTGTGGTCATAAAGGGATGGACATGGTCAGCAACAATACTCAGGTAGGCTGTGGCGTTGCAACGATGCTCAATTGGTACCAAGGGGCCCAAAGAGTGCCAAGAAAATATTCCCCACACCATGACACCACCACCACCAGCCTGAACCGTTGATACAAGGCAGGATGGATCCATGCTTTCATGTTGTTGACGCCAAATTCTGACCCTACCATCCGAATGTCGCAGCAGAAATCGAGACTCATCAGACCAGGCAACGTTTTTCCAATCTTCTATTGTCCAATTTCGATGAGCTTGTGCAAATTGTAGCCTCAGTTTCCTGTTCTTAGCTGAAAGGAGTGGCACCCGGCGTGGTCTTCTGCTGCTGTAGCCCATCTGCCTCAAAGTTCGACGTACTGTGCGTTCAGAGATGCTCTTCTGCCTACCTTGGTTGTAACGGGTGGTTATTTGAGTCACTGTTGCCTTTCTATCAGCTCGAACCAGTCTGGCCATTCTCCTCTGACCTCTGGCATCAACAAGGCATTTCCGCCCACAGAACTGCCGCTCACTGGATATTTTTTCTTTTTCGGACCATTCTCTGTAAACCCTAGAGATGGTTGTGCGTGAAAATCCCAGTAGATCAGCAGTTTCTGAAATACTCAGACCAGCCCTTCTGGCACCAACAACCATGCCACGTTCCAAGTCACTCAAATCACCTTTCTTCCCCATACTGATGCTCGGTTTGAACTGCAGGAGATTGTCTTGACCATGTCTACATGCCTAAATGCACTAAGTTGCCGCCATGTGATTGGCTGATTAGAAATTAAGTGTTAACAAGCAGTTGGACAGGTGTACCTAATAAAGTGGCCGGTGAGTGTATATCATGATATTAAAAACAGAGGAATTTTCAGTAGATGAGCTGAATCTCACTTTCTGCTGAAATCTTGAGGACAGTTAACCTGCACTGATCTTACCTCTTTTAGTGAATGTTAGTAGAATGGCTTCTGTCTGTCTTAGAGATATTTTTAGCTTTTATTGTTCTGGGACGTTATTGTGGAAACAGATGAATACAGATCACGTGTTTTAGTCGACATCATCCTTCTTATAACCGAAATAATTCCAGATAACTGACGTTGTATTGTCGAATTCATAGATGCAGAGATGCAAAAATGAACCACAGGAAGACAGAATCAACTGGCAGTCTCTCATGGGATTTTATTTTAGTTACAGCATCAACCAGGACTCATGACGATCTTGATAAATGAATGGACTGAACCAGACTGACAGACGGACAGTAAAAGCCCCAAAAATCCCCAGAACTTTTCCTTCGTTGCCTTCTTATACCCCCCCCAATGGTTTCATTAGTCTTATTCCCGTATGCGGCCTTCACGTTGGTGCCTGATAGTCAACAACGTGACTTCTTCTGTAAACATGCACATATTTTTTGCTTGCCGGCTCTGCCAATTTTCATTTCTGGACTCAAGATAACAATTATTCTTGTGTGGAAAGTTCACCATGACCTGGACTATCTCTGGCTGTATCCTGTATCCTATTTTGAAATAACTTTGCTCAAAAACATGTCTTTTATTTGCGCCCACATTTGCATTTCTTTTTACCAACAAGTCTTCATCTTCTGTGGTTTTCTCTTGGTCATTGCTCATTTTACAATCGTTGTTGTTGTTGTTACCGGTGTTGTACTGAGAAACGCATGTCCACCGAGAATTGCATCCACCCTGCAGAAACGCGCACCGCTTATAGTAGAGTGGTCCACGGAAATGTACAATTTCAAACCCATACAGTTCTTCTGATGAGGAGTGATGAGGAGCCTTCCCAAAGTCATTCTCAGCAGCAACTCACTCCATGTGCAGGGGCGTGGTTTCCTCTTCTCTAATTTTGATTGACGGCTGGCAGGGTAGTCTGATTGGCAACTGAGTAAAGAGCAAATGTCATTTGTGGATCGCTGCACAGCACATGCAGAGTCTACATGCAGTGTATCTCAGTCAGGTTCCCCTTGAAATTAGATGAGTACATTCACCTCCGACATCACAATGTGATTATTGCGCATACGTACATCACCATAACGACGCTCTAACAATATATCATGCAGCCCTAGTCCTGGGAGAGTCTTCTTGGACTGATGGGACCAACAAAGGTTTGAACCGTCCCAACTGATGGAGTTAAGCTAAATATGAAGAAAGAAAACTTAATTTATTTCAAGAGGAATAATGATTGAAAAAACTGAACTGAAGCAGTCAGCCTGTGTCTGAGAGCCAGGCGTCAAACCTGATGTTCCCTGAAATCTGTGATCTAATAACCTTCTGTCTCTCTCTCTCTGTTTGCAGCTTTATGGCATGTCTCTGCTCTTATTGATGGCTGCCGGCTTTCTTTTCCTGATGTCCGGGAGGTCGCTCCTCGACACCAAGTACAATGATTCATGTTGTTTCAAGAGAAACGGCGACCTCCATGAGATAATTCTGGAGGTGGGGGAGGAGGTGGTGTCAGCGGCTCAGAAAAAGAAACGAGAGGACTTGCTGAAGGAGACGGTGAAGAAAGACCTGGAGAAGAAAGAGTGGGTCAATTACCTGGAGGTAGTTGAACAAGCCATAAAGTCAGTCGATAAGGTAACGCCGCCATTTATTTTTTTTGGCATGTTTTCATCGACACGTTTTACTCTGTGAGTGTTTTTGAATCTTGGTGACACCACCTGAAAATGTTCATGACAGCACTTATCTCTGTTTTCAGCAGAGCCATGAGAAAACCACAGTACAGTTACACATGAGTGTGTTCAGTGAGAAAACGCTATAACAAAATTTTCTATGTATCTCAAACTCACAGCATCGTTTATAGTCACCATTGCACAAGTGACTTCCTCTTGTTGATGAGGAAGAGTGACCGTCTTCACAATCCTGCGTGAGGCGGAGTAAAATTACAGTAATGTACTGTAAACATGAGATATACTGTGATCACCTGTATTAATATGGTGTACTTGTAAAATACTGTGTTAACCTGTATTACTATAGTGTTCTTGTAAAATACTGTGTTTACTTGTATTACTATAGTGTACAGTATAGGTTTTACAGTATAGTCCAGTACTGCAGAGCAGATTTACTGTATCGTAGTGGACAGTAAAGATTTTACAGTACCATAGTGTAAAATATTTACTGTACAATACCATACAGTAAATCTGCTCTGCAGTACAGTACTATACTGTAAAAATTGAACTTTACACTACAATATAGTAAAGGTTTGACAGTACTACAATTGATAATCTTTACTTTACATTACATAACAATAAAGATTTTACAGTACCATACTGTAAAATATTTATTGTAAACTACAAAACAGTAAATATATTACAGTACCATACTGTAAAATTTTAATTGTACACTATAATACAGGATGACAGGAGAACAGATATTTTAGTTTAATTGACTCTTCTGTTCTCCCGACCAAATATTTGAATAAATGAAGTTTCAGTGTTCCTCCCAACATCAGGGGCTGCAGCCTCTAAGGTGAACACTGAGGTTCTCAGGTAAACTCGGTGAGTTCAATTTGGAACCTAACCTGCCCCGGAGCAGGTTAGCCATTCAGCATACGTTGCCGTGGAGACTCCCCTCGCTAAGAAGTGATCGCGCGTTTTAGAACAGGAAACCCGAAACTTACCCCCAAAGCTGCGGCTAAGCAGTAATCCTGCTTCGTAGAACAGGCCCCAGGTCCTGCAGTGACACAATCCTGCAGAGGTGAACAGACTAGGCTATGGTCCTCACAGTGGGCAGCTTTGGTCTTATTCTCATCGGCAGGCTCTTCCCTTTTCTCTCTTCCTGTGTCCTCATCCACTGTCACTGAGTATCTCCTCTGACCTTACAGAGCGCACAGCAGTGGCGAGGGGCAGGAGGAGGAGCAGGAGGAGGAGGAGGAGAAGAAGGGGGAGTAGAGCTGCAGGAGATACAGATTCAGCAGACTCAGGTCTGTGGGATTTTGATTTGATCCAAGTGTCAGTGTGTTAAAGCCAAATTAAATAAAAAAAATAAAAAAATAAAAATAAAATAAAGATAAGAACGAATTTTTTTTTTTTAAATAATAAAAAATACAAAATGAAAAGATAATGAAATATATATATATATATATATATACATACATATATATACTGTATACTGTATATATAAATGAAGAAGAAAAAAAGTTAAATTTTGACATTTTCTTTCTTCTCTAATAAACTGAAGAAGGATCACTGTAAAACAAACAGGTAACTGTGTTTTTCCTCCAAATATTCAGGGTCACCAGCAGCCAGCAGAGACCCCTGACCTCTGACCCCTGACAGCGCCACAGATACTGATGATTGATCAAATGTTGGCAGCTTTAATCAGCTGATTGACTGAAGAATGTAACTCTGTACAAACATTAAAGATCAACTTTTACACTCATACAGTTTGTCAGTCTGTGTCCTGGTCTGAGGGGTCTGCAGGGTGGTACCTGATCCTGACCCTGGACCGGTATAAGTCCTAGATGGGGGGCAGGTTGACGGGATGATGGCGGTGTGGAAGTGGACCAGCAGCTCCTGAGGTGGGTTGAACTTCCTGAGCCGTCACAGGAGGGCTCCCTGTCTGTGTTCGCTTCACTCTCCGAGTTTTTCTGAACTTTAATAATCATCATAAAATGATCGTCTGTGATAAAACATCAAAACATACAGGAAGGAGGAAAGTCCTGAAAACCACAAAGACCAGAGGCGGGAAGATCTGGTCTAAAGTGACATGATGTCAATAAACCAGAAACCTCAGGGTTGTTTTTGATCATGTCTTTACAGGATCATTTAGAGCGACAGCTGACCAAAAATAGTTTTTATCATCTGAGAAATATCTCTAAAGTGAGGAGAATGTTGTCCAAACCAGATCTTGAATTGATCATTCATGTGTTTATCTCATCACCTATTGATTATTGTAATTCTCTGTTCATTTGTTTTAATAAGGCGGTGATAAAGAGACTTCAGTTTGTCCAAAACTCAGCCGCCAGACTTCTGACAGACACGCCCACATCTCACATCACCCCTGTCTTATCGTGTCTTCATTGGCTAATGGTCAATTATTGTATTAATTTTTAAATTTAAGTTCTGACTTTCCGGGCGCTGCATGGTCAGGCCCCCCAGTATTAGTAGGGTCTGTTAGGTGAAAAATTGTTACACGGTGGATACAAGCATGATATTTGGCACATATGTCCCTTAGGTCATCCTAGAAGGGGTGCCCAAAAAAATGTCAAACAGGAAGTGAGTTATTGATAAAATTCAAAATGGCCTCCTAAACAGGTGACAGTTTACTCAAAAAACACCTAAAGAATGTCCAAAAATCATAAAATTTGGCACACGTGACCCTTGGGGCATCCTGAGACATCCTAGATATAGTGGCCAAAAACAGGAAGTGGATTATTGACGAAATTCAAAATGGCCGCCTAAAGTGTTGCCGATTGATTCAAATAGCCTCTTGAATCTCAGAGAAGCATATTATTTGGCACATATGTCCCTAGAGTCATCCTAATACATCCTAGAAGGGGTGCCCAAAATAATCCGAAACAGGAAGTGAGTCATTGACTAAATTTAAAATGGCCTACAGTGTTGTTGATTGACTCAAAAGTCATCTCAAGAATCTCATAAAACTATAACGTTTCTCACATGTGTACCTTGGGTTATCCTAAACATCCCAGAAAGGGTGCCCAAAATAATCTGAAACAGGAAGTGAGTTATTGATAAAATTGATAGATGATGCAAATGAAGGGGCAGAAAGAAAGGGAGATGATGCTCACGGTGCAGGCATTATTTTTCGAAACCCTATAAATGCATACAAAACTATTTGAATTACAACCCTCTGAGAGATAGAGAGAGAGAGTTGTGCCTATACAGTATAGTATATACTGTACAGTACAGTATATGAGTGCTGGATCTATGGTCATATAAAGTTGTCACAATATATTACCTAAATATAATCATTCATAGGGCCTACTAGAAGTTTTTTGAAGCACAACTTTGTATCTGGCATCAACAATATATCACTCACAGAAGGATTAATGTGTGAAGTCATGTCTTTCAGAGTATATTTTAAGCCAATTTATTCTCGTTTAAAGGTCTTTAAAACATATTTTACACATTTTTCTTGGGTGGCTTTGGCCAAATCCTTTATTATTGGTCTATTTACTATAAATGAAAATCTATAATTAGCAGTTCAAGCCAAAATTTCAGAATTAGACCACATCTTAGGAATTATGGTTCATTTCTGGCGGCCATTTTGGATTTTCCCCTATAAAAGCCATTTAATGGGTCAAAATTTTTGGGCACCCCTTCTGAGATGATGAGATACACCCTAAAGAATGTGTGTACCAAATTTGGTGCTTGTATCCACCGCGTAATGATTTGGCCATTTTTTCAAGTTAACAGACCCTACTATATATCACTGATTTGTTGTGCCCCTACTCCCCAGGGCACACCCTTCATTCGTCAGGACAGAACCTCCTAATGGTGCCGAAGGCCCGGTTAAAACTCCGGGAGACCGTAGCCCCTGGACTCTGGAACGTTCTGCCCCTCTCCCTCCGTTTGATTGACTTCTAAAAAGACGAAGACTCTTTTATTTAGACAAGCTTTTAATTCACAGGGTTTTGTTTGTCTCTTTTACTTCTCTTTTATATCTACAGTACACTTATTTCTATATTAACTTTACTGTATTTGTATTTGTGTTTGTATATGTACTTATTTTTTGTACCGTTTATGTTTATCTAATTGCACTTATTTCATGTACAGCACTTTGTGATTTTTATCTGTGAAAAGTGCTCTATAAATAAACTTAACTTACTAAATTTACTATTACAAAACACAGCAGACTGCTCTCTCTCTCTCTCTCTCATTCTCTCCATTGTTCACCCAGATAATCATCTGTAGGTTGAACATTTAGCTGCATATCTCCAGACGCAGCGGTACAAACCAAATTTCCCTCTTGGACCATGAAGGCAGGAGGACTGAGGCACTGAGATCCAGGAGCTGTGGTCTTCAGTGCCTCCCTGGGAGGTTATTTCATTAACTGTGAGGACATTTAAGGTCTGTGGAGGAGAGCAGTTCACAGTTTCCTCACACTGAGAACCATAATTTCATCTGTTCATGAGTCAGGACCACCAGGTGGAGCTGTGAGGAGACCGAGACAGAGGATGCAGAAAAGCGGGATGGTGAGATGAAGAAAGAGGGAAACAATGTGAGGAGAAGAAGAGGAGAGGTCACCCAAACGGCTGCCATCAGCCGCTGTTCTCTGAGCGTTTAAACAGATGTGACTCCAGAACCATCTGAAAACTTCCTTCAGGATTGAGCCGTTGGTCCCAGCGACCTGGTTTGGTCCACAGTCTGTTCTGTTTGATATTTTCACGGCTCACTAAAAAAGGTTCACCTTAATATCATATGAAACTAGAAAAATTGCATTTCCTTGCAGAAAATGCGTGGAAATGCTGAGTGCTGAAAGCTGAAAAAGCAATGCAAAACTGCCAATAAAAAATGGAGGAAGGTATAAACGGAAAAACTGTAGAAAAGGTGGAGTAGAAGAAGAAGAAATTGTATGAATGGAAGAATTGTAGTATAGCTGGAGGTAAATTAGTTGGATTAATGTACAAACTGTCTGATAGCCTAAGTGAAAAATGTATATGATTGATGTGAATAAACAGAACTGATATGGATAATTGAATTTGAAAAACAAATGCCTTTAAACAATGTGTAACAATGTTCCTATTAAATGTACAAATAGTAAAACAGATTTTTGCAGTCTGCAGCATCCAACCATAGTAACTTGAGAATGCAGAACAGCACCATCTATTGCCCTGCTTCAGTTACTGCCCTACATCTGAATGCAGAAAGTATGAAACAGCTGAAGTTAAATTAATTGTATAAATGTAGAAAGTATAGAAAAGAAAAGCAGAAGTAGAAGAAAAAGAAGAAGTTAGTATGTTAAAAGAGTTAAAGACAAGAACTGTAACAACAAAGTTCATATTGGGGCTGTATTTTCTACTGACAGAGAGACAGTAACGCACACATGGAAACAGTGTGTGTGTGTGTGTGTGTGTGTGCCTGCGCGCGCGCGCGCGGCCGAGCCCGTGCGTGTGCATATGCGTGTGTGATCGAAGCACACAGCCCATGACAAGTGCAGAATCTGACAGAGACAGTAAGAGAGAAAGAGACACAGTAATGCACTCATGGAAACAGTGTGTGTGTGTGTGTGTGTGCCCGCGCGCGCACGAGCGGCCGAGTCCGTGCGTGTGCATGTGCGTGTGCGATCGAAGCAGACAGCCCATGACAAGTGCAGAATCTCTGGCTCTGAAGGAATGTACTCACCTCCTGGGCAAGCTGTACAATTTCATGACTTCAGACCGATTTTGTGAGAAGCAGGACGAGTGTACCTCCATTTTGATGTGTTTTTTATGGCTGTGGAGTGAAAATTGCGGCCGCAGCAGCAAAATAATCATGCTTGGTGTAGTGAATCCAAAAGGCCCCGCCCGCATCTAGCGGTGACGTAACATCTGACGTCACACGCTGTAGCGTGAGTCAGGCTGAAAAAGGCAGAGAACTTCATGTTGCTCCAAGCGAAATTGTGCAAAAACGGTAGGAAATAGCAAAAAGGAGTGAATACAACATTTGTAGCAGACACATTGCTGAACATTTTAAAGCAAAAATGAGGTCTGTAGGTGAAAGTATGCAGAAGTTATAAGGGTGAGAAGGTGTTATAGCTGTATCTCCATTCATTTGTAATGGAACAAATTTTGCAGAAAAAGTGAAATATTGCAAAAAGTATAAATGGTAGAAAGGTGAAAAGTAATAGCCGTAATGTCCTGAAGGAGTGCATTAGTATAAAGTTTGAATGGTGAAAATAGCACAAAGTGGTAAGGAGTTGAAAAGGGCCAAAAAAGGTACGGAAGAATAATAATAATAATAATAATAACTAGAAAAATTGCATTTCCTTGCAGAAAATGCGTGGAAATGCTGAGTGCTGAAAGCTGAAAAAGCAATGCTAAACTGCTAATAAAACATGGAGAAAGGTATAAATGTTAAAGCTGTTGAAGGGGTGAACAGAAATATAAGTTGGATAATTGATTAATTGGTTGAAGGACAAATAGTATGAATATGCTCTATAAAAGGAAATTTTATTCATGCTGAAAGACGCTAGAAAAATGTCTAAAATTGCACAAAGTTTGAATGAAGAAGGAAATTGCCTTAAAAGGCAGGAAGGTGAGAAGTGGCATAAGTTTAAATTGTAGTACTAGAAGTAGTATGATAAGAAGTCAAGTCGTGATACTAGTAGTCATGTCAGCAGTAGAAGTAGATTGAGAATAAAAGAAGTATAAGTCAAATTAGTAAAGAAAGTAGAAATAGGAGCAATAGCAGTTGAAGTAGAGGGGAAAGTTCTAGTTTAATTGACATTAGCAGTAGTTGTCGTACTTGAGGTAGGATTTTGTTTGAATGATGGAGTAATGCATAAATATTAAAACTAATTTAAAACAGGGAAATTTTAAATTATCAAAAGTCCTCAAGTATCAGAAAGTTTTGAAGTATTAGAAAGGTTTGAATCAGTTTGAATGAGTTTAAATTAGTTTGAAAAATTAAATGATAAATCATCACTGAGTGACTTTAAAATGTGAAAAATTTAAATGAATAACAATCCTAAATACACCCAATAATGTCCTCAATGAGCTTAAATTTCAAAGCCCTGAATGGTTTCTGTAGGTCAAAGGTCATGTGAGGAGATAGGGGCTGAAGTTTTTTCCAACGCTCTAGGAAAGGGTTTTAAGTGTCATCCCAATTGCTATGTGTACTGAGCCTGGCTTCATGTGTCTCATATGGCCACTAGAAGCAGCTTTCCAGTCAGCTGTGTGTCTCCAGGTGCACAAATTGGTTGCCATGGGGACCTTGGATGCATAACTATAGCAGGAGAAAGAAGGCTTGAAGCTAAAGAAACAGGACTCCAAGTAGGCCCTGACGCTCACCCTCTGTATATATTCATAAGGAGCTTGTGAGAACACAAGACTCTGCTGAACACATTAATACAATTTATTATCACAATCCTCAAAACACCCCATAATATCTTCAATGAGCTGAATTTTTGAAGCCCAGAATGGTTTCTGTAGCTCAAAGTTTGTGGGTGGAGATAGGTGGTGAAGCAGACACATATTAACTGTGTGTACAAGCAGCTGAACTGCAAGGTGGACCTCAAAAAGCAATAAGTACAAGAATGTGTGTGCGTGTGTGTGTGTGTGTCTCGTTAATGACTGCATCCTAAACAGCTGTGAGATCAAAGGCAAATCACTAACCTACTGTTTGACTGAGAGGTGCTGAACTGGAGTGAATTTCAGCCTGTGAACTTCTTCACATAGCGTGATTTCCTTAAGTCCCAGAATGAAAATAAGAACATCGTACGAATCCTCCGTCCTTCATGAACACAATGATGTCTTTTTCATGTCTGTACTCCGAAAAATGTGGCCACAACAGCGAGTTAAAAAAGTCTGAGCCTCAGTGGCGATAAGGATTTTCTTGGAGAAAAAAGACATTAGGGCCAATGGGGACAGTTTTCCGCCTATTTGGACAGTTGGTCACCTGCTGGCCAAGGGGTAGGATTTAATGATTTGAAACCTCTTTTGTGAGAAGGAGGACACATATACCTCCATTTTGATGTATTTTTTATGGCTGTAGAGTGAGATTTGTGGGCATGGGAGTGATATATTCGAGCGAGGTTTTGTCGATCAGAGACGAGGTCTGCACTGTAGCTTTTCAAATCATCACTCTAGCCTCTCCAATACACCCCTATTATAAAGCCTGAAATCTGCTGAAAACCACGAGTTGCATAAAGCTTAATTGTGGAAAAACTGTAAAAGATAGCAGAAAAACGTTAATACAACATCAATAGTCGACAAGACAATGAACATTTTAAAGCAAAAATGAGGTCTCTAGGTGAAAGTATGCTGAAGTTATAAGGCTTAGAAGGTGGACGAATAACAGGAAGAATTGAAAGATTTCCCCATTCATTTGTATGGGAAAAAAAGTTTGGCACAAAAAGTGAAAAATAATAAAAAGTATAAAGGGTAGAAAAGAGAAAAGTAATAGCCATCATGTCCTGAAGGAGTGGAATAGTTTAAAGTTTGAATGGTTGAAATCGGACAAAGTTTGAAGGAGGAGAAGCGGTCCAAAGAAACGTAAGGGGAGAGTGTTAAGTATAATACTAGAAAAATTGCATTTCCTTGCAGAAAATGCGTGGAAATGCTGAGTGCTGAAAGCTGAAAAAGCAATGCTAAACTGCTAATAAAACATGGAGAAAGGTATAAATGTTAAAGCTGTTGAAGGGGTGAAAAGAAATATAAGTTGGATAATTGATGAATTGGTTGAAGGACAAATAGTATGAATATGCTCTATAAAAGGAAATTTTATTCATGCTGAAAGAGGCTAGAAAAATGTCGAAAATTGCACAAAGTTTGAATGAAGAAGGAAATTGCCTTAAAAGGCAGGAAGGTGGGAAGTGGCATAACTTTAATTTTTTAAGTATTAGAAAGGTTTGAATCAGTTTGAATCAGTTCAAATTAGTTTGAAAAATTAAATGATAAATCATCACTGAGTGACTTTAAAATGTGAAAAATCTAAATGTATATAAATCCTAAATACACACCATAATGTCCTCAATGAGCTCAAATTTTAAAGCCCTGAATGGTTTCTGTAGGTCAAAGGTCATGTGAGGAGATAGGGGCTGAAGTTTTTTCAAGCGCTCTAGTAAAGGGTTTTAAGTGTCATCCCCAGTGCTATGTGTGCTGAGCCTGGCTTCATGTGTCTCATATGGCCATTAGAAGCAGCTTTCCAGTCAGCTGTGTGTCTCCAGGTGCACTAATTGGTTGCCATGGGGACCTTGGATGCATAACTATAGCAGGAGAAAGAAGGCTTGAAGCTAAGGAAACAGGACTCCAAGTAGGCCCTGACGCTCATCCTCTGTATCTATTCCTGATAAGGAGCTTGTGAGAACATAAGACTCTGCTAAACACATTAATACAATTTATTATCACAATCCTCAAAACACCCCATAATATCTTCAGTGAGCAGAATTTTAGAAGCCCAGAATGGTTTCTGTAGCTCAAAGTTTGTGGGTGGAGATAGGTGGCGAAGCAGACACATATTAACTGTGTGTACTAGCAGCTGAACTGCAAGGTAGACCTCATAAAGCAACAAGTACAAGAATGTGTGTGTGTGTGTGTGTGTGTGTCTCGTTAATGACTGCATCCTAAACAGCTGTGAGATCAAAGGCAAATCACTGACCTACTGTTTGAATGAGAAGCAGCTGAACTACAGAGGATTTAGAGGCTCTAAACTTCTTCACATAGCGTGATTTCCTTAAGTCACAGAATGAAAATAAGAACATCGTACGAATCCTCGGCCCTTCATGAACACAATGATGTCTTTTTCATGTCTGCACTCCGAAAAATGTGGCCACAACAGCGAGTTAAAAAAGTCTGAGCCTGAGTGGGGATAAGGATTTTCTTGGAGAAGAAATACATTAGGTCTAATGGGGAGAGATTTCCGCCTTCTTTGGACAGTTGGTCACCTGCTGGCCAAGGGGTACGATTTAATGATTTGAAACCTCTTTTGTGAGAAGCAGGACACATATACCTCCATTTTGATGTATTATTTGTGTCAGTGGAGTGAGATTTGTGGGCGTGGGAGCGATATATTCGAGCGAGGTTCTGTCGATCAGAGACGAGGTCTGCACTCTAGCTGATGACATCATCACTCTAAACTCTCCAATACACACCCATTATAAAGCTTGAAATTTGCTGAAAACCACAAGTTGCTTAAAGCTAAATTGTGGAAAAACTGTAAGAGATATCAAAAAACTGAGTACAACTATAATAATCGACAAGTGAATGAACATTTTAAAGCAAAAATGAGGTCTCTAGGTGAAAGTATGCTGAAGTTATAAGGTCTAGAAGGTGGAAGAATAAAAGGAAGAATTGGAAGATTTCCCCATTGACTTCAATGTTAAAATTTTTGCACAAAAAGTTAAAAAAAACAAAAAGTATAAATGTTAGAAAAGTGAAAAGTAATAGCAAACGTGTCCTGAAGGAGTGGAATAGTTTAAAGTTTGAACGGTTGAAATCGCACAAACTGGGAAGGAGTTGAAAGCGGACGAAAAACGGCGGAAGAATAATAATAATAATAATAATAATAATAATAATAAAGAAACGGGAGAATAACAATAAGTGGAAATGCCTATCAGCATTTCCACTTAATAACTAGAAAAATTGCATTTCCTTGCAGAAAATGCGTGGAAATGCTGAGTGCTGAAAGCTGAAAAAGCAATGCTAAACTGCTAATAAAACATGGAGAAAGGTATAAATGTTAAAGCTGTTGAAGGGGTGAACAGAAATATAAGTTGGATAATTGATTAATTGGTTGAAGGACAAATAGTATGAATATGCTCTATAAAAGGAAATTTTATTCATGCTGAAAGAGGCTAGAAAAATGTCGAAAATTGCACAAAGTTTGAATGAAGAAGGAAATTGCCTTAAAAGGCAGGAAGGTGAGAAGTGGCATAAGTTTAAATTGTAGTACTAGAAGTAGTATGATAAGAAGTCAAGTCGTGATACTAGTAGTCATGTCAGCAGTAGAAGTAGATTGAGAATAAAAGAAGTATAAGTCAAAGTAGTAAAGAAAGTAGAAATAGGAGCAATAGCAGTTGAAGTAGAGGGGAAAGTTCTAGTTTAATTGACATTAGCAGTAGTTGTCGTACTTGAGGTAGGATTTTGTTTGAATGATGGAGTAATGCATAAATATTAAAACTAATTTAAAACAGGGAAATTTTAAATTATCAAAAGTCCTCAAGTATCAGAAAGTTTTGAAGTATTAGAAAGGTTTGAATCAGTTTGAATGAGTTTAAATTAGTTTGAAAAATTAAATGATAAATCATCACTGACTGACTTATAAAATGTGAAAAATTTAAATGAATAACAATCCTAAATACACCCAATAATGTCCTCAATGAGCTTAAATTTCAAAGCCCTGAATGGTTTCTGTAGGTCAAAGGTCATGTGAGGAGATAGGGGCTGAAGTTTTTTCAAGCGCTCTAGTAAAGGGTTTTAAGTGTCATCCCCAGTGCTATGTGTGCTGAGCCTGGCTTCATGTGTCTCATATGGCCATTAGAAGCAGCTTTCCAGTCAGCTGTGTGTCTCCAGGTGCACAAATTGGTTGCCATGGGGACCTTGGATGCATAACTATAGCAGGAGAAAGAAGGCTTGAAGCTGAAGAAACAGGACTCCAAGTAGGCCCTGACGCTCACCCTCTGTATATATTCATAAGGAGCTTGTGAGAACACAAGACTCTGCTGCACACATTAATACAATTTATTATCACAATCCTCAAAACACCCCATAATATCTTCAATGAGCTGAATTTTTGAAGCCCAGAATGGTTTCTGTAGCTCAAAGTTTGTGGGTGGAGATAGGTGGTGAAGCAGACACATATTAACTGTGTATACAAGCAGCTGAACTGCAAGGTAGACCTGACAGCAAAAAGTACAAGAATCTGTGTGTGTGTGTGTGTGTGTGTGTGTGTGTCTCGTTAATGATTGCATCCTAAACAGCTGTGAGATCAAAGCATTAACTAACCTATTGTTTGAATGGAGAAGCTGCCGAACTGCAGTGAATTTAGGATTCTGAACTTCTTCACATAGCACGATTTCCTTAAATCCCAGAATGAAACTAAGAACATCGTACGAATCCTCCATCCTTCATGAACACAATGATCTGTTTTTCATGTCTGTACTCCGAAAAATGTGGCCACAACAGCGAGTTAAAAAAGTCTGAGCCTGAGTGACGATAAGGATTTTCTTGGAGAAAAAATACATTAGGGCCAATGGGGAGAGATTTGCGCCTATTTGGACAGTTGGTCACCTGCTGGCCAAGGGGTACGAGTTAATGATTTGAAACCTCTTTTTTGAGAAGCAGGACACATATACCTCCATTTTGATGTATTTTTTATGGCTGTGGAGTGAGATTTGTGGGCGTGGGAGCGATATATTCGAGCGAGGTTCTGTCGATCAGAGACGAGGTCTGCACTCTAGCTTTTCAAATCATCACTCTAGCCTCTCCAATACACCCCCATTATAAAGCCTGAAATTTGCTGAAAACCACAAGTTGCATAAAGCTAAATTGTGGAAAAACTGTAAAAGATAGCAAAAGAAGGTTAATACAACATCAATAGTCGACAAGACAATGAACATTTTAAAGCAAAAATGAGGTCTCTAGGTGAAAGTATGCTGAAGTTATAAGGCATAGAAAGTGGACGAATAACAGGAAGAATTGGAACATTTCCCCATTCATTTCTATGGGAAAAAAAGTTTGGCACAAAAAGTGAAAAATAATAAAAAGTATAAAGGGTAGAAAAGAGAAAAGTAATAGCCATCATGTCCTGAGGGAGTGGAATAGTTTAAAGTTTGAACGGTTGAAATCGGACAAAGTTTGAAGGAGGAGAAGCGGTCCAAAGAAACGTATGGGGAGAGTGTTAAGTATAATACTAGAAAAATTGCATTTCCTTGCAGAAAATGCGTGGAAATGCTGAGTGCTGAAAGCTGAAAAAGCAATGCTAAACTGCCAGTAATAAATGGAGAAGGTATAAATGAAAAAACTGTTAAAGGGGTGAAGTGTTATAAGCGAATGAATGTTTCAACCGTAACAGAACTGAAGAAGAAGATGATGAAAAAGAGATGAGTTGTATGGATGTAAAAACACTGGGAGAGGTAAACCAGTAGCTGTATGAATATTCAAATTGCTAAAGAACTGAACTTGAACATTACAGAAAATATGGTAAAGAATTTTAAAGATGGCTGAAAAGGCCTTCATGTTGGAAGAAGTAGAAATGATTGTAGATGAGAAATGAATATATTACACAAATATTTTTAATTTAAAATTTGAATCAACTTGAAAATTCAAATTGAGTTTTTACATAAGTAAAACCAAAATAAAGAAAAAAAGAAAAATATTTTTGTCAATTCTTTAACATTTTGTGAGCAATGAAATGATTAATCATAAAATATAAAAAAATAATAAAAAAAAAAAAACATCAAAACATAAACACATAAAGAAATAGTGCTCCATAGTGCCTTAAATCAAATTATAAACAATTTGTTTGTGAACAGGTTTTGGAAGCAGAAATCTTTACATGGGTGACCAATCTGTCTCTTAAGCTTAAGGTTTTAAGATTGTAGTTGCTGTGATTGTTGATGGACAAAGGTATCACATTTTCAGTTGTTTCTAAAATTGTTTAGCCCAATCATTATAGGCTCTTCACACAGTTGTTAGACTGAGGCTAACACCCCATTATTTACTGGATTCAAACTCCAGCAGCCCTGTACCCACATTCACCTCTTTTCTTGTGTTTTCGGATTACTAAGCCTTAACAAAAGTTGGCTCATAAAATTTGTCATGGCCCATTGAGCCAAGTCCTGTGTTGTGGGCTTTAAAAACAGACCTTGAAATTTGATTTCAAAGTCTGATACAGGACTGTTATGTGTGTTTTTAAGGGTTTAGATTAGCCTAAGACTAAGTTCGCACATCTGAAAAACCTTTATACCTATACATTAAAAAAAGATATGAAAATGGTGACTTGAGAGTTATAAAAAAAATTGTTACTAAAATCGGTCAGCAGTATTACAAAGTATTGCAAAGTTATCCAGGCTTGTGGAAATATACAGGCAAAGTAAGGTGAAAGGCATATGAATTAAATACGGCATTGTAGTATTTTTTAAAGCTAACTGCAGTGAAATGTGGGCCCTCTCATGTAGAAAAAAAAGAAAATTATAGAATAATAAATGATTATAATAATAAAATTAAATGATATGAAACTGAAACATTAAACAAAATCTAAAATGATCAGATTAAAAAGTAGATTTGATAACTTGAAATAAATTGATGTAATGTATTGGTCCACCTTACCACCAAAAGGCTTTTCACAGTAGACCAAGGCTAGTACTGTCATCAGCTCATTGTAGTGGACTGACAATCTGGTCAGCAAAAATAACTCAGCAGTTTACTGTACAGTGTAGTACAGAAGTCTATTACAGAAATTAAAATAATTTTTTTAATTAAATCTAAATTTAAAATTTAAAATAATGTGGAGGGTAAGGTAGAGAATGCAAATGCAAAAGGTGCAAAGTTATCCAGGCTTGTGGAAATATACAGGCAAAGTAAGGTGAAAGGCGTATGAATTAAATATGGCACTGAAGTATTTTTTATAGCATGTATTGGTCCACCTTACCACCCAAAAGGCTTTTCACAGTAGTTAGACCAAGGCTAATACTGTCACCAGCTCATTGTAGTGGACTGACAATCTGGTCAGCATTTTAGATCCCAGTGTTTTCTTATCCAAACATTCACACTACTTGTCTTACTGAAATGCTGGGTTGTCTTCATGTTGATAGTTTCTTTTTAAAAAGTTTTCTACTATGGAGAATTACATTTTAAGGATAAGCATAAAAACTTTGTTCCTCTATGAAATCCCTTCACACAGCTTGTTTAACCAAGCCCTGTGTTTGAGGATTGTGACGACAACCTTCAGCAGGGATTGTTTCGCACTGTAGTGCTGGGATCACTGCTGTCCAAAATATTAGCCCAAGACTAAGCACACGTGAAAAATTTCAGTGTACCTACCAGCTGAAACAAAAGTACATCATTTATTTCTAAAACACGTCTTCTCTTGTAGGTAAATTTGAGGGATATTGTGAGCATATTAAAACGAGAAATTCAGCTGCCTGCAACAACTGAAGTAACTGGTATTTTTTCCCTTCATCAGTGTTGGTCATCTTTTGATATAAGGACAGATACACAGTAAAAGGGGAAGAAAACACTAAAATAAAATAGAACAAATAAAGTCCAAGAAACATAAAGGAAACTTAAAATATTAACAGATATTGACAACCGATCACTTAATGTAGAAAACAGGATTCAAAAGAATACAAGAGTAATAGTTGTCCTGTCCTAAAGACAATCAGTCAGTTCCTCATGTGAGTACTGTGTTCTGTCTGGGCACTTTTTTTCAAAACCAAAAGCAGAGCCCGGTACAGTTCAGAGTGAAGGTTTAGAGTGAGGTAATGATTTGACCTTTGACCTGTGGTTGTAGAATCGCTGTGTGCAGTTATCAGTGTTCGAGTTGACAGCATCATTGGAGTTAGAGGCAGGAGGAGGAGAGGTCTGAAAAAAACAAACAAAATCCCCTTCACTTTAACTATGTAATCCTGTGCTAACAGTAATTCTGTGCTTTTCTATGTTGGTCAAACATGGTTATTGTTATGGGGCAAGGAAATACACCGTTACCTCAGGGAAACTTTAAAGCTGCAGTAGAGATAAACTGATGATCTGAATGTGATGACATCTGCTGCAGCTTGCTTCACAGGACTGCAGGACTTGAAGGATCACCATTAGTAGGACTCTGCTGAGCTGCACTAGCTACACCGTGGATGAACAGACAGTGACTTGAAGTGGGAGAATGTAGCTGGTTCAAAACTGGAAATAAACAGAAACATTTGTGTTGATAATCTGTGAAACTAAACATATTGAATAAATACACACATCATTACAATGAATACCTTCAGCACTGCAGCAGAGCAAAAAATATGTCTGTCCAGAGCAACTTCACCAGGTCTGCAGCAGCAAAGCTTCGTCACACAGAGAGGCTCAAGGCTCAGGGTGGCTGCATGATGTCCACCTTTGGTGTGTTCAGCTGTCTGAGTGTCTAAGCTGTTCTTCCTCTCTTAACTGGCTTGAAGAAGACCTGGGAGAAAACACTGCTGTTAAAGACGATGGTATCAGCAGAGCTGTACAATAGCATCACAAGCATTAATACAGCAGCTAAGATTACTAAGAAAAAATAAATGAACACAAGTTCACTAAGACATTACCTCAGACTTTCTTGAAGAGGGGTTTATCTCTTGGAGGTTCAGCAGGAACGAGCCAAGTGAGTGACAGGTACTACAGCATCAGTTCTGCTTCAGTCTGGTGTCTGGTGGTCCTTGAGAGCTGCTTCAGGACATCTGGAGCACAAGCAGGTAAAACACATGTTTGTGTAGTCCATGAGAGAAGGGTCCCAGTGGGTGCTGCAGTCTGTCCAGCACAGTGATGATGGTTCTTGAGAGCAGCAGGGGGATGGTGTGGAGGATGTCATCTCTTCTTCACCTCTGACCAAAGACTGGGTTAAACAGCAGGTAGACTGTGTCTTTGAGTGGTCCAAAGTGATGTTTTTACTTCTGGTTGACGGTTTGATAATTTTTTTCTGCTCATAAGTGAGCTAGTTAGGACAGCACTAATGGTCAGGACAAAGATGGCAGAGACAACTGAAGAAGAAAAAAAAATACCCAAACAAAAGGAAACTTAGCTTTACTCTACTGCATCCACAGGTGATGCGTTTACTTTTGGTTGACAGTTTGATAATTTTTTTCAGTTTACAGTGAGCTAGTCAGGATAGTACTAATGGGGGTCAGGTTAAAGATGGTGGGGACAACTGAAAAAAAAAAATAATAATAATAATAAAAAATTAAAACTAAAAACATACCCAAAGAAAAGGAAACTTAGGTTTGCTCTAGTTTACTTACAGCCACCCATGCTAAGAGAGTGGTGTAAAGTTGGGTGGAGAAAAGGGGGGTTTCAGCTGGTAGGTAACAGAACATCAGAAAGTGTGTGTTCATTAGGGAACACACACTTTCTGATGGAGGTTTTTAATTTTAGCTGCTGTATACAGTATTGTACACAGCAGCTGAGAGTCTTGGCCTGTGCATTTATCAATCCGCACCCACCCTCCCTATGTCCAGTCAAGTCAAGTTAAATGGATTAACTTGACTTGACTGGACTTGATAAATGCACAGGCCAAAAATTGTCATTTATAACATTTGAATAGTTGGAAAATTTTACAACCTGAAAAATATTTTCTTTCTAAAAATTCTGAGCCATAAAAATATTTTTTGCACTAGTAAAATTTACAATGACCAAGCACATTTCAATCTGTACTGAAAATATGAGCATAACATTAGCCACAGCTTCTGTAGTTTGTCTTTTCCTTAATAGTACTTTCCTCTATGACCTGTTGGATGAAATGACACAGTAAGTGGCGTTGTGGTAACTGTAGTACGTCTGCATGATACCTGAGGAGAGACATAGCTGAGGTCGTGAGATGAAGATCAGGTCCAGCAGTGTGTTCTTGTCCGTTGTAGCAGCAGTGATCAGTTGACCATATCCCTTGGACTGAAAGAAATCCAAAATTGGCTTACTTGCATTAGAAAAGAGATTCTCATTGAAGTCGCCACAGACGATGATGGGATGACAGTCCATGATCTCAAGTGAGTCCAGAAGGCTTCCCAGATTGGACAGGAATGATGGCACACTGTAGTCTGGAGGTCTGTACACAGCTGCAATCAGAGCACTTACAGGAGATTCAACCTTCAAAGCCACAAACTCGAGGTCAGTCACATTATTCAGGTACTGTTTCTCCACAACCTGCAAATGGTTTTTCACATAAACAGCGACTCCACCACCTCCTTTACTGGCCATCTGTGGAAAGTTAGTGTAGGACAAATGTCTGTTGCGTTTGAACATGGTGTAGCCCTCAAACTGGAGACTGTCTGCCACAAAGGAGCCCTGTAGGTGAGTTTCTGTCAGACACAAAACATCTGCAAGACACAGTTCATGATGGCTTTTGATGTCATTCACATGAGCAGGTAATCCTTCGGTGTTGTGATGAATGATGCTCACAGTGTCCTGTCTGCTGAGAGAATGCTGGATCTGGAGAAAAGGCATGAGGTGATCAAAGTTAGCTTGCGTCATGGTCTCCAAAGATACAGTGACTGCAGGGTTAGCATGGATTTTACTCTCATCCAAATCAAGCATGTACAGGCCGCTGAGAGAGGTCACTCGACTGATAGCTACGTAGGCCATGCCGGGCTCAAAAATGTGCTTCAGTGAGACAACAGCTGATTTTCTGGTCATACCTTGAACCTTGTGTATCGTGCATGCAAAGGCAAGTTTCACAGGAAACTGTCTGCGTACCACTCCTTTCTGTTGCAGAGCCTCCTCAGATCTCTCGATGTACACAAGATTGTCTCCTCTAGTACGATAGCTCCTGCCAGCTGTTTCATCATCCATCCTGAGACCAAGCATAGTGACAAGAGCAGAACCATTGTTTTCAGAGCTTATGAGACGTCCTACTGTAGCAAATGATCCGTTCACCAATCCTTGAGACACATCAATGTTTCTGGTAAGCATGACTCTAGCACCTACTGCAACATCTAGGGTGTCAGGTAGATCATTTCTGCTTCCATGACATGGTGCACCTTGTCTTTTCATGTGTCCAGTGTGTGGGTCTTTTTTAAAGTCATCTGCATCAATAGTGGTGATATCAGAATGGAGCAGAGATAGTGTAGCAGAGTTGTGTTCTGCGACTTGTTTGTTTGTAGCAAAAATGTGCAGGACATCAGAGGGACACAGTTGTGGTTCAGTGACACGTTGTGACAGCAGAGCTCTGTCAGCTTCAGAAAGCTCATCTGACCTTGTTTTCACACGGAGTCTGTTCAGCATCTCGGCAAAAGTTTTGTCATCCTTCTGTCGCATGATCTCATCTAAAGTGATCACCTGGAAGTTGTCTCTCCAGAGGTCAAGTTCACTTGGATCATAGACACAGAGTGGTTTGGACTGTCGCACAGGCGGTAGCTGGTAAAAGTCTCCCACAGCAATGACTGACATTCCTCCAAAGGGTCTGTGGCTGCCTTTAATCTGTTTCAGTCTCACATCCACATAGGCAAACAGAGGCTTCGACACCATGGAGATTTCATCAATGATGATGATTTCAGCGTTTAAAAGCTCACACCTGATTTCATCAAGTTGGTTCCCAAGACCTTGAAAAGGAGGTTTCAAACTTCTGGGCAGCTTGAGGAGAGAGTGCAGTGTTGTTCCAGAGATGTTAAAGGCTGCAGTTCCAGTGAAAGCAGTCAACAGCACAGTCGGGTTTGAGATGTCAGCTTCCTCAGCACGTCTAGGTAGTGTTCTCAGAATCTTTGATGCTTCTGAATGAATGCATTTAATGAGATGTGACTTTCCAGTGCCAGCACCACCATTGATGTAGTAGAAAAACTGCTCTGGTTGTCGTCCACAGACTCGTTTTATGCACCAGTCTCTCACTGCATAGAACACACATGCCTGTTTCTGGTTCAGACTCTGATACATTTGTCGTAACCGTGTGGGATCGATTGTAGGGGGCTCTCTCATGACTCTGGCCTCTGTAGCAGCATTTGCTTGTCTGCTGTAATCCGGTACATCCTCTTGGACATTTTCACACTGTCTGGCGTCCAGTTCATCGATACACTCCAACCTCACCAATTCAGATTCAGGTGCCAAATTACACCATTCATCGACCACACCTCTGTTCTGTTCAAAGTCCTCGAGAGCAGAGTCAATTTCCTCACTGTTTTTTTCATATCTCTCTCGGTTTCTTTTCACAATGAGTTTCACACTCAGGGGTCGGTCAGAATACGGCAGCTGAACCACACCTCTCTCATAGAATGACTCATATGTGGGAAAATATGGTCTTTTCAGCTCATCGTCTGATCTGTATGGAAGATACAGTCTAAGCAATGTGCCGTAAAACTGCTCAGGGTATTTCTCTTTGGATATGCGGCGATACCTGATGACAGCAGCGTTGTCACTTTCTCGTCTCTGTATAAAGCCTAGTTCATTCAGCAAAGGTACCACTTTCTTGCCCTTGGTCTGTTGTCCATACACCAGTCTGCAGGTAGACGCAAAATCAGCCATGCACATCTCTTCAAACTCTGGTGATTCAGGTCTGGATTTGTACTTGTCTGTTAAGGATGTCATCCACACATTCAAGCTGTCTGGTGTTGTGTTGTCAAGGCTTGACACAGGCAGACTCATTTTCACTGGGTTGTCATCAGTTGGGACAAAAACCACACTGCGTGAACTCTTTTTCATGTTCAGTGAAGTCACTCGGGCAACAGCTTCTTGTGCTGATACTTCTCGCTTTTTGGAATACGCCTGCATGACCGCTTTCATTTCATCACATTCATTGACACATTCTCTGTCGGAGTTCTGAATGAGTGTTTGCAGGTACTGGCTCACAGAGTTCTCACTTTTACACATGTACGTACATATGTAATGGATCAGACTGTAGTAGCTGAGAATGAACTGCACATCAATGTTTGCATCCCAAGCTTTGAGCAGGTGAGGGTTGTAGGTGTTTACCCAGCAGTCTTTTGGCTCACGCTTCAGAATGATGTTGCTGGACTGACTCATCACATTCATGTGTTTCTCGTACTCATCAGCGGTTAAGTCACAGACGGACAGGAGCTGTTGAAAACTCATGGATTCAGTTTGTGTCTCATTCAGCAGCTGATTCAGTGGTGCAAGTTTCTCTTTGGCTCTCTTAAGTCTCTCTGACTCCTCATCATCACCCACAGGTCTTGTTATCATTGTCTGTCTGGAGGGTGGTTTTGGGAATCCAAATCGGCATCCAGAACTTGCACTTTTGAAACATGTCTTTGAGTGGTTCTTACTGTGTATTTGCACTTCTTTGACCTTTTTGTACAGTTCAGGCTGTTTATTTGGGTCAGGGAGCTGAGCAGAGATGTGTCTGGACACAAAGTCACACACAGTTTTGTCAGAGTCTCTCTCAAACACAGGTGCACCTTCTACCCACAAAAGACCATGTATATGAGGACTTCCTCTGTGCTGAAACTCAAGACGCCAAAAGAAGTCAAAAACTTTGCCCAGGGGTTGTGCAGGAGACATGATCAGATCTCTGTACAGTGCTTCAACACGCTTATCAAACATGCGCATCGTTGTCACAGGATTGCTTCTCAGAATGTCACACTTTGTGGACCAGTCGAGCTCTTCAAAATTCACCTCCTCACCTTGTTGTGATTTTATTGCAATAATCACCTCAGGCCAACGCATTTCTGCTGCAGAAAATGTGACAAAGAAAGTAGGACTGCCCAACTGTCTGATCATAGCAAACAGATCTTTTGTAGTTTTGTCCCAGTAAGCTGGTGTTCCTCTGAGCGGCTGCATAAATCTGATAGCATCTCTGTTTCTCACCAGTCTCTCCACTTCGTATTTGTCTCTCAACATTCTGGATGTTATTTTACGTCCGTCTCTGGTCAAAGGTTTGCCTTTGCGTAACTGTATTGACATGCTGGAGGTAGCCAAGTGTATTTCAGTCACAAACTGTGCAAAGAACAGGTAGTTGGTATCTTTGGCAAAGCGATCATCAACACCAAAGAGCCTTGCTTTAAAATAACTACTGGGTGATAGTTTCATTGGTCTGTTTTCATCCAGTGTATTCTCACCAGTGGGAAACTGAACAGGAAACGCCATGGCCTCTAGTTTGGGTGTTTTGAAAAAACTGACTGGATTGTTTCTCTCTGCTGGAGCTACTGAGTATGTAGAGTCACTGAAACACAATATCTCCTCAGAAACATCCCGTGGCTGAAGGCACGACTCCAAAACAACACCACCATTAGATATGTCTGCATCCTGTTGTTGTGTCTGATCATCATTGTCCTGGGTCTGACTTTTATCACACAGCTCTGTGTTCTCATCCTCATTTTCAACATTAGTTTCAGCCTCATACATGGCAGCAGCCTCAATTCTATCAATTTCCATCAAATCCTCATCATCATAGTCGTCATCATTCATTGTAATATCATTACCATCATCCTCATCCTCATCCTCATCACCATCATCAGGAAGTGTGGGATCACATAACTCCTCCTCATCTCTAATAGTGATGTCTTCATACTGGGGGTGTATCTCTTTCAGTTTATGCAGAGCCTGCACTAGCTTGGACCAGGTAACAGTCTGAAACAGATGGTGACCTCTGTAACTCAAACGTCTCTTCAGTTTTACTCTCATCACCTGAGATTCATTTCTCAATCTTGGTAGAGCCTGAATTGTCTCCTGGACTTCAGAGGGAACACATACAACATTACCATGTATAGCTCTCTGTCTGCCTTTGGGAAGAGGAATGATTTTTGCAAATGTTATGCACTTTGCTATCAGATGTCTCTCCAGTATGTTGAGGTCACACAGCTCAGGTGGTATGTCAGCAAGTTCCAAGTTGTTTGCTATTGCAAGTTTGGGCATGGATCCATTTTTCAGATGGTCATGGCAGGTGTGACAAATCCACTCAGTCTTTCTCTCATCAGGGACAGTGCACTTATTTCTGCAGTCATCATTACAATCATGGACATACTGACCTTTGAGACAAGCTGAAACCATGATTGGATTTTTCACATAGTTAGACCTCTTGCACTTTTGCACCTGGTTTGGAAATGAGGCTTTGTGGCAAACTGTGCAAACATGGGTGGGACCAGCTTTAATGTGTGAACGGAAATCATTTATGGCACTTTCAATAAGCGGGTTTTCACTCTCTCTGTCAGTCTCACATGTTTGTTTACTTATCCGTTTGTATTTCTTTGATATTTTCAATGCACACCTCATTTTATGCATAGTTCTGTATGCAAGATTTGTCTTGTACCTGTCTCGCATCATTTGTCTCATCAGCTGTCTGTGTCGGTGACAGAATATTTCATCGTTTGCATATCGATGATTGATATATGATCGCTGTCTTTGCCGGAAATTAACATCCTCCGAGTATTTTTTCGTGAAATATTCTTTTCGTCTGCCTCTAAAATCAATATTTTCTCCATATTTTTTCCTGAAATATAACTTTTGTCTGCCTTTAAAATCAACATTTTCCCTGTATTTTCGTGTGATATATTCTTTTTGTTTCAGTCTGTAGTCTGTGCTTTCTCTATATTTAGATGTGATCTTTTGTCTTTTCTTTGTCTGTATCTCAGGATTTACAGAATATTTGTTTCTTGAATAAGACTTTTTCTTTGCTTTATATGTTTCATTCTTAGCATACTTTTCTCTCTCTCTCCTTTTTTGATTCTCTTTCTTTTCAGATGTCTTTCCAGATCTCATTAGTCTCCTCTTAAATTTCTTTTTTTGCTGTTTGTTCAATTTTGACAGTTTACTAGAAATGTCATGGAGGACATTGTCACTGGTGACAGGGATAGTTATAAATGGTCGTGTCAAATTTGATTGTGTCTCCTGAGTTTCCTCTTTGACAGAATTCATGCTGATTTGACCTGGTTGATGAGCTTGTGTTTCCATCAAAGTTGAGACTTTCTGTGATGTGTCATCACTTACAGTAGTGTTCATCTCCAGAACGAGAGATTCAGGACCAGTTAATGTGACAGAACACTGGCTGAAGTCGATCAGTGGTTCTGGTTCAGTTTCCATGTCGCATTCAGTGTTTTCATGGACATCAGTGTTCATCTGTGGAGCACTTGTGTCATCATTTATCACAGTGGTTGTTACAGAGGGACTTGTGGACGGACTTTCTGTGGCTGGGATAGCATCACTTGGGTTCACATCACCGAACACAACTGGCTTGAGCTCATAGCGACAGGACGCTGCAGTGCCCAATATGTGGTGATACCTGATGAGCCTGGCAATCATGTCACTGAGTCGTGTGAATGTTACCATGACAGCGGTTCCAGGAGTAGGTGTGGCCTTAAGCAGAGGCAAACCTTTAGCTGTCCTAGCATGTGGGTCAAAGAAACCGTACCTGCCATCTCTGGTTCTGAAAACTGCAATGCACAGTGAAGTCATTAGCAGCAAAGCATACTGCACATCTGATAATAAGCAGCTCAGTCCTGAAATGAGGTCCAGAAAGGTATCAACAGCACCGGGATCCGGATCTCCAAACATACCGTATCTAGACAGCTGTAACTTGTCAACAGTCAGCATGTGTCTGCGGGCAGGAACCTGGTCAGGGAGCTCATCGGTTGTCAGATGGATGTGATCACGAACAGTTTTTCTGACTTCTCTGTACATCACATCACCTTTATCCAAAACACGGTCCAGGTCTGCTCTGGTGATGTGTTCGTTCTCATACAGGAATGCTAGAAATGTCAGTGAGTTACAGGTGCACTGCTGGTTTCTGGATTGGCCATATTTCAGAGATGCTTGGCTGCGTGACGCACAGACGTTTTGTTCTCCTGACTGATTAACAGCGTTAACATTTCTTACCCGAGAAGAGCCTGATACAGACTGATAATTACTGTGGTTTCCCTTCTTAACAGTGTCTGCATGTGATACCTGGGTTGAGCATGGCTTTTCAGTTTGGGCTATGTAGTTCACCTGATGAGAGTTAGAAGGACCTGCTGCAGGTGACTCACTTACACGTCTCCTCTTAAGCACGTCTGCATAAGATACCTGTGGTTGACATGATGCATTTTCACCTCCCTGTTTCACAGCATCAGACACTTCAGACCTCTTTACCTCTCCACTGCTCTGAGGAATACAATCTGCTTGTCCAGTACTCACACAGTCAATGTCATGAACCCTCTGCCAGCGCTGGCTTGCAGCCTGTGACTTCTTACTCTTCCTTGGCATTGTAACTATTCTTTCACAACAATGTGTTTATGCAACAATTAAAAGTTACTGATAAGCACCAGTATAAACAAAAATGCTTTATTTCTTCAAGAGGACGTTATTTAACAGCTCTTATAGTCTCCAAAAAATATTATTTATAACTGTGTATACCACAATAGTTTATCAAATGTTTTATAAGAAAATCCTACACAAGACTATATAAATGTTTTCAGAAAAAACACAAATCAACAACAATTTTTAAATCTTAGCACTTCGTGCTTGAAATAATATCTAACTCAAATATTCTATATGGAACTTTTTTTTCTTTCAAAATCAGGGAAACAGATGTGGTGGTGCTGATGACACTTCTGGTGAAACTCTGGATCCACAGACAGGAAAGGAGGACCTAGAACAACAATCAGACTTTTGCAAAATTAGGGATTTTTCAAAATAGTGGTTTTATTAAAAGTACGGCTTTTCAAAAGTTTGGTTTCTCAAAGAAAGGTAGCTTGTTTCAATAGGTTTCTCAAAAGGTAGCTTGTTTCACTGGTTGCTCAAAAAAAAGGTAGCTTGTTTCAATAGGTTTCTCAGAGGTTTCTGGTACACTGGTTTCTCAGAGGTTTCTGGTACACTGGTTTCTCAGAGGTTTCTGGTACACTGGTTTCTCAGAGGTTTCTGGTACACTGGTTTCTCAGAGGTTTCTGGTACACTGGTTTCTGAAAGGTTTCTGGTACACTGGTTTCTCAGAGGTTTCTGGTACACTGGTTTCTGAAAGGTTTCTGGTACACTGGTTTCTCAGAGGTTTCTGGTACACTGGTTTCTGAAAGGCTTGTCACAATGGTTTCTGAAAGGCTTGTCACAATGGTTTCTGAAAAGCTGATCAATCAGATAGAGCGGTAGAGGAGACTGGAAAGTCAGATTAACCAAACTTAGTCAGAGGGATAGAGAAAAGGGGGACACAAGATAGAGTGGCTTTTCAATTAGATAGAGCGGTAGAGGAGACAGGAAAGTCAGAGCGTCCAAAATGTAGCTAGAGGGATAGAGAAAAGGGGGACACAAGATAGAGTGGCTTTTCAATAAGACAGAGAGGTAGAGGAGACAGGAAAGTCAGAGCGACCAAAAAGATAGGGGAGAGTGGGGAGACTGGACACGATACCTGTAAGACACAATGAAAACAAACATGAATCATTTTTTATAAGAGAAACAAAATGAACCAACATCCACCCAAAGCTAATGTCATTATTATGTGCTTTTGCTTAACCCACCATATGGCTATCCTTAACTATACATTTATCAAAAGCCAAGTTGAGTCAAATCCTGGAATTGGCAATTGCCCTGTTTGATAACCCATCAATCAAATTAATAAGAACTAAAAATCCAAAGTGCTCATACGAGTTTATTAAAAATGTATTTAAGGTAAGGAGAACTTTATTATTTCCCTGAAGGGAAATTTGTCATATCTCAAAAAGTCATCTGCTATTAAGAATTGTAAAGTCTGATGGCTGTGGGTACAAAAGATCTTCTGAATCTTTTTGTCCTGCAGCGAGGAGAGAGGAGCCGTCCACCACCTTAGGCCCTTTGGTCCATCAAGGTGTTATGAAGTGGGTAATCCATGTTCTTTAAAATAGTCTCCACCTTCCTCAGCGTACATCTCTCCACCACATCCTACACTGAGTCCAACTTGAATCCAACCACAGAGCCAGCTTTTTAAATTTAGGACCTCAAAGTATTTTACAACAAGTTCTATTATCCCTGTGTATTTTAGACTCTTAGAAATCATTTAAAGTTCCCTTTATAATGTTCAAACCCATGTCCTGGTAAGCAATAACATCAATGGATTACTTTGCTAATAAGATAATAATGTATTTTAGGAAATGTAATTTCCTTTACTGTGTTTTCAGTTTTCCAACTAAGTAATAAGTTATAATGAGGCCAAGCAGCTCCATGAGCTGTCAACAGATGCAAGCAAGGTACCTTAGAAGGATAAACATATATATATATATATATATATATAATATTATAAAAAATATTCATGAAAATGTCATTCCTGTGTGAACTTACGTCAAGTCGCCACAAAGCGGTCTGCACTTGGAGACAGTATCGAGTTGGCAAGAAGGAAAATGGAAAAACAGAGACAAGAGATTTTTAGTTTAATTGTACAAAACCAGCACATCTCACTGCATTGTAATTCCAACTGTGATCAGCCAGCAAAATTATTTACATTTAGTTCTGCATTAGTTAAAATAAAGTGTTATTTAGGTCAGGTTTTTAGATAATGTGTTGCAAAAAGTAACAGTGAAAATATATTTTAAAGTTACTTTATTTGTGAACTTACAGCTGAGTTGCCAACAGTGAACAGGGCCCGCAGTAGAAATAGCGTTGAGGAGTTCAGTAAGAGGGAGAAGACAGAAGGACAAAAAAAATGTAATTTAGTTGCAAAAAAATAAAATAAAAAAATCAGCATCTCAAAGTTTATTGTAATCACGACCGTTTTTCAGTGTGGATCATTAGTTTTCTCATTTCTTATCAAACTCTAAAATTTGTCGCACTTGATTAATAAAAGGATGTTACTGCAGCTCCCTTGGCCTGTAAAAAATGTTTGTTAAAATGGAGAGACAATGCACAAACACGATGAAAGACCTCTTTACTTTCTTCTGTATGTTGATGAGGTGAAATAGAAAACCGTGATATGTCATTATAAACTACGGAGCAAAAATGTAACATTTGAGTGATTGCTAAATAAGTATACGCAAGTGTGAACTTACACTTCAGAGTTGGTAGGGATTTTCGCTCAGGTCAGAGGACAAGATGAGGCAGGAGGAGGGGGAGAGAGAGGAGGAGATTTTTAATACAGTCAAAAGAGCCTCTCTCACAGCTCACTTCATTTAAAGTACTTTTCCTGAATGATTTTCCCACTTAATTGTCAAAATTAAGATTCAGACTTTCCCTGCAAGTTAAAATGATCCAAAACATTAATTAAGTAGTGTAGTAATATTGTTAGCACAAGGTTGTCTACAAGGAAAAAACTGTATCCCATCTCTATTTCTCATATGGTATATGTGTTACACATAGATCAACATTTCATATCACTTTGAACTCAGTATTTGAGAAATGCATCATATATTTTACATTATCTTGAATATCAAGTTGTTCAACAGGATTAAACTTAACATTAATGCAGTTATTTTTATTTTGACTGTTGTTAGTCTTGGTTAAAACACTGATACTTACCAACAAATGCACTGGAGTGGATGTATCTTCTGTTTGTTTGAGACAAGAAACCATATATTAGTGTTGTCTGACAGATAGTACATTAAAAACAATAGGCCTTTTAAGAAAACTAACATTATTACAGTAATTGGACTAATTGAAAACTAAACAGCTCCAACAGATCAGCTGGCTGTTAGCTGTAGCTGAAAAAGTCACATAATACATACTGTATTACAGTATTTAAACCTCAGATAAAGCATCTTTGCTGTGATGTTAGCACATCACCAATATCCAAATTAACAGCTTGTGATCAAAGGTATGTTAGGTACAGTAGAAGGTGAGGTACAGCAGCAGCCAGTGAGACAGAGACAAACCAGGCACAGGTTCACCAACTTCAAGGCAGCTAACTATCCATTAATTAACTCAATATTAAGATAAGAACTTTATAGATCCCTAAAGGGAAATTCAACTGGAATATATTTATTATTTGGAACTTCGTATTATTAAACATTAAATACTGAATTAATTTTATGTTTTGCAATGTAAATATCTCTATCATCCCCATCATGAACAAAACCTTCAATAATAGAGGACCATCTAGTTCCACTCTGACACATAAAAAAAGGAAAACCACTCACATTTGTGCTATACCTGGATGCTTGATAAATGCAGCCTATATTTTAATACATCTACAATGGCTGATAAAAAGTGACCAGGAGCTAAACAGCTGATGTCTCCGGACCAGTTCCCCAGCAATAACTCAGTCACAGTAATGAACTGAACCTGTAGCAATGGCGCTAGCGTCATTAGTTAGCTAGTTAGTCAGTTAATACTTGACAATATGAGTATTCTTGTCAGTCCCATTGTCAGTAAACTCCACAGCCTGTACATCATTTGGCATGCTTTATAGTACCGCAGCGGCTTACATATTCACTTTATTTTGTGCTCAGCTGGCTAATGATTCAGCCTCACAGCTGACGGTATGTTAGCTTTAATGTTAGCTCGACGCTAGCGCCGCTAGCTCGACGCTAGCGCCGCTAACTCGACGCTAACAGCGTTAGCGTACGCTTTTTCAACTCATTATCTCGACCACTTCAATCATGAATAAACTCTTCATTGATTATAACTCAAACCAGTGCCATTTGAAACGCTAAATCACCGTTTGAAGTGTTCAGAAGTTAGAGAGACTGTGCTCTGACTCACCTTCGTCGAGGTAGGAGAAGGATAGCGCGAGCCACCCGTAAGTCACGGTAGAAATGTTTGAGGCGTTCAGGGACACTCGGAAATGTCACACTTCACACGACGGAAAGGCAGTGGTTCAATCAATTCATATTAATTGTTTTCTAGTACTAATAGTAGCAAGACTAGTTGAAGTGCAAGTGATGCAAGTAGTAGTTGTAGAAGTGGAAGTGGGATTTTGTTTGAAGAATTGAAATATGCATGAATAGTAAAAATGATTTAAAGTGGGGGAAAATATAACTAATAAAAAATCCTAAAGTATTAGAAAGGTTTGAATAAGAATGAGTTTAAATTTATTAGAAGAATTGAATAATGCATAAATAATGAGAATGATTTTAAATTAAGGACAATTTAACTGAATAGAAATCCTCTGTAGACTCCATAATGTCCTCAATGAGCAGAATTTTTGAAGCCCAAAATATGTCTGTATCTCAAAGTTTGTGAGAGAAGATAGGTGGTGAAGCAGACACATGGTCAAAGTGTGTTCAGGTTGCATAGACAGAGAGAGACTCATGCATGCACATATTTTCTGTGTGTACTTGAAGGTCTCATAGAGAGAAGGAGGCTGAAGCACACACATTGGCTGAGTGTGTGTGTGTGTCGTTAATGACTGCATCCTAAACAGCTGTGAGATCAAAGGCATTAACTGACCTACTGTTTGTATGAGAAGCAGCTGAACTGCAGAGGATTTGAAGCCTGTGAAGTTCTTCACATAGCGTGATTTCCTTAAGTCCCAGAATGAAAATAAGAACACCGTACGAATCATCCGCCCTTCATGAACACAATGATGTGGTTTTCATGTCTGTACTTCGAAAAATGAGGCCACAACAGCGAGTTAAAAAAGTCTGAGCCTGAGCGATGATCCGGATTTTCTTGGAGAAAAATAACATTACGGTCAATGGGAGAGATTTCCGCCTTTTTTGGACAGTTGGTCACCTGCTGGCCAAGGGGTACGATTTAATGATTTGAAACCTCTTTTGTGAGAAGCAGGACACATATACCTCCATTTTGATGTATTATTTGTGTCAGTGGAGTGAGATTTACGGGCGTGGGAGCGATATATTCGAGCGAGGTTCTGTCGATCAGAGACGAGGTCTGCACTCTAGCTGATGACATCATCACTCTAAACTCTCCAATACACACCCATTATAAAGCTTGAAATTTGCTGAAAACCACAAGTTGCTTAAAGCTAAATTGTGGACAAACTGTAAAAGATATCAAAAAACTGAGTACAACTATAATAGTCGACAAGTGAATGAACATTTTAAAGCAAAAATGAGGTCTCTAGGTGAAAGTATGCTGAAGTTATAAGACTTTGAAGGTGGAAGAAAAAAAGGAAGAGGTGGAAGATTTCCCCATTGACTTCAATGTTAAAATTTTTGCACAAAAAGTTAAAAATATCAAAAAGTATAAAGGGTAGAAAAAAGAAAAATAGACGCCATAATGTCCTGAAGGAGTGGAAGAGTTTAAAGTTTGAACGGTTGAAATCGGACAAAGTTTGAAGGAGGAGAAGCGGTCCAAAAAAGGGACGGAAGAATAATAAGTTTAATAAAGAAACAGGAGAATAACAATAAGTGGAAATGCTTAATCAGCATTTCCACTTAACTAGAAAAATTGCATTTCCTTGCAGAAAATGCGTGGAAATGCTGAGTGCTGAAAGCTGAAAAAGCAATGCAAAACTGCCAATAAAAAATGGAGGAAGGTATAAACGGAAAAACTGTAGAAAAGGTGGAGTAGAAGAAGAAGAAATTGTATGAATGGAAGAATTGTAGTATAGCTGGAGGTAAATTAGTTGGATTAATGTACAAATTGTCTGATAGCCTAAGTGAAAAATGTATATGATTGATGTGAATAAACAGAACTGATATGGATAATTGAATTTGAAAAACAAATGCCTTTAAACAATGTGTAACAATGTTCCTATTAAATGTACAAATAGTAAAACTGATTTTTGCAGTCTGCAGCATCCAACCATAGTAACTTGAGAATGCAGAACAGCACCATCTATTGCCCTGCTTCAGTTACTGCCCTACATCTGAATGCAGAAAGTATGAAACAGCTGAAGTTAAATTAATTGTATAAATGTAGAAAGTATAGAAAAGAAAAGCAGAAGTAGAAGAAAAAGAAGAAGTTAGTATGTTAAAAGAGTTAAAGACAAGAACTGTAACAACAAAGTTCATATTGGGGCTGTATTTTCTACTGACAGAGTGACAGTAATGCACACATGGAAACAGTGTGTGTGTGTGTGTGTGTGTGTGTGTGTGTGTGTGTGTGTGTGTGCCCGCGCGCGCGCGCGGCCGAGCCCGTGCGTGTGCATATGCGTGTGTGATCGAAGCACACAGCCCATGACAAGTGCAGAATCTGACAGAGACAGTAAGAGAGAAAGACACACAGTAATGCACTCATGGAAACAGTGTGTGTGTATGTGTGTGTGCCCGCGCGCGCACGAGCGGCCAAGTCCGTGCGTGTGCGATCGAAGCACACAGCCCATGACAAGTGCAGAATCTCTGGCTCTGAAGGAATGTACTCACCTCCTGGGCAAGCTGTACAATTTCATGACTTCAGACCGATTTTGTGAGAAGCAGGACGAGTGTACCTCCATTTTGATGTGTTTTTTATGGCTGTGGAGTGAAAATTGCGGCCGCAGCAGCAAAATAATCATGCTTGGTGTAGTGAATCCAAAAGGCCCCGCCCGCATCTAGTGATGACGTAACATCTGACGTCACACGCTGTAGCGTGAGTCAGGCTGAAAAAGGCAGAGAACTTCATGTTGCTCCAAGCGAAATTGTGCAAAAACGGTAGGATATAGCAAAAAGGAGTGAATACAACATTTGTAGCAGACGAGTTGCTGAACATTTTAAAGCAAAAATGAGGTCTGTAGGTGAAAGTATGCAGAAGTTATAAGGGTGAGAAGGTGTTATAGCTGTATCTCCATTCATTTGTAATGGAACAAATTTTGCAGAAAAAGTGAAATATTGCAAAAAGTATAAATGGTAGAAAGGTGAAAAGTAATAGCCGTAATGTCCTGAAGGAGTGCATTAGTATAAAGTTTGAATGGTGAAAATAGCACAAAGTGGTGAGGAGTTGAAAAGGGCCAAAAAAGGTACGGAAGAATAATAATAATAATAATAATAATAAAGAAATAGTAGAATAACAATAAGTGGAAATGCTGTGTCAGCATTTCCACTTAACTAGAAAAATTGCATTTCCTTGCAGAAAATGCGTGGAAATGCTGAGTGCTGAAAGCTGAAAAAGCAATGCTAAACTGCTAATAAAACATGGAGAAAGGTATAAATGTTAAAGCTGTTGAAGGGGTGAAAAAGAAATATAAGTTGGATAACTGTTTAATTGGTTGAAGGACAAATAGTATGACTATGCTCTATAAATGGAAATTTTATTCATGCTGAAAGAGGCTAGAAAAATGTCTAAAATTGCACAAAGTTTGAATGAAGAAGGAAACTGCCTTAAAAGGCAGGAAGGTGAGAAGTGGCATAAGTTTAAGTTGTAGTACTAGAAGTAGTATAAGAGGTCAAGTCGTGATACTAGTAGTTATGTCAGCAGTAGAAGTAGTTTGAGAATAAAAGAAGTATAAGTCACAGTAGTAGAGAAAGTAGAAATAGGAGCAATAGCAGTTGAAGTAGAGGGGAAAGTACTAGTTTAATTGACATTAGCAGTAGTTGTCGTACTTGAGGTAGGATTTTTTTTGAAGGATGGAGTAATGCATAAATATTAAAACTAATTTAAACATGGAAAATTTAAATAATTAAATTTCACAAGTATCAGAAAGTTTTTAAGTATTAGAAAGGTTTGAATCAGTTTGAATGAGTTTAAATTAGTTTGAAAAATTAAATGATAAATCATCACTGAGTGACTTTAAAATGTGAAAAATTTAAATGAAAATAAATCCTAAATACACCCCATAATGTCCTCAATGAGCTTAAATTTTAAAGCCCTGAATGGTTTCTGTAGGTCAAAGGTCATGTGAGGAGATAGGGGCTGAAGTTTTTTCAAGCGCTCCAGGAAAGGGTTTTAAATGTCATCCCCAGTGTTATGTGTACTGAGCCTGGCTTCATGTGTCTCATATGGCCATTAGAAGCAGCTTTTCAGTCAGCTGTGTGTCTCCAGGTGCACAAATTGGTTGCCATGGGGACCTTGGATGCATAACTATAGCAGGAGAAAGAAGGCTTGAAGCTAAGGAAACAGGACTCCAAGTAGGCCCTGATGCTCATCCTCTGTATAAATTCATGATAAGGAGCTTGTGAGAACACAAGACTCTGCTGAACACATTAATACAATTTATTATCACAATCCTCAAAACACCCCATAATATCTTCAATGAGCTGAATTTTTGAAGCCCAGAATGGTTTCTGTAGCTCAAAGTTTGTGGGTGGAGATAGGTGGTGAAGCAGACACATATTAACTGTGTATACAAGCAGCTGAACTGCAAGGTAGACCTGACAGCAAAAAGTACAAGAATCTGTGTGTGTGTGTGTGTGTGTGTGTGTGTGTGTGTGTGTGTGTGTGTGTGTGTGTGTGTCTCGTTAATGATTGCATCCTAAACAGCTGTGAGATCAAAGCATTAACTAACCTATTGTTTGAATGGAGAAGCTGCCGAACTGCAGTGAATTTAGGGTTCTGAACTTCTTCACATAGCACGATTTCCTTAAATCCCAGAATGAAAATAAGAACATCGTACGAATCCTCCATCCTTCATGAACACAATGATATGTTTTTCATGTCTGTACTCCGAAAAATGTGGCCACAACAGCGAGTCAAAAAAGTCTGAGCCTGAGTGACGATAAGGATTTTCTTGGAGAAAAAATACATTAGGGCCAATGGGGAGAGATTTGCGCCTATTTGGACAGTTGGTCACCTGCTGGCCAAGGGGTAGGATTTAATGATTTGAAACCTCTTTTGTGAGAAGCAGGACACATATACCTCCATTTTGATGTATTTTTTATGGCTGTGGAGTGAGATTTTTGGGCGTGGGAGCGATATATTCGAGCGAGGTTCTGTCGATCAGAGACGAGGTCTGCACTCTAGCTTTTCAAATCATCACTCTAGCCTCTCCAATACACCCCCATTATAAAGCCTGAAATTTGCTGAAAACCACAAGTTGCATAAAGCTAAATTGTGGAAAAACTGTAAAAGATAGCAAAAAAAGGTTAATACAACATCAATAGTCGACAAGACAATGAACATTTTAAAGCAAAAATTAGGTCTCTAGGTGAAAGTATGCTGAAGTTATAAGGCATAGAAAGTGGACGAATAACAGGAAGAATTGGAACATTTCCCCATTCATTTCTATGGGAAAAAAAGTTTGGCACAAAAAGTGAAAAATAATAAAAAGTACAAAGGACAGAAAGGAAAAAAATACAAGCACACATGTCCTGATGGAGTGGAATAGTTTAAAGTTTGAACGGTTGAAATCGGACAAAGTTTGAAGGAGGAGAAGCAGTCCAAAGAAACGTATGGGGAGAGTGTTAAGTATAATACTAGAAAAATTGCATTTCCTTGCAGAAAATGCGTGGAAATGCTGAGTGCTGAAAGCTGAAAAAGCAATGCAAAACTGCCAATAAAAAATGGAGGAAGGTATAAACGGAAAAACTGTAGAAAAGGTGGAGTAGAAGAAGAAGAAATTGTATGAATGGAAGAATTGTAGTATAGCTGGAGGTAAATTAGTTGGATTAATGTACAAATTGTCTGATAGCCTAAGTGAAAAATGTATATGATTGATGTGAATAAACAGAACTGATATGGATAATTGAATTTGAAAAACAAATGCCTTTAAACAATGTGTAACAATGTTCCTATTAAATGTACAAATAGTAAAACAGATTTTTGCAGTCTGCAGCATCCAACCATAGTAACTTGAGAATGCAGAACAGCACCATCTATTGCCCTGCTTCAGTTACTGCCCTACATCTGAATGTAGAAAGTATGAAACAGCTGAAGTTAAATTAATTGTATAAATGTAGAAAGTATAGAAAAGAAAAGCAGAAGTAGAAGAAAAAGAAGAAGTTCGTATGTTAAAAGAGTTAAAGACAAGAACTGTAACAACAAAGTTCATATTGGGGCTGTATTTTCTACTGACAGAGAGACAGTAACGCACACATGGAAACAGTGTGTGTGTGTGTGTGTTTGCCCGCGCGCGCGCGCGGCCGAGCCCGTGCGTGTGCATGTGCGTGTGTGATCGAAGCACACAGCCCATGACAAGTGCAGAATCTGACAGAGAGACAGTAAGAGAGAAAGAGAGACAGTAATACACTCATGGAAACAGTGAGTGTGTGTGTGTGTGTGTGTGTGCCCGCGCGCGCACGAGCGGCCAAGTCCGTGCGTGTGCGATCGAAGCACACAGCCCATGACAAGTGCAGAATCTCTGGCTCCTAAGGAATGTACTCACCTCCTGGGCAAGCTGTACAATTTCATGACTTCAGACCGATTTTGTGAGAAGCAGGACGAGTGTACCTCCATTTTGATGTGTTTTTTATGGCTGTGGAGTGAAAATTGCGGCCGCGGCAGAGAAATAATCACGCTTGGTCTACTGAATCCAAAAGGCTCCAGCCGCATCTAGCGGTGACGTCACATCTGACGTCAGACGCTGTAGCGTGAGTCAGGCTGAAAAAGGCAGAAGACTTCATGTTGCTCCAAGCGAAATTGTGCAAAAACGGTAGGAAATAGCAAAAAGGAGTGAATACAACTTTTGTAGCAGACATGTTGCTGAACATTTTAAAGCAAAAATGAGGTCTGTAGGTGAAAGTATGCAGAAGTTATAAGGGTGAGAAGGTGTTATAGCTGTATCTCCATTCATTTGTAATGGAACAAATTTTGCAGAAAAAGTGAAATATTGCAAAAAGTATAAATGGTAGAAAGGTGAAAAGTAATAGCCGTAATGTCCTGAAGGAGTGCATTAGTATAAAGTTTGAATGGTGAAAATAGCACAAAGTGGTAAGGAGTTGAAAAGGGCCAAAAAAGGTACGGAAGAATAATAATAATAATAACTAGAAAAATTGCATTTCCTTGCAGAAAATGCGTGGAAATGCTGAGTGCTGAAAGCTGAAAAAGCAATGCTAAACTGCTAATAAAACATGGAGAAAGGTATAAATGTTAAAGCTGTTGAGGGGGTGAAAAAGAAATATAAGTTGGATAATTGGTTGAAGGACAAATAGTATGAATATGCTCTATAAAAGGAAATTTTATTCATGCTGAAAGAGGCTAGAAAAATGTTGAAAATTGCACAAAGTTTGAATGAAGAAGGAAATTGCCTTAAAAGGCAGGAAGGTGAGAAGTGGCATAAGTTTAAGTTGTAGTACTAGAAGTAGTATGATAAGAAGTCAAATAGTGATATTAGTAGTCCTGTCAGCAGTAGAAGTAGTTTGAGATGAAAGAAGTATAAGTCAAAGTAGTAGAGAAAGTAGAAATAGTAGCAATAGCAGCAGTAGAGAAAGTAGAAATAGGAGCAATAGCAGTTGAAGTAGAGGGTAAAGTACTAGTTTAATTGGCATTAGCAGTAGTTGTCGTACTTGAGGTAGGATTTTGTTTGAAGGATGGAGTAATGCAGAAATATTGAAACTGATTGAAAAAAGGGAAAATTTAAATAATTAAAAATCCTCAAGTATCAGAAATTTTTAAGTATTAGAAAGGTTTGAATCAGTTTGAATCAGTTCAAATTAGTTTGAAAAATTAAATAATAAATCATCACTGAGTGACTTTAAAATGTGAAAAATATAAATGAATATAAATCCTGAATACACCCCATAATGTCCTCAATGAGCTTAAATTTTAAAGCCCTGAATGGTTTCTGTAGGTCAAAGGTCATGTGAGGAGATAGGGGCTGAAGTTTTTTCAAGCGCTCTAGGAAAGGGTTTTAAGTGTCATCCCCAGTGCTATGCGTACTACGCCTGGCTTCATGTGTCTCATATGGCCATTAGAAGCAGCTTTCCTGTCAGCTGTGTGTCTCCAGATGCACAAATTAGTTGCCATGGGGACCTTGGATGCATAACTATAGCAGGAGAAAGAAGGCTTGAAGCTAAGGAAACAGGGCTCCAAGTAGGCCCTGACACTCATCGTCTGTATATATTCATGATAAGGAGCTTGTGAGAACACAAGACTCTGCTGAACACATTAATACAATTTATTATCACAATCCTCAAAACACCCCATAATATCTTCAATGAGCTGAATTTTTGAAGCCCAGAATGGTTTCTGTAGCTCAAAGTTTGTGGGTGGAGATAGGTGGTGAAGCAGACACATATTAACTGTGTGTACAAGCAGCTGAACTGCAAGGTAGACCTGACAAAGCAACAAGTACAAGAATGTGTGTGTGTGTGTGTGTGTGTCGTTAATGATTGCATCCTAAACAGCTGTAAGATCAAAGCATTAACTGACCTATTGTTTGAATGGAGAAGCTGCTGAACTGCAGTGAATTTAGGGCTCTGAACTTCTTCACATAGCACGATTTCCTTAAATCCCAGAATGAAAATAAGAACATCGTACGAATCCCCCGCCCTTCATGAATACAATGATGTGTTTTTCATGTCTGCACTCCGAAAAATGTGGCCACAACAGCGAGTTAAAAAAGTCTGAGCCTGAGTGACGATCAGGATTTACTTGTAGAAAAAATACATTAGGGCCAATGGGGAGAGATTTCCGCCTATTTGGACAGTTGGTCACCTGCTGTCCAAGGGGTAGGATTTAATGATTTGAAACCTCTTTTGTGAGAAGCAGGACACATATACCTCCATTTTGATGTATTTTTTATGGCTGTGGAGTGAGATTTGTGGGCGTGGGAGCGATATATTCGAGCGAGGTTCTGTCGATCAGAGACGAGGTCTGCACTCTAGCTTTTCAAATCATCACTCTAGCCTCTCCAATACACCCCTATTATAAAGCCTGAAATTTGCTGAAAACCACAAGTTGCTTAAAGCTAAATTGTGGAAAAACTGTAAAAGATAGCACAAAAAGGTTAATACAATATCAATAGTCGACAAGACAATGAACATTTTAAAGCAAAAATGAGGTCTCTAGGTGAAAGTATGCTGAAGTTATAAGGCTTAGAAGGTGGACGAATAACAGGAAGAATTGGAAGATTTCCCCATTCATTTCTATGGGAAAAAAAGTTTGGCACAAAAAGTGAAAAATAATAAAAAGTATAAAGGGTAGAAAAGAGAAAAGTAATAGCCATCATGTCCTGAAGGAGTGGAATCGTATAAAGTTTGAACGGTTGAAATCGGACAAAGTTTGAAGGAGGAGAAGCGGTCCAAAGAAACGTATGGGGAGAGTGTTAAGTATAATACTAGAAAAATTGCATTTCCTTGCAGAAAATGCGTGGAAATGCTGAGTGCTGAAAGCTGAAAAAGCAATGCTAAACTGCTAATAAAACATGGAGAAAGGTATAAATGTTAAAGCTGTTGAAGGGGTGAAAAAGAAGTATAGTAAGTAAGGACAAATAGTATGAATATGCTCTATAAAAGGAAATTTGATTCATGCTTAAAGAGGCTAGAAAAATGTCTAAAATTGCACAAAGTTCGATTGAAGAAGGAAATTGCCTTAAAAGGCAGGAAGGTGAGAAGTGGCATAAGTTTAAGTTGTAGTACTAGAAGTAGTATGATAAGAAGTCAAGTCGTGATACTAGTAGTCATGTCAGCAGTAGAAGTAGTTTGAGAATAAAAGAAGTATAGCAATAGCAGTTGAAGTAGAGAAAGTAGAAATAGGAGCAATAGCAGTTGAAGTAGAGGGGAAAGTACTAGTTAAATTGAGGTTAGGATTTTGTTGTCGTACTTGAGGTAGGATTTTGTTTGAAGGATGGAGTAATGCATGAATATTAAAACTAATTTAAAACATGGAAAATTTAAATACTTAAAAATCCTCAAGTATCAGTTTGAATGAGTTTAAATTAGTTTGAAAAATTAAATGATAAATCATCAATGAGTGACTTATAAAAGTGAAAAATGTAAATGAATATAAATCCTGAATACACCCCATAATGTCCTCAATGAGCTTAAATTTTAAAGCCCTAAATGGTTTCTGTAGGTCAAAGGTCATGTGAGGAGATACGGGCTTAGGTTTTTTCAAGCGCTCTAGGAAAGGGTTTTAAGTGTCATCCCCAGTGCTATGTGTACTGAGCCTGGCTTCATGTGTCTCATATGGCCATTAGAAGCAGCTTTCCAGTCAGCTGTGTGTCTCCAGGTGCACAAATTGGTTGCCATGGGGACCTTGGATGAATAACTTTAGCAGGAGAAAGAAGGCTTGAAGCTAAGGAAACAGGACTCCAAGTAGGCCCTGACGCTCATCGTCTGTATATATTCATGATAAGGAGCTTGTGAGAACACAAGATTTTGCTGAACACATTAATACAATTTATTATCACAATCCTCAAAACACACCATAATATCTTCAATGAGCTGAATTTTTCAAGCCCAAAATGGTTTCTGTAGCTCAAAGTTTGTGGGTGGAGATAGGTGGTGAAGCAGACACATAATACCTGTGTACAAGCAGCTGAACTGCAAGGTAGACCTGACAATGCAACAAGTACAAGAATGTGTGTGTGTGTGTGTGTGTGTCTCGTTAATGATTGCATCCTAAACAGCTGTGAGATCAAAGGCAAATTACTGACCTACTGTTTGACTGAGAGGTGCTGAACTGCTGAGGATTTATAGCCTCTGAACTTCTTCACATAGCGTGATTTCCTTAAGTCCCCGAATGAAAATAAGAACATCGTACGAATCCTCGGGCCTTCATGAACACAATGATGTCTTTTTCATGTCTGTACTCCGAAAAATGTGGCCACAACAGCGAGTTAAAAAAGTCTGAGCCTGAGTGGGGATAAGGATTTTCTTGGAGAAGAAATACATTAGGTCTAATGGGGAGAGATTTCCGCCTATTTGGACAGTTGGTCACCTGCTGGCCAAGGGGTACGATTTAATGATTTGAAACCTCTTTTGTGAGAAGCAGGACACATATACCTCCATTTTGATGTATTTTTTATGGCTGTGGAGTGAGATTTGTGGGCGTGGGAGCGATATATTTGAGCGAGGTTCTGTCGATCAGAGACGAGGTCTGCACTCTAGCTTTTCAAATCATCACTCTAGCCTCTCCAATACACCCCCATTATAAAGCCTGAAAAATTGCTGAAAACCACGAGGTGCTTCAAGCTAAATTGGGGGAAAACTGTAGAAGATAGCACAAAAAAGTTAATACAACATCAATAGTCGACAAGACAATGAACATTTTAAAGCAAAAATGAGACATCTAGGTGAAAGTATGCTTAAGTTATAAGGCTTAGAAGGTGGAAGAAGAAAAAGAAGAATTGGAAGATTTCCCCATTCATTTCTATGGGAAAAAAAGTTTGAGACAAAAAGTGAAAAATAATAAAAAGTATAAAGGGTAGAAAAGAGAAAAGTAATAGCCATCATGTCCCGATGGAGTGTAATAGTTTAAAGTTTGAACGGTTGAAATCGGACAAAGTTTGAAGGAGGAGAAGCGGTCCAAAGAAACGTATGGGGAGAGTGTTAAGTATAATACTAGAAAAATTGCATTTCCTTGCAGAAAATGCGTGGAAATGCTGAGTGCTGAAAGACGAAAAAGCAATGCAAAACTGTCAGTAATAAATGGAGAAGGTATAAATGAAAAAACTGTTAAAGGGGTGAAGTGTTATAAGAAGTTGTATGAATGTTTCAACCGTAACAGAACTGAAGAAGAAGATGATGAAAAAGAGATGAGTTGTATGGATGTAAAAACACTGGGAGAGGTAAACCAGTAGCTGTATGAATATTGAAATTGCTAAAGGACTGAACTTGAACATTACAGAAAATATGGTAAAGAATTTTAAAGATGGCTGAAAAGGCCTTCATGTTTGAAGAATTAGAAATGAATGTAGATGAGAAATGAACACATTACACAAATATGTTTAATTTAAATATTTATGTTTAAGAAAAATATTTTTGTCAATCCTTAAACATTTTTTTAGCAATGAAATGATTAATGATAAAACATTAAAATAATAATAATAATAAAAAAGTAAAAACATAAACACATAAAGAAACAGTGTTCCATAGTGCTTTAAATGAAAATTATAAACAATTTGTTTATGAACAGGTATTGGAAGCAGAAATCTTTACATAGGTGACCAATCTGTCTCTTAAGCTTAAGGTTTTAAGATTGTAGTTGCTGTGATTGTTGATGGACAAAGGTATCACATTTTCAGTTGTTTCTAAAATAGTTTAGCCCAATCATTAAAGGCTCTTCACACAGTTGTTAGACTGAGGCTAACACCCCATTATTTACTGGATTCAAACTCCAGCAGCCCTGTACCCACATTCACCTCTTTTCTTGTGTTTTCGGATTACTAAGCCTTAACAAAAGTTGGCTCCTAAAATTTGTCATGGCCCATTAAGCCAAGTCCTGTGTTGTGGGCTTTAAAAACAGACCTTGAAATTTGATTTCAAAGTCTGATACAGGACTGTTATGTGTGTTTTTAAGGGTTTAGATTAGCCTAAGACTAAGTTTGCACATCTGAAAAACCTTTATACCTATACATAAAAAAAATATATGAAAATGGTGACTTGAGAGTTATAAAAAAAATAGTTACTACAATCGGTCAGCAGTATAACAACATAAATGTGAATCACAAAAAGTATAAAATGGAACATGAGGAATAGTATGCAAAAATAAGTCAGCAGTTTACTGTACAGTGTAGTACAGAAGTATTTTACAGAAGTTAAAATGTAAAAAAACAATTAATTTGAATGAAAATTTAAAATAATGTGAAGGGTAAGGTAAAGAATGCAAATGCAAATAATGCAAAGTTATCCAGGCTTGTGGAAATATACAGGCAAAGTAAGGTGTAAGGCTTATGAATTAAATATGGCATTATAGTATTTTTTAAAGCTAACTGTAGTGAAATGTGGGCTCTCTCTTGTAGAAAAAAAGAAAATTATAGAATAATAAATAATTATAATAAACAAAATGAAATGATATGAAACTGAAACTTTAAATCTAAAATGTAAAGGATCAGATTAAAAAGTAGATTTGAGAACTAATGTGGAGGGTAAGGTAAAGAATGCAAATGCAAAAGATGCAAAGTCATCCAGGCTTGCGGAAATATACAGGCAAAGGTGAAAGGTTAACAACTTAAATATGGCACTGAAGTATTTTTTATAGCATGTATTGGTCCACCTTACCACCCAAAAGGCTTTTCACAATAGTTAGACCAAGGCTAGTACTGTCATCAGCTCATTGCAGTGGACTGACAATGTGGTCAGCATTTTAGATCCCAGTGTTTTCTTATCCAAACATTCACACTACTTGTCTTACTGAAATGCTGGGTTGTCTTCACGTTGATAGTTTCTTTTCAAAAACTTATCTAGTATGGAGAATTACATTTTAAGGATAAGTATAAAAACTTTGTTCCTCTATGAAATCCATTCACACAGCTCGTTTAACCAAGCCCTGTGTTTGATGATTGTGACGACAACCTTCAGCAGGGATTGTTTCACACTGTAATGCTGGGATCACTGCTGTCCAAGACATTAGCCCAAGACTAAGCACACGTGAAAAACCTGCAGTGTACCTACCAGCTGAAACCCCAAGTAAATCATTTATTTCTAAAAACACGTCTTCTCTTGTAGGTAAATTTGAGGGATATGGTGAGCATATTAAAATGAGAAATTCAGCTGCCTGCAACAACTGAAGTAACTGGTATTTTTTCCCTTCATCAGTGTTGGTCATCTTTTGATATAAGGACAGATACACAGTAAAAGGGAAAGACAATACTCAAATAAAATAGAACAAATAAAGTCCAAGAAACATAAAGGAAACTTAAAATATTAACAGATATCGACAACCGATCACTTAATATAGAAAATAGGATTCAAAACAATATAAGAGTAAAAGTTGTCCTGTCCTGAAGACAATCAGTCAGTTCCTCAAGTGAGTACTGTGTTCTGTCTGGGCACTTTTTTTCAAAACCAAAAGCAGAGGCCGATACAGTTCAGAGTGAAGATAATGTTTTGACCTTTGACCTGTGGTTGTAGAATCGCCGTGTGCAGTTATCAGTGTTCGAGTTGACAGCATCACTGGAGTCAGAGGCAGGAGGAAGAGAGGTCTGAAAAAAACAAACAAAATCCCCTTCACTTTAACTCTGTAATCAATACAAAAATCCTGTGCTAACAGTAATACTGTGCTTTTCTATGTTTGTCAAACATGGTTATTGTTATGGGGCAAGGAAATACACCGTTACCTCAGGGACAGTTTAAAGCTGCAGTAGAGATGAACTGATGATCTGAATGTGATGACATCTGCTGCAGCTTGCTTCACAGGACTGCAGGACTTGTAGGATCACTATTAGTTAGCTGCACTAGCTACACCGTGGATGAACAGACAGTGACTTGAAGTAGGAGAATGTAGCTGGTTGAAAACAGGAAATAAACAGAAACATTTGTGTTGATAATCTGTGAAACTAAACATATTGAATAAATACACACATCATTACAATGAATACCTTCAGCACTGCAGCAGAGCAAAAACTATTTCTGTCCAGAGCAACTTCACCAGGTCTGCAGCAGCAAAGCTTCCTCACACAGAGAGGCTCAAGGCTCAGGGGGGCTGCATGATGTCCATCTTTGGTGCGTTCAGCTGCCTGAGTGTCTAAGCTGTTCTTCCTTTCTTAACTGGCTTGAAGAAGACCTGGGAGAAAACACTGCTGTTAAAGACGATGATATCAGCAGAGCTGTACAATAGCGTCACAAGCATTAATACAGCAGCTAAGATAACAGAAAAAATAAATGAACACAAGTTCAGTAAGACATTACCTCAGACTTTCTTGAAGAGGGGTTTATCTCTTGGAGGTTCAGCAGGAACGAGCCCAGTGAGTGACAGGTACTACAGCATCAGTTGTGCTTCAGTCTGGTGTCTGGTGGTCATTGAGAGCTGCTTCAGGACATCTGGAGCACGATCAGGTAAAACACATGTTTGTGTAGTCCATGAGAGAAGGGTCCTGGTGGGTGCTGCAGTCTGTCCAGCACAGCGGGTGATGGTTGTTGAGAGCAGCAGAGGGATGGTGTGGAGGATGTCATCTCTTCTTCACCTCCGACCAAAGACTGGGTTAAACAGCAGGTAGACTGTGTCTTTGAGTTGTCCAAAGTGATGTGTTTACTTCTGGTTGACGGTTTGATAATTTTTTTCTCCTCACAGTGAGCTAGTCAGGACAGCACTAATGGTCAGGTGAAAGATGGCAGAGACAACTGAAGAAGAAGAAAAAAATACCCAAACAAAAGGAAACTTATGTTTGCTCTAGTGTACTAACAGCCACCCATGCTAAGAGAGTGGTGTAAAGTTGGGTGGAGAAAAGGGGGGTTTCAGCTGGTAGGTAACAGAACATCAGAAAGTGTGTGTTCATTAGGGAATACACACTTTCTGATGGAGGTTTTTAATTTTAGCTGCTGTATACATTATTGTACACAGCAGCTGAGAGTTTTGGCCTGTGCATTGATCAATCCGCACCCACCCTCCCTATGTCCAGTCAAGTCAAGTTAAATGGATTAACTTGACTTGACTGGACTTGATAAATGCACAGGCCAAAAATTGTAATTTATAACATTTGAATAGTTGGAAAATTTTACAAGCTGAAAAATATTTTCTTTTGAAAAATTCTGAGCCATAAAAATATTTTTTGCACTAGTAAAATTTACAATCACCGAACACATTTCAATCTGTACTGAAACTATGGCATTACATTAGCCACAGCTGCTGTAGTTTGTCTTTTCCTTAAGAGCAGTTTCCTCTATGACCTGTTGGATGAAATAACACAGTAAGTTGCATTGTGGTAACTGTAGTACGTCTGCACAATACCTGAGGAGAGACATAGCTGAGGTTGTGAGATGAAAATCAGGTCCAGCAGTGTGTTCTTGTCCGTTGTAGCAGCAGTGATCAGTTGACCATATCCCTTGGACTGAAAGAAATCCAAAATTGGCTTACTTGCATTAGAAAAGAGATTCTCATTGAAGTCGCCACAGACAATGATAGGATGACAGTCCATGATCTCAAGTGAGTCCAGAAGGCTTCCCAGATTGGACAGGAATGATGGCACACTGTAGTCTGGAGGTCTGTACACAGCTGCAATCAGAGCACTTACAGGAGATTCAACCTTCAAAGCCACAAACTCAAGGTCAGTCACATTATTCAGGTACTGCTTCTCCACAACCTGCAAATGGTTTTTCACATAAACAGCAACTCCACCACCTCCTTTACTGGCCATCTGTGGAAAGTTAGTGTAGGACAAATGTCTGTTGCGTTTGAACATGGTGTAGCCCTCAAACTGGAGACTGTCTGCCACAAAGGAGCCCTGTAGGTGAGTTTCTGTCAGACACAAAACATCTGCAAGACACAGTTCATGATGGCTTTTGGTGTCATTCACATGAGCAGGTAATCCTTCGGTGTTATGATGAATGATGCTCATAGTGTCCTGTCTGCTGAGAGAATGCTGGATCTGGAGAAAAGGCATGATGTGATCAAAGTTAGCTTGCCTCATGGTCTGTAAAGATAAAGTGACTGCAGGGTTAGCGTAGATTTTACTGTCATCCAAATCAAGCATGTGCAGTCCGCTGAGAGAGGTCACTCGACTGATAGCTACGTAGGCCATGCCGGGCTCAAAAATGTGCTTCAGTGAGACAACAGCAGATTTTCTGGTCATACCTTGAACCTTATGGATTGTGCATGCAAAGGCAAGTTTTACAGGAAACTGTCTGCGTACCACTCCTCTCTGTTTTAGAGCCTCCTCAGATCTCTCGATGTACACAAGATTGTCTCCTCTTGTACGGTAGCTCCTGCCAGCTGTTTCATCATCCATCGTAAGTCCAAGCATAGTGACAAGAGCAGAACCATTGTTTTCAGAGCTTATGAGACGGCCTATTGTAGCAAATGATCCATTCACCAATCCTTGAGACACATCAATGTTTCTGATGAGCATGACTCTAGCACCTACTGCAACATCTAGTGTGTCAGGTAGGTCATTTCTGCTTCCATGACATGGTGCACCTTGTCTTTTCATGTGTCCAGTCTGTGGGTCTTTTTTAAAGTCATCTGCATCAATGGTGGTGATATCAGAATGGTGCTGAGATAGTGTAGCAGAGTTGTGTGCTGCGACTTGTTTGTTTGTAGCAAAAATGTGCAGGACATCAGAGGGACACAGTTGTGGTTCAGTGACACGCTGTGACAGCAGAGCTCTGTCAGCTTCAGAAAGCTCATCTGACCTTGTTTTCACACGAAGTCTGTTCAGCATCTCAGCAAAAGTTTTGTCATCCTTCTGTCGCATGATCTCATCTAAAGTGATCATCTGGAAGCTGTCTCTCCAGAGGTCAAGCTCAATTGGATCATAGACACAGAGTGGTTTGGACTGTCGCACAGGCGGTAGCTGGTAAAAGTCTCCCACAGCAATGACTGACATTCCTCCAAAGGGTTTGTGGCTGCCTTTAATCTGTTTCAGTCTCACATCCACATAGGCAAACAGAGGCTTCGACACCATGGAGATTTCATCAATGATGATGATTTCAGCATTTAAAAGCTCACACCTGATTTCATCAAGTTGGTTCCCAAGACCTTGAAAAGGAGGTTTCAAACTTCTGGGCAGCTTGAGGAGAGAGTGCAGTGTTGTTCCAGAGATGTTAAAGGCTGCAGTTCCAGTGAAAGCAGTCAACAGCACAGTCGGGTTTGAGATGTCAGCTTCCTCAGCACGTCTAGGTAGTGTTCTCAGAATCTTTGATGCTTCTGAATGAATGCATTTAATGAGATGTGACTTTCCAGTGCCAGCACCACCATCAATGTAGTAGAAAAACTGCTCTGGTTGTAGTCCACAGACTCGTTTTATGCACCAGTCTCTCACTGCATAGAACACACATGCCTGTTTCTGGTTCAGACTCTGATACATTTGTCGTAACCGTGTGGGATCGATTGTAGGGGGCTCTCTCATGACTCTGGCTTCTGTAGCAGCATTTGCTTGTCTACTGTAATCAGGTACATCCTCTTGGACATTTTCATCATCACAGTGTCTTGCATGTAGTTCATCAATACACTCCAACCTCACCAGTTCAGATTCAGGTGCCAAATTACACCATTCATCGACAATACCTTTGTTTTGTTCAAAGTCCTCCAGAGCAGAGTCAATTTCCTCACTGTTTTTTTCATATCTCTCTCTGTTTCTTTTCACAATGAGTTTCACACGCAGGGGTCGGTCAGAATACGGCAGCTGAACCACACCTGTCTCGTAGAATGACTCATACGTGGGTAGATATGGTCTTTTCAGCTCATCGTCTGATCTGTATGGAAGATACAGTCTAAGCAATGTGCCGTAAAACTGCTCAGGGTATTTCTCTTTGGATATGCGGCGATACCTGATGACAGCAGCGTTGTCACTTTCTCGTCTCTGTATGAAGCCTAGTTCATTCAGCAAAGGTAGCACTTTCTTGCCCTTGGTCTGTTGTCCATACACCAGTCTGCAGGTTGAAGCAAAATCAGCCATGCACATCTCTTCAAACTCTGGTGATTCAGGTCTGGATTTGTACTTGTCTGTTAAGGATGTCATCCACACATTCAAGCTGTCTGGTGTAGTGTTGTCAAGGCTTGACACAGGCAGACTCATTTTCACTGGGTTGTCATCAGTTGGGACAAAAACCACACTGCGTGAACTCTTTTTCATGTTCAGGGAAGTCACTCGGGCAACAGCTTCTTGTGCTGATACTTCTCGTTTTTTGGAATACGCCTGCATGACCGCTTTCATTTCATCACATTCATTGACACATTCTCTGTCGGAGTTCTGAATGAGTGTTTGCAGGTACTGGCTCACAGAGTTCTCACTTTTACACATGTATGTACATATGTAATGGATCAGACTGTAGTAGCTGAGAATGAACTGCACGTCAATGTTTGCATCCCAAGCTTTGAGCAGGTGAGGGTTGTAGGTGTTTACCCAGCAGTCTTTTGGCTCACGCTTCAGAATGATGTTGCTGGACTGACTCATCACATTCATGTGTTTCTCGTACTCATCAGCGGTTAAGTCACAGACAGACAGGAGCTGTTGAAAACTCATGGATTCAGTTTCAGGTTTATTCAGCAGCTGATTTAGCGGTGCAAGTTTCTCTTTGGCTGTCTTTAGTCTCTCTGACTCCTCATCGTCATCCACAGGTCTTGTTATCATTGTCTGTCTGGAGGGTGGTTTTGGGAATCCAAAACGGCATCCTGAACTTGCACTTTTGAAACATGTCTTTGAGTGGTTCTTACTGTGTATTTGCACTTCTTTGACCTTTTTGTACAGTTCAGGCTGTTTATTTGGGTCAGGGAGCTGAGCAGAGATGTGTTTGGACACAAAGTCACACACAGTTTTATCAGAGTCTCTCTCAAACACAGGTGCACCTTCTACCCACAAAAGACCATGAATGTGAGGACTTCCTCTGTGCTGAAACTCGAGGCGCCAAAAGAAGTCAAAAACTTTGCCCAGGGGTTGTGCAGGAGACATGATCAGATCTCTGTACAGTGCTTCAACACGCTTATCAAACATGCGCATCGTTGTCACAGGATTGCTTCTCAGAATGTCACACTTTGTGGACCAGTCAAGCTCCTCAAAATTCACTTCCTCACCTTGTTGTAATTTTATTGCGATAATCACCTCAGGCCAACGCATTTCTGCTGCAGAAAATGTGACAAAGAAAGTAGGACTGCCCAACTGTCTGATCATAGCAAACAGATCTTTTGTAGTTTTGTCCCAGTAGGCTGGTGTTCCTCTGAGCGGCTGCATAAATCTGATAGCATCTCTGTTTCTCACCAGTCTCTCCACTTCAAGTTTTTCTCTCAACATCTTGGATGTTATTTTTCGTCCATCTCTAGTCAAAGGTTTGCCTTTGCGTAACTGTATTGACATGCTGGAGGTAGCCAAGTGTATTTCAGTCACAAACTGTGCAAAGAACAGGTAGTTGGTATCTTTGGCAAAGCGATCATCAACACCAAAGAGCCTTGCTTTGAAATAACTACTGGGTGATAGTTTCATGGGTCTGTTTTCATCCAGTGTATTCTCACCAGTGGGAAACTGAACAGGGAACGCCATGGCCTCTAGTTTGGGTATTTTGAAAAAACTGACTGGACTGTTTCTCTCTGCTGGAGCTACTGAGTATGTTGAGTCACTGAAACACAATATCTCCTCAGAAACATCCCGTGGCTGAAGGCACGACTCCAAAACAACACCACCATTATGCATGTCTGCGTCCTGTTGTTGTGTCTGATCATCATTGTCCTGGGTCTGAGTTTTATCACACAGCTCTGTGTTGTCATCGTCATTTTCAACATTAGTTTCAACGTCATGCATGGCAGCAGCCTCAATTCTATCAATCTCCATCAAATCGTCATCGTCATAGTCGTCATCATTCATTGTAATATCATTACCATCGTCTTCATCCTCATCACCATCATCAGGAAGTGTGGGGTCACATAACTCCTCCTCATCTCTGATAGTTATGTCTTCATACTGGGGGTGTATCTCTTTCAGTTTATGCAGAGCTTGCACTAGCTTGGACCAGGTAACAGTCTGAAACAGATGGTGGCCTCTGTAACTCAAACGTCTCTTCAGTTTTACTCTCATCACCTGAGATTCATTTCTCAATCTGGGTAGAGCCTGAATTGTCTCCTGGACTTCAGAGGGAACACATACAACATTACCATGTATAGCTCTCTGTCTGCCTTTGGGAAGAGGAATGATTTTGGCAAATGTTATGCACTTTGCTATCAGATGTCTCTCCAGTATGTTGAGGTCACACAGCTCAGGTGGTATGTCAGCAAGCTCCAAGTTGTTTGCTATGGCAAGTTTGGGCATGGATCCATTTTTCAGATGGTTATGGCAGGTGTGACAAATCCACTCAGTCTTCCTCTCATCAGGGACAGTGCACTGATTTCTGCAGTTATCGTTACACTCATGGACGTACTGACCTTTTAGACAAGCTGAAACCATGATTGGATTTTTCATATAGTTGGACCTTTTGCACTTTTGCACCTGGTTTGGAAATGAGGCTTTGTGACAAACTGTGCAAACGTGGGTGGGACCAGCTTTAATGTGTGATCGGAAATCACCGATGGCACTTTCAATAAGTGGGTTTTCACTCTCTCTGTCAGTCTGACGTGTTCGTTTACTTATGGCTTTATATTTCTGTGATATTTTCAATGCACATCTGGTTTTATGCATAGTCCTGTATGCAAGATTTTTCTTGTACCTGTCTCGCATCATTCGCCTCATCAGCTGTCTGTGTTGGTGGCGGAATATATCATTTGCATATCGATGATGCATAAAGGATCGCTGTCTTTGCCGGAAATTTACATCCTCTGAGTATTTTTTCCTGATATATTCTTTTTGTCTGGTTTTAAAAGCAACATTTTCTGAGTATTTTGTAGTGATATATTGTTTTTGTCTGGCTTTAAAAGCAACATTTTCTTTGTATTTTGTAGTGATATATAGTTTTTGTCTGTCTTTAAAATCCACATTTTCTGTGTATTTTTTGGTGATATATTTTTTTTGTCTGTCTTTAAAATCCACATTTTCTGTGTATTTTTTGGTGATATATTTTTTTTGTCTGTCTTTAAAATCCACATTTTCTCTGTATTTTTTGGTGATATATCTTTTTTGGCTGTCTTTAAAATCCACATTTTCTCTGTATTTTTTGGTGATATATTTTTTTTGTTTGTCTTTAAAATCCACATTTTCTCTGTATTTTTTGGTGATATATTTTTTTTGTCTGTCTTTAAAATCCACATTTTCTCTGTATTTTGTTGTCATGTATAATTTTTGCCTAAATCTGAAGTCTGTGCTTTCTCTGTATTTACTTGTGATCTTTTTTCTTTTCTTTGTCTGTATTTCAGGATCGACAGAATATTTGCTCATTGAATAACATTTTTTCTTTGCTTTATAAGTTTCATCCTTTGCATACTTTTCTCTCTCTTTCCTTTTTTGATTGTCTTTCTTTTGTGGTGTCTTGTCAGGTGTCATTACTCTCCTCAGAATTTTTTTCTTTTCTGCTTTGTTCCGTTTTGACAGCTTACTGGAGATCTCATTGAGGACATTGTCACTGGTGACAGGGATATTTATTAATGGTTGTGTGACATTTGATTGTGTGTCCTGAATTTGCTGTGATTTCAAAGAGTTATTGCTGATTTGCTGGGGTCGATGTGCTTGTGTTTCTATCAGGGTTGAGAGGTCATGAGAGTCATCAGTTACAGTAGTGGTAATCTGTGGAGCAAGAGATTTAGGTCCAGTTAATGTGACAGAACACTGGGTGAACTCCATCAGTTGTTCCTGTTCAGTTTCCATGTCATGCTCAGTGTTTTCATGGATATCAATGTTCATCTGTGGAGTACTTGTGTCATCATTTATCACAGTGGTTGTTACAGAGGAACTTGTAGACATACATTCTGTGGCTGGGATAGCATCAATTGGGTTCACATCATAAAACACAACTGGTTTGAGCTCATACTTACAGGACTCTGGGGTCGACAATATGTGGTGATAACTGATCAACCTGTGAATCATGTCACTGAGTCGTGTAAATGTGACCATGACTGCAGTGCCAGGAGTACTTGTAGGCTGGAGTCGAGGCAAACCATGAGGTGTCCTAGCATGTGGGTCAAAGAAACCATATCTGCCATTTCTGGTCCTGAAAACTGCAATGCACAGTGACGCCATCAGCAGCAAAGCATACTGCACATCTGATAATAAGCAGCTCAGTCCCATCTCGAGGTCCAGAAAGGTATCAACAGCTCCGGGATCCGGATCTCCAAACGTACCGTATCTAGACAGCTGTAACTTGTCAACTCTCTGCGTGTGATTACGTGCAGGTACCCGATTAGGGAGCTCATCAGTTGTGAGATGGATGTGATCACGAACTGTTTTTCTGACTCGTTTATACATCACATTGCCTTTATCCAAAACACGGTCTAGGTCTGCTCTGGTGATGTTTTCATTCTCATACAGGAATGCTAGAAATGTCAGTGAGTTACAGGTGCACTGCTTGTTTCTGAATCGTCTATATTTCAGAGATGCTTGACTGCGTGAGGCACACACACTTTGTTCTCCTGACTGGTATGCAGTGTTTACATTTTCATGTCGAGAAGAGCCTGATACATTTACATCACTACAGTTCTTTCCACTGTCTGCATACGATACCTGAGTGGAACATGACTCAACACTAGCAAGTTTTCTTTTCAACATGTTTGCATTTGTTACCTGTTGTACATCTGGATCATTGCTTTGACTTCTGTGCTTTATCGGTCCACAATCAGACGGGCCTGCTATGTGAGGTTCATATACATTCCTTTTAGGCACATCTGCATTAGACACCTGTGATAAACATGATGCACTTTGACCTCCCTGGTTCACAGTGTTAACATCAGATACCATAGCCTTCCTTGTCTCTGCACTGATCTGAGGAGCACAATCTGCTTGTTCAGTAGTTACACAATCAATGTCACATCTCCTCTGCCAGCGCTCACTTGCAGCCTGTGACCTCTTACTTTTCCTAGGCATTGTAGCTTTCCTTTGACAACAATGATTTTATACAACAATGTCCAATTATTAATTACACCAGAGTGGACAGAAATGCTTTATTGTTTTCAGAAACTACTTTATTTAACAGAAACACAAATCAATAACAAATGTTTAGATGTCAGGACTTTTTTGTTAAAATAAAATTGAAGTCAAAAATAATAAAGGTGTATTTTTCGAACTCAAAATGAATGAGGCAGGAGCGGTGATGGTGATGAAACTTCTTCAGGTGAAACTGTAGAGCAACAGACAGGAAAGGAAGAAGTACAAGAACAATAACACTTGTGCAAAATTAGTGCTTTTTCAGAACAGTAGTTGTTTTAAAAGTAAGCTGTTTCAAAGATTTTGCTGTTTCAAAAGTATTGCTTTTACACGCGATCAGTTGAAAAAAATAAGCTTGTTTCCAAAAAGTGTTCTCAAAGTGTCTGAATGCCCCTTTTTAAGGCTCTAAAAGTGGTAGAAAGGCTGTCAAAGGCAGTTAAAGCCTTTCTTAAAGGCTTTCACAACGGTTTTTAAAGGCTGTCAAAGGCTGTGGTAAAGGCTTTCAAAATAGGTTGTAAAGGCTGGCAATAGCTGTTCAAATAGTCAGAGTTGGATAGAGGAGAGATAGAAAGGCAGAATGTCCAAAATGATAGGAGAGAGTGGAGGGACAGTACAGGATATCTGTAAGAAAAATGGAAATAAATATTAATTATTTGTATGAAATATAATAAATACATTTAAATCAACCGACATTCACCCAAAACTAATGTCATTATAATGTGCTTTCGTTCAAAGTAACATATGGCAATTTTGACTACACATCTATTCAAAGTGTAGTTGAGTCAAATGCTGAAACTGAGCATTATGTTATTTGATCATCTTTTCAAAAATGTATTAGGACTGAACATCTAAAATGTTACTAAATAGATGAAGAAATGTATGTATGACCTCAGTGTATTTTACGAAAAGATGCATCACCCACTTATCTTGAATGCTGATATAATTCAATGTTAATTGCCTTAATAATAATGTTCATAAGCATGTGATCAAATATTATGTGTATGAAAGTAACCTCAATTGTGTAGAAAGTACAGAAAGAGAGGTGTGTGTAAAATGTGTACAATAAAGGCACACAGTCATATTCATAAAAATGTCATTCATGTATAAACTTACACTGACTGGCAAGCGGTCTGCAGTTAAACACAAGGTGGAGTCACTAAGGGGGGAAATGGAAAAATAGAGATGAAACATTTAGAGTTTAATTGTCAAAAAAGGAAACATTACACTATAATATACGTTCAATTGTTAACAAGCAGCAAAAGTATTAACATTTGTTTCAGCTTAACTTAAGATAAAGCAAAGTTTTAAATGGTTAACGTTACAATTCAGTAAAAAGATGCAGCAGTTCGTGAAATTATGACATGATGTAGGGTTTTACATAATGTGTTGTAAACAGTAACAGTATTCACACATTAACATGTATTTGTGTTAGTGAACTTTCAGCTGAGTTGGCCGCAATGGTCTGCATTAAAGAGATAGAATAGCCAATTTCAGAAGCAGTGAAATTATTGAGAAAGAAAATGTAAATGTAAATGTAGTTGCCAAACAATCATTATGTCATACTTAATTGGAGGCACAACCATTTTTCATTGACAATCATTAGTTTTGTCATTTCTTATCCAAGTTCATGTATTATACCACATAATTATTGGAAAGATTATAGTGAAGCAACCTTGGCCTGAAAAACATGAAGCTTAAAATGTAGAAAACATGTCATACACAATGAAAAAGCCTTTTCACTATTTACTCTCTTATGTCTATAATTAAGATGAAATCCAAACAGTAAATTGTCATTACAGACTGCAGATAAATAATATGACATTACAGTGATAACTTAAGTGGATATAAGTGTGAAATTACGCTTTAGAGTTCAAAGGGGGTTTGGCAAAGGTCAGAGGAAAACACAATGCAGGAGGAGGGAATGAGGGAGAAAAACAGATATTTAATACTCTTTACAACAAACAACCTCACAGCTCACTTCATTCACTCATTTTCCCAAAAGATTTTCCCTCATCATTATTATGAAAATCAAGTCACACTTTCCCAGCAAGTTCAAATGTTTTGAATAAACAAATGTAGTTGTGTGGTAATATTGTTAACACAGTTGTCCACCAGGAAAAAATGTATCCCATATATATATATATATATATATATATATATATATATATATATGTATAATAGGAGATATGCAGTAGTGATACAGAAAGATCAACATTTAATATCTAATTAAAGTCAGTCTTTATTAGATGCATCATCAGTTGAAATATATGTTTCATGAGTTCTTGTTTACCAGGATAAAGCAAAACATTTATCCAGCTAATTTTTAGAGTATTATGTGACTTTTGGTAATAACACTTGTACTTACCAATAAACGCACGGGAGTGGTATAATGTTCTGTTTGTTTGAGACAAAAAACAATACATTAGTGCTATCTGTCAGATACATAGTTCATTAAAACAGCAGGACTATGACAAAAGCAACATTATTACAGTCATAATAGTAATAGAAAATGAAACAGCTCTAAAACATCACCTCACTGTTAGCTGCAGCTTAAAATGGCACAGAACACCTTTTATGAAGTATTTCAAACTCATATAAAGTAAACGTATGGTACAGTAGTAGATAAATTTCAGCATCAGCTACTGAAGCAAAAACAGAGGAGAAGGTGGTTCACAAGTTTCAAGGCAGCTTACAACCCATCCATTAAATCAATATTCATTTGAACTTGTGGTTGTAGAACACATATGTAGATAATGTGATGTTTGACATTGTAAATATCTGTATCATTACCATCATGAATAACCCCCTCAATAAATAGAAGAGCATGTTGTATAATTTTAACACATAAAAAAATATAATTTCAAATGTGTTACAACTAGGTGCTTGGTAAAGATAACCTATATTAGCAAAAACATCTACAAAATTGATAGAAAGTAATCAGGAGCTTAACAGCTAACATCCCCGTGTCAATTACCCAGCTGTTAATATGACAGAGTAACAGTAATCAACAGTGTGTTACCTTTAGCAACGGCGCTACAGACACAATCGTCTCCCATTAACAAATGCTCTTCAATAGCAGTATCCCCGTCACATTGATGAACTTTATAAAGTAAATATTAGCTGGCACGGTGTATAACATGACGCCAGCTCACATATTGAGTCAATATTGTGTATTTCAGCAAGCACATGACTCAGCCTTATTAATAGTATGTTGTTAGCTTTAGCGTTAGCTCGACGCTAATAGCTTTAGCGTCATATAGTTTAACAGTATCATATGTACTTTACGCATTTTCAAGTCAATATCTCGACCACTCACATCCTCTTAATCGAATATAACTCAAACCAGTGTCATGTAGAAACGTTAAATCCTCATTTGTAGTGTCTGGACATTAACAGAGACTGTGCATCGACTTACCTGAGCAGAGTCTGACACAGAATACCGTAGCTTCACACAGACACACAGTTGACGTCTTTGAGACATTCAGGAACACTCGGAAATGTGACACTTGAAAACACATGACGGTATTATGCTGCCAAAGAATGTTTATTTACTTGCGTGTGCACGCTTGCGTGCGTGTCTGTGTCAATAAGCCGAATGTCAGCACAACTTTAAAAACTGGTCACCTGCTGGCTAAGCGTTAGGGTCGTATATTTGTCCTGCACATATACAAATAAAACACATTTGTAGGAAACGTAGAAAGAAGCTGAAAAATTACCTTTAATTGTACAAAACTTGTATAAAGCTGACAATAAACTTTAAGTACAGGAAATAAAGAAGGGATGTATATAGTAGTTATCATATAAGTAGTAATAAAGTCACACTCATACTCACATTATTATTAGCAGAAGTATAATTAAAAGACGTGTGCAGTCTGCATCTCAACCATAGACTGTATATAAGACTTCAGACCTATTTTGTGAGAAGCAGGACGAGTGTACCTCCATTTTGATGTGTTTTTTATGGCTGTGGAGTGAAACTTGCGGCCGCGGCAGCAAAATAAACACGCTTGGTCTACTGAATCCAAAAGGCTCCGGCCGCATCTAGCGGTGACGTAACATCTGACGTCAGACGCTGTAGCGTGAGTCAGGCTGAAAAAGGCAGAAGACTTCATGTTGCTCCAAGCGAAATTGTGCAAAAACGGTAGGAAATAGCAAAAAGGAGTGAATACAACATTTGTAGCAGACACGTTGCTGAACATTTTAAAGCAAAAATGAGGTCTGTAGGTGAAAGTATGCAGAAGTTATAAGGGTGAGAAGGTGTTATAGCTGTATCTCCATTCATTTGTAATGGAACAAATTTTGCAGAAAAAGTGAAATATTGCAAAAAGTATAAATGGTAGAAAGGTGAAAAGTAATAGCCGTAATGTCCTGAAGGAGTGCATTAGTATAAAGTTTGAATGGTGAAAATAGCACAAAGTGGTAAGGAGTTGAAAAGGGCCAAAAAAGGTACGGAAGAATAATAATAATAATAATAATAATAATAATAATAAAGAAATAGTAGAATAACAATAAGTGGAAATGCTGTGTCAGCATTTCCACTTAATAATAATAATAATAATAATAATAATAATAAAGAAATAGTAGAATAACAATAAGTGGAAATGCTGTGTCAGCATTTCCACTTAATAACTAGAAAAGTTGCATTTCCTTGCAGAAAATGCGTGGAAATGCTGAGTGCTGAAAGCTGAAAAAGCAATGGTAAACTGCCAATAAAAAATAGAGGAAGTTATGAATGGAAAAACTGTTGAAAAGGTGCAGTAGAAGAAGAAGAAACAGTATTAATGTAAAAATTGTACTGTAGCTCAAGGTAAAAAAGTTGAATGAATGTACAAATTGTATGATAGACAAAGTAAAAACTAATTATATGACTTTTGTGAGTTCACAGAAATTATAATCAGTATAAGTGATTTTGAAAAAGAAATGCCTTAATTAATGTGAAACAATGTTTCAATTAAATGTAGAAATGACAAAACACGTGTGCAGTCTGCAGCATCCAACCATAGTAACTTCAGAATGGAGAATAGCACCATCTAGTGTATGGAGACAGATCAGGCTCAAAAGTGTTGAAAAGTGCAATATATATAGTGAATCTCCTTCCACTTCAGTGGGGCAACATAAACTGTGATTCATAAAACAGCTCTATTGATAGTGAGTATTAAAAAAATATATCTACTCATGCCATCCTGTCGATTTTTAGTAATCAGTGTTTCGGTGTGGAACTATTTCCCTTCTGCGGCGTAGTGATACTTGCACACGCGCAATCGAATATGCAGGGGGTGAAGCGATTTTTGTCACGTGGAATAGGAGCCGAGTGTCGTTGCCATAGTATCAGAAATACACAAACATGGCGACGACCGCATCTCGCAGCGAGACAAGCGAAGAGGAAGAAAAGAAAAGGAACAAAAGAAAACAGCCTTCAGAAGTGCATAAAAATGGAACGAAACGATGCTATCTGCATCTGTCATCTGTCCAGAGTGAAGACGTTCTCGACTTTACAAGGACACGTTGGGAAACTTATAGAACTAGTATTGGAAAGTGGCTTTCTCTATAGGGTGAGACAAAGGACCTTGCAGAAACGTATAAACTTTGGGTTGATATCGACTTTGACAATGTTCTGATGAGGCTGGGTTTCACATGACATGCTACCAGTGATTTTTTTGCAAAAGGGGTTTGATAAACAAGAACGTGATGCAGCCACGGGTCAGTCAAACCCTTAACGCAGCATGCATCCACGTCCACGGCATCTGAAACTCCGCGAAAGAAACTTCGGTCGAGGTCATAAGCTGTATTGGGACAAAGGAAAAAGTGCCTAGAAAGTGAATTTCGTTAAAATACTTTATAAAAGTTTATACGTTTCTGCAAGGTCCTTTGTCTCACCCTGTAGAGAAAGACACTTTCCAATACTAGTTCTGTAAGTTTACCAACATGACCTTGTAAAGTCGAGAACGTCTTCACTCTGGACAGATGACAGATGCATATAACATCGTTTCGCTCCTTTTTATGCACTTTTGAAGGCTGTTTTCTTTTGTTCCTTTTCTTTTCTTCCTCTTCGCTTGTCTCGCTGTGAGATGCGGTCGTCGCCATGTTTGTGTATTTGTGATACTATGGCAACGAGACTCGGCTCCTATCGGTCCACATGACAAAAATGGCTTCACCCCCTGCATATTCGATTGCGCGTGTGCAAGTATCACTACGCCGCAGAAGGGAAATAGTTCCACACCGAAACACTGATTACTAAAAATCGACAGGATGGCATGAGTAGATATATTTTTTTAGTACTCACTATTAATAGAGCTGTTTTATGAATCACAGTTTATGTTGCCCCACTGAAGTGGAAGGAGATTGACTTTCTAAGCACTTTTTCCTCTGTCCCAATACAGCCTATATACAGCAGAAAGTGTTGTGTGTTATTAAGAAGTAAGAATGTAATAGAACCATTTGTAAAGTAATAGTGATATGGTAGTTAAGCTTAGTAGAAAGAAAACAAGGTACAGAGAACAGCGTATTTGTTGAACAATCCTTTATTGTGGAATATAGTCAAAGAAGGAACAAGTAGAAACGGAACTATTTTTCAAAACAGAATGTGTGTGTGTGTATTTGTGTGTTTGTGGAAGAACTATATACAAAATCAAAAGCTATAACAGAATATGTATTAAGTGTGGGGTATGTTGTGGAAGGAGTGATTGTGTTTGTTGTTATATTAGTGGTGTGTGTGTCTGTGTGTGAATTGTAGAACTTTGTACAGTTTGTGAATAAACATTTATATTAGTTTGATAGAGGTGATGAGTTTACCTTCAACCTTAGCGGTAACATTAAGTGGCGCTTGGAGGATGAGGTCATCAAAGGCAGGGTCCCACAAAGTTTCAGGGATTTGGAGAGTGCTTCCAGTGACCAGCAGTACCTCTATGATGGTGTCAGCAGGAGTAGTGCTGCATGATGGAACATCGTCTTTTGTGAGGACACCAAGGATGGTTAATTGTTGTAGAGTTTGCTGTTTCTGTGGAGAAGTGTAGAAAACATAGGGAAAGAGTATGATGATTAGGTTTATGTGTGTTTGGCATTTGGAAAGTGTGAATATAGTTTAGTGTAAAGTGTCATTGGCCTGAGGAACTGTTAGTACTTGTACTGAATTGGAGAAAGAAACAGTATAATAACATACAGTACACTGGCTAAGAACATGAAACAAGTAAAAGAATTAAGTACAAATAAATAGGACTATGGAAGTAATAAGGTGTCAAAGTTGTTTTTTTTGTGGGATTATGAGAGTTTGACATGAGCTTGGCTGAAATGAGATTATTGTGTGTATGTTGTATATGTTAGTTGTATATGAATGAGAATTTCAATGTGTTTGATAAGGTATATAATGGATTAGAGCAGAGGTGTCCAACCACTGGGCCCCAGACCAGTACCAGTATGTGAATCAATCAGTATGTTAGAATACTGTATGTTAGTAAATGTTAGTATCTTATTTTGTAAGAGCACCAGTTCGGATCACCTAATTTTTGCGCTTGAGTCTTGGGAATGTAATTTTTTTGCATTAGTAACACAACGTAGCCCTTGCAAAAATGAGGCAGAAACAGAGTTCACTGGAGAGAGAAAGGGTTGATTCTGCATTATGGTGAGTTGATGTTAAAGTGTAATGAAAGTGCGTAATATAAAATGTAATTGTTGTATTCAGATTGTTGTATTCAATTGTTGTAGTATGTACATACTATGTACTGATTAAGGTTGTTGTTATTGGAACCTCCAGACACCTACCTGATCCTTCGAAAAAGTGTACTGCATGAAAGTGGTCCGTGATACAGAAAAGGTTGGGAACCACTGGTTTAGAGGATCTCAATGATGATTAGTGAGGATATAAATGTCATGGAGGTGATTGAAGTGAAATACAAGGCAACTAGTAAGTACCTGAATTCTGGTGAAGTTGGTTGTTCCCATTTGAATGCCATATTGAGTTGTGCGTCCCTTGACATGGCTGACTTCGAGCACTTCTCCCACATTTATAGGTTGCATTGCAGCCTCCCTCCACAGTGACAATGTGACCTTAATGTTGTCCTGTAAAATGTAGGAGCATATGTTATCATTTGTAATAAAAGCACAAGTGACACCAGCAAAAGCAGTTTGGTAGTTGTGTTATATAAGCAAAAGACCCAGATTAGAGATATGGTGTTAAAGTAAATGAAATATATGTGAATGGATGTAGAAATTGTAATATGAACTGTCTGTGAATATGTATAATTACATAATGTAGATTGTGGAGTAATTATCATAAGTGAAATTGACATGGTCATTATTGTACAGTGACAAACAAAGGTTAAAGACACCCTTGTGTGAACTGAATTATTGTTTTGTCAGTAGTCATAAATGACCAAAGCATTAGTAAGCACAGACATAGTTATTTGAAGAGTATGTGTTATATTAAGAGTGTGTGTCTTTGTGAATGTAATACGTGATTGTCTGATGTATACCATGTGAGATTGGAAATGTTACAAAAATAATGTATCAGAGATTACCTGCTGCAGAACAATGCTCTTCACAGGTACAGCATCTCTTCCCGACTGCACTTTCCGAATAGATGACACCTAAAAAAGAAAAGTTCTGTATTTAGAGAATAAGAATTGGGAAATGTAAAAATATTGTCATAATGTGTGATGTTTGTAATGTGAAAAAAAAACAAAACTGTATTGTAAAACATTCTACTGACCTCAGCAACTTCTCCCTGAACAGACATCAGACCCTGCTGTTGTTGGCAGTGGCGAAGGTCAACTAAAGGAGTAGACGGGTCCAGTAAGGTTTCAGCTCTGTTGTGTAAGTCTTCAGAGCAGTATATATCAGAGCCTCTAAAGAACTGTGTAGCTGTGCCAACAGCTAAAGTATATGGAGCAGAGCTCCCTGTAACAGTCCAGCCGCGCATGAAGTAGCTGTGACCTTCTTGCACTTTTGAAGCCATTGCTTCATACAAAGTGATTTTTGTAAGTGAATCACCATCACTAAGGACAGCAATTTTGTTTTGTTTGGTGCAAGTGGGGGTGACATG